TCATTGTCTTTAAGTTCCCACAAAACCACCAGCAGGTAGAGGGTAGTGGGTTGATGTACATTGTGGTTAGGAGGTGGGGGGGGGGAGGGCAGTTGCTATAAAAAGTTATGAAAAGATGCTGGCATAAGTAATAAATAAAATGCATAAAATTAATGAAGTATGTTTGGCAATTAACCCTTTCACTCCCAAGATCTAATTAGTAATTCTCCTCACTATCTGCCATACAATTCTTATGATGTTAGTCCAGAGAATTTGGTATTGGATCAACTAATAATCCCATGATTGATATTCTTCTCTATTCTCATCACCTGCCTGCTTGATATTGTATTGATATTGTAAGGATAAATTCTGTCTTGGTTACTTGTGGGAGTGAAAGGGTGAAATGAAATCTAAATGGAATATAATTTTAATTTATATTCTCTTTACTGTAGGAATGCCAAATTGCATTGAGAGGTTTGACAGGCTTGCTGATGATCTTTTGAGTAGTGACAATTCTGCCTATGCTGATATCATTCAGAAAGCAGAAAAAGCCTTGGAAGAAAGCACAGATGAAAAGGAGAAGGCTAGTGGGGACATTTATGTTAAAATTATGAAGAAGATTCAGGAGAAAGGAGTTGACTATGTGGACAACGAGGTCACCCGTGTTCAAAAACTCTTGAAAGACAAAATCACTGATAAGAAGAAAGACCAATTTAAAAAGCGTTTAGATATTTTAACTTCCTTCCAGCACAGTAAGCAAACTAAAGGAAAAGAAGAATTGTAATAAAAATGTTGTCAGTTTGCTGCAAACATTTTTTAACCCTTAACTCCCAAGATCTGATGGTTAATTCTCTCTTCTACCTGCTACCCATTTCCTTGTAAATTAAATTTGAGAATTTTGTGTTAGATCAGGTTAACAACATCCACTTGATAAGTCTGAATATTCTCATCACCTGTTTGCTGGATAATGTAAGGATATTATAGGGAGAAGTTTCATGTTGATCACTTCTGGGAGTTAAAGGGTTAAGATAATTTGCATTGTTTTCCCCATAGTTTTCTTTTAGTTTCTTCACTAAACCAAGCATATTGATTAATAAAAGTGTTAATAAAATCTTGCAGTGTTGGAAGGGTTTATGGAGTTTTACTTCAGAGGTTCTCGCAATCTTATTAGCAACTCAAAGCAACCTAAACTTTCTTTCGAATGTCAGGCGATGCTCCCCTCAAGGCTACTTTTGGAGGGGGCTTTATGTTGCATCCCTGAAAATAGCCTTGAAAGGAGATTGAAAAGGCATGTATGAGACCCACTTACAGAAAAATCCCACACACATCTCAGTTCCTCCCTCTCTCTTCTTCTCTTATTCTTTGACACTTGATAAATTCAAGTGATTCTGGAGTGCAAGAAACAAAATATAAGGAAGGGGTGAACAAGTTTGCCCATCCATAGATTTGGCCTTGATGAAAAATAGCGAAGATTTGCAGATTTTAGTAAACAATAAAGCAGATTTCTGAGTTTAGAAATATATTTGAATTTTGAATCAGCTGAAAATTTTGACACAGACTCTGCATTCTGGGTCCAAAAGTTTGAAACATGGACTATCTCCCTCTCCCTTGGCAATGCTTAGCTGCGATAAAGATGCATTTGGAGCCAGTTTGAACAGTAATATGTCTGACCAATAATGACCAATACATCAGGCAAGGTCATTTAAAGAAATCTGCACCCACAACTCTAAGTGAATACAGCAAACAGGATTTCAGCTGGATTAATTGTGCCTAAGACTGGCTTGATGTGTAATTGGAAACACAGTTACCTGTGGTTTTCCACCTGCACTCCTACCAACTGAGAAAACACCGCGAGGGGACAATGCAGGAGAGAAGACTGGGTCTAGGATAACGAAACAACAGATCATGGCGGACGATCAAAGCACCGGCCGGTGTATCTCTACTTGTACACTGACAGTGTTTAATAGTTATATTATTATTACATCTGAGAGTCTGTGGGAATTTGAAAGGACATAGCTTTCAAATATGAAACTGATCGCAAAGAATTTCGAGAAAGACAGTTCTGGGTAAGGGTTTAGTTAAACAAATTTAGAAACGTAAGCTTTAGGCAATTGATATCCCGACACAGAGTTCTCGAGCTCTCTAATCAGAATAACTATTTAATCACTGATCAGAGTAGTTTTACGTCTTAAGGCTTAATTTGGTCATTAACATCATTTTTAACTAACCTCTACCATTTTTCCATTTTGATGTTAGGAGAATTAAGACCATCGTCTGATGAAAAATACATATTCTGCGAAAAATCGGATCACTATCTTCATGGCGAATTTAATCGCCCTTGAAATGTTGTTTTGTTCAATACTTTCGATCTTTGATTACGTGAATGTATCCATAGTATAGGCATCAGTTTGTGAGTAAGATGAGGTCGAATTGGTAGGTGTTATGATCATGTATCACCCATATCAACATTTTAGATTTCCAGAAGTCGGCATCTCTGCTATGAAATCAACAGCTTGTGCCAATCGTTGTAGACAATGGGTAAAGATTTCCTTATATCCCCATTCTATTCTGAAAAAAGCTGAAGACCCAAAGGCAATCAATAGTTTTTGCAATTGCATTCCTTCATGTGATAACTGTATGCACAATGATTCAGGGGGGTAATATGCAGATCTTGCATAGAATTGCAACCAAAATAAGCAGATTGGTTTGTTTTATAGATTAGGAAAAGTTTGGGATACAAAAAATGGCTTGTAATGCTCCTTCATGATTGTTCTTCTTAGTTACATGCTGTTTACAGTTTTCATGAAACAACACTTTTAGATCAGTTGTCCTTGTCCCAGATGAGGCTGAAGATATGTGGCATGCATATAACCTAATAGCAGTTGGCGATCACCTTAGATCAACTACTATCAGGTAAAGTATTTACAGTGATTAAAATAAGTATAAATCTGCTGGCTTATCATCACAAATGCTGCATTCTTATTGGCCAAGCTTCTCGCTATTTATTCCATAATAGATAGTGAATAGAGTAAGAAGCCCAACAATGTGTGGTTGCAAACAAAATGAAATAAAAACATAAGTCTGGCTAATTATAGTTAAGTTTTAGACAACTTATAACATTAATGTATACTTAATAAACAAGTAGATCATTTGCTCTCAGTAACTAAGCATGACAGAGTTGAGTTGTACTTCACCTTCATCAACTATCTTAGTATTGAAATTTCAAGCTCAGCTGTATTTGTCAAGTAATTACACTGTTACTTACAATACTGATAACTAATAAAAAAGTTATCTTTGCAGTAATGAATACTATTTAAGCAGTGGTAAAAATAAGGCTTAAAAAAAAATTCAGGTATATACAGAATTTGAACCTATAACCTCTGAAAAACCAGTGCAATGTTCTACCAACTGAGTTAACAAGCCAAGTGGGAGCTGGTCACTATTTTGGTTCATCACAAACCCATGAAGTGATGAAGCAATGACTGTAAATATATGAAAATCATATTATGTGAACAATTAATAAAGAAATGAACATGAAAGCGATCTTCAAAGTTACAAACACTACTTTAGCAGTAGTGAAAAAAAAAGCCTGAAAAAAATTCAGGTCTGTACAGGATTTGAACCTATCACCTTGCAATACCAGAGCAGTATTCTACTAACTGAGCTAACAAACCAACTGGGAGCTGATCATAACCAGCTCTATTACATTTTAATAACTGTTGGATATTTGGTCAAGCCTGATGTAAAAAAACACATTGTGCTCCATAATGGGAGAAGAAGTAGGAAGACAGATACTGCTAACAATATCTATGGTAAAAATCATAGTCTCTTTTTGTTTGTTTTGTCAGGCGAGTACAAACAGAGTCAGCAACAGGATCAGTCAGCAGCAATAAAGTTCGAACAACTCTTTGCATTGCTGTAGCAAGAGTTGAATTTGATACCCAAGCATGTATGTTGAGGATTAATGGACGTAATGTGCAAGAAAATCAGTACGTTAAGGTATGTCTAACAAAAGCTGTGCTTGTCTTCACTTCATTAACCCTTTAAATCCTGATTCAAATTTGTAATTCTCCTTACTGTCAACCATACAGTTCTTACAATGTTGGTTCAGAGAATTTAGTATTGAATCAACTTATCAACTTTATCCACAAATTGATTTTTTTCTTTATTCTCATCACTTACTTGGTTGATATTATATTTATATTGTAAGGAGAAATTCTGTTTAATGGTTTGATTGTAATGCAGAGTGTGGGCCAATTTGGTAGTACATATTTATCCTTCCCTTCCATTGTATTGATTAACCTGGAAGTTGCAAATTGTCTTACAACCAACAGATGGGGGCTTACCATACAATAGACTTGGAGTTGAATAGAAAGTTCACTCTTATCAAAGAGTACTGGGACATCATCGCTCTAGAAAGAGTTGGTGAGTTGACTTGAACAGAAAATAAACCTTAGCCTTCTAAAGTTGAGATAATGCATTTGGTTGAAAACTTAAATTATGAAATCATTTCATGGGATTAAAGATGAATATGATTACTACTTTTCAGAAATGGCTTGTGACCCAGCACAGCATGCTGATCTAGGAGCCATTTTACTTCATGAAGGTAGGTCATTTGAGGGCTTATTCTCACAAATAACTGGAGACCATGTCAGACCAAACCATGCAGCTTAACCTTTATTAAAAAACATGAAAATGTTACAACAGAGCAACCAACAGTAAAAATGCTCTCTAGATTACATGCCACAACAAACTTCAAAAATTTAATTACCAATCTACTAACAACCTTATTGAGGACCCTTGGCAACAAAGGCTGCATTACATTGAAGAGAGAACTTAATGACATTGAGATGGTTAAAACTACTTAGCTTGAAGAGCAGAGGGTCAGGCAGCAGCAAACAGCAAGCAAAAACTGGTAAATTACAACCAACCGACCACTAAACCCCTCACAAACTTGCACCCAGGCTCCCAGACGTGTATGAGAAAAATTTTTTCTGCTTTTTTTTTTGTTCTTCAGCCAGCAGAAAACAACACTTCTGGTCTTTTCAATTCAGCTGATCCATAAGACTAGAGTTAACAGCCTACTGATCATTTGATGACTAAAGTTGTTCCTGCAATTTAAAAAGGTTACCGAAGGAATCAATTACATTTAGGGTTACTCCCCAAATTTTTGTTCTGAAAATCAACAAAGCTAATATCACTTTTTTTAAACAGTGAAGAGTAAACAGTGAGAAGTGGGCATAACCATTTTTTCTTAAAAAAAATTTATTTTGAGTTATCTGTCCTTAAATTCCTGAAATAAAACTTCCTTGAGAGCTATTTTCCTATTACATCGATAATTGAAGTATTCTATAGTCATTAAATTGTGTTCTTTTTCTTTCAGGTCTATGCCATATCTGCCTAGTAACATCAAGTATGACCATTGTTAGAGCAAAGATTGACATGAATATTCCACGAAAAAGAAAAGGATTCTGTGGCCAACATGACAAGGTCAGTGTCAAAAGTCTGATTAACTTCCATTTTGATTCCAGCTATGTGAATAAGAAAAAGCTGAAAAAGCTCTTGATTTTCAGGCATACAGGTCTCAAAGGACTAATTCAATCATATGAAATGATCATGTGACATTCAATCATATTAAGTAAATACCTACCTGCAGCTGTCGATAATGTAATAGGCAGCTGTACCGTAAGGCTAAACCCAAACACTAGAGCCTGCTTGCAGCTTAAACAGATGGTGAGAGGTCTTACATGCAGTGGTAGACCTCCATTTATCAGCTTTTATAAGACCCTGGTATTATGATTGAATAAACAAAATATCAACAACAGTGTAAATGATAACTATGATGTTAAGCTCCTATTAATTGGAAATTACATTGATAATTAATTACATTAATTAATTATTTTATTTGGGTTTTCACTTTTTTCAAAAGTAAATGTACCTGAGCATTTTTAACAATGGGTTTGGTACATCTCTTTGTGACAGCTTGAATCTTAATTAGAGTTATTTCTTGTTAAACAGGGTTTGTTTAAGTTTTATGATGCTATAATCCAGGGTATTCTCAGGCATATTAATTTTGAAGGTATGTTTGTCATGGTTCTCTATCATTACATGGTATTGCTAGGGAGCTGATCCCTGGAAAGTCTTCCCTTCTGACAGGGTTCAAAATTGCCCCTAGCTGGTCACCAATGGAACCAAACATCAACTGTGAAAACTGATTGTTAATGCTCCCTGCCAGCAGGCAACTACATGTAGCATAAAGAATTTTTAATTTTCTTCATGTAAACCAGTGCTTAAAAAATGAAAATCTGTGATTTTTCCCTTGGAGCTTCCAAAATTTTATTGGACCAGTTGCCAATGCAGTTGCTATTGCCAGTGCTAATCAACAGTTAGTATAGGTAATAACATGATTTTGAGTGCAATTTGGTGTTAATAGGCACAAGTAAATTTTTCAAAAACAACAAAATTGCACAAGCCAGTAGGGCAAATGCAATTTGTAGCTTTTGAAAATTTTACAAGTGCCCATTACACCAAATTGCAAGGGAAATCATGTTGTTACTTGTTAATAATGTATATGAAAATAAATCAGAGAGTCCAGATAGATATTTTGACAGTGCGTGTGCTATTTGTAATTTGTACTCATGTTAAAACTTTGCACTTGTGTTACAACTTGGTACTCTAATTACATGAGAATGCACTAGTTTTAAGCCAATCAGACCTGCGCAATTTTTCATGTACATTTATATATTAACTAGTTGAGCAATAATTTGTTTTATGCAAGGAAATATCTTTACAACCCCACTTTTTCATGTTTTCTATTTTATGAATCTAACTTTTATGTAACCAAATTGTTCAATTAGCCAATTGGAGCAAAAATGTTTGATTGCCATGCAGCACCCAGGTTAAAAAAAAAAATTGGTGCCTGCTAGAGGTTCTACATCCTCTTCAGTCTTGAGCAAACCCCCCCCTCCACCCCTTAAAATTTACAACAAATGTTCCATGACCCTTCACTCTCACAATCCAGATTTTTGTTCAGATTTTTGCATCCTAATCTTAACATCGCACAAAATTTTCATTGTGCATGTGCTACCAACCTATGGATGCATGCACTTTTTACTACTGAACGTCAACACCCTCCTAATTATTTTCTGATTTTTCAGTCATCAAGTGCATTCTTGTTGCTAGTCCTGGCTTTGTCAAGGTTAGTTGTAGAGAAGCACAAACTGTTTAAGTCCTTAGAGAGGCAGTGAAAGAGGAAAGTGGTACATATGATCATGATTTTGCTTTTTTGCTATCATCATAATTTTAGCTTTTTAGAGTAAACTTATGATTAGATAAAGAATCTGACTCTGATAGCAACTGTCTAAGAGGGATTTTCTTTGTTATAAAGGACTATTATCACAGCTTTATTTCTGTCCTTTTTAACTCGTGAATTGCGCGCATGCGCAAGAGCGAGTTATAGATACGATGTGGGTAGTGGCACTCGCTCGCTCGCTCGCTCGATTGGTCGATTCCTGTAAACTTTTTTTCGATTTTAGGCTTTTGAGTGCATTTGATAGTTTTTGGCGAGCAATAAACAAACGAAAGGGCGACCTTTGTTGCTAAAAATAATGGTGGGGTGACAAAGAAGCCAATGATAATCTTAAAATAATTTTTTTTTTCGTTTTTGTTTCAACAAGCGGCGCCAGCGACTGGCAGGCATGCAAGGATTCACACTGAAATAACAGAACAACCTTCCTTGAACTTGAAAACAATCCGAAGGTTCATTGAAAATATCACTTACTGCGAAGCGCTCGGAGTTTACAGATGTTCAAAAGCTTTTTCTGTTACGGCGTGAGATTGAGGACAAAATCGGTCATTACATTTGGTGTCGTGTGTTTTTTGTGTGTGAAACAACAGAAGATGCCGGCGACTAACGAAATTACAAGTTAACACGAAAATCAAATAACACCTAAACAAACAATTTTAGCTACCGATTTTCAGTGAATTTTTAAAGAACAATTTTCTTTTAAGTTTCAAGACAATTTGAAGATTCAAAATACATATTACGTACTAAAATGCGAAAGTTATACGCCACAAAATTGATAAATAGGCCTGAAATAAAATTCTATCTTGTTATTGATTATACGTTGCCTAGCACGTGACTAAAATCTAACTACCCAGGCGGAGATCCAAAGTGACGGTGGCAGTCTTGGCTTAGTTATATCACTCAAAACTCGTTCCCGTTTGTCTCATTTGATAAAGAGGGAATCGTTAATGTTTTCATTAAGAAAGTATTGCCTTGATTTTTTATTATTTACAATGACAGACAGTAAATTTCACTTTTCACCCACATTTACTTCCAACCTTTTCTTTTGAACCAGAAACGGAAATGATATACGTTTAAAACACATGACATCATACACCCTTGTCAAATGCAATAGCATGATCATTTCAATTGTAATGCCTTCTTATCCCAACGTTACTTTGTTGCTTTGCTACATTAGCGAACACTGAACTACTGCTCGTACTCTAGATATGACAATCAACCGCAAAATTCCCTAAACCAGATAACATTAAACATAATCCAAAAAATCATGTGTCAATTCACGAGTTTGCTCACAGAGCACTTTGATTATGTCTGTTTTATGTAACTGATATGATTTTCAGGTAACGTGGTAAATTTTTTCAAAAAAGCTTTAAGCTAATGTTAGAAAATGAAATAGTAGCAGAATTGTAAATCCCTACAGTTCAGCATACGGTGTGTATGGAAAATTTGCTTATAACTTATACCCCTCAGCTCCTCTTCAAGCACAGAAAAATACATTGCAACTCAGAAAGAAGAAAAAGGAAGGAGTATTTCTTCATCTTGTAACTGACAGTGAGAACTAAAGTAATTAAGATGTCCTCTTTTAATTCTTTATGTATATTTTTTATCATTAGTGTTGAGTAACCAATGTGGTGAAGTAGGTGTTTTAAATGATATTTGCAGGATCAGTTTTGTGATTATATGTTCCAGCAAGCTGTAAAGAATGATTGGAAAGCAATCATTGATAACAAATCAAAATTTCTCTTGGTAAGTGTAGATTTAAAAACGTTGTAGATTTGTTAGAACTTAATTGTAACTTAATTGTAACTTAATTGAACTTGGATAGCCTACAGGACAAAGGCCACATTTCTCCTTTTTTATAGGCGGGATCTGCCATTCTTTGCGATCTCACGTAACACTCCCCCAAGTGTTGCATGCCATTCAACAGAACGGCTGTGAAAGGGACTCCAGGCGAACGATACGCAGTAAAACTACTACATAAGAATTTTTTCAAGGGGCGGGGGGAGGGGGGAAGAGCGGGGAAAAGCATCGGGCTTATTAGTAGGGGGTGGGGGCTGATAAAACACTTGAAGTTCAAGACAGGGGGCATATTATTAGAGAGGGGGGTTAAATTCAATAGAAAGGGTGGCTTAGTATAGAGGTAGCTTAAGATAGAGGGCGCGGCTCACTAGAGCGTGTACGATTTTTTTTCCTTTTCAGGCTCACTCATCATCGGGTCACAAACATTCGCTCAAAGGTGAGGATATAAAGAACCTTCCACGGATCTCGAAATTGATTTTAATGAAATCACATCTAGTGAATTGCAGTCGAGAGGAAACGGCTTAACCCATGTGTTTATTTTGCATGATGTGCAGAAGTTCTGGCGGATCCTACTGTCACTGCAAGACTTGCAGACACCAAGGTAAGTCGAAATTGTTTATATTTATATCTTAAAAGGAAAAGTGTTGGTTGGTTGTTGTGATAAACTTTGGTTTTGGTTTAACGACACTCAACCCAAAAAGCATTCCCAGTGAAAAATGTCTCGACGTAATCGGTTATTCTCTGCTGATTTTTTTTTTTTTCTCGTTTTACTTAAACAGGCATCAAGCAGGTTTCTTCTCGTTGCATACAGAACCCGACAACAGTTCCTTTCAGATGTTACCTCTTCAGTTCGGTACGATGCAAAAACCCCCTCGACCCAGGCCGCCTCGTCAACATTAGTTATTTCCTCTCTGCATAATTTTTTTTTCAGTCTGCGTTTTTCTTAGTTATCAGGTTGTCATCAAGTTTCGCAGTCGAGTTTCTTTGGATAATTTCTTCTTTATTCTATTGTTTTGCTTATTAGTTTAACCCGTGTTCAGAGCCCCGAGTAATTTTATTTTATTCGTCTATTTAGAAACCACATTGACGTAACTTTGGTGAGACTTTAATATGATGTTACCTTTTCAGTTCGGTCGTCTTAATGCAGAAAAAGCAATATTCAATTGAGTGTCCAAAGCATGCGGTTTGCATTTGTTTGTCTTCAACGCTCCTCGTGATTGGTCCGGAAAACTCGCGCTACTCACTCAACCAATCAAATTTAAGAGTAAAACCAATCGCGCTTGAGTCACCCGCGTTTCTCCGTGCTTGAAGACAGTTATATGTTTTGGCGCTAAATCTTTCCTTTGCTCAAGTTGGCCGCTGTGATTATTTTAGTTTTGGTTTCATGACACTCAAGGGAGGAGCGTTTACTGTTGCACTTGAAACTCGTTGAACTTACATCAGCATCTTCAAAGGAAGTGCTTCTGACGAAAAATCAAATTGTCGAATGGTTTTTATTATTCAATTAACAATTGGTTCCTACGTCAGCGTGCGTTCATCGAGATATGAAGCACGCGGGAAGTTTGGAGAGCACGAAAGATGCGTAAGAGTTCTCTCTAACTCTAGCTTCTTGAGTGCTCTCCAAATTTCCCAAGTGCTCCCTATCTCGATGAACGCACAGCTGACGCATAAACCAATTGTTTTAGAACATTTTCAACCCGGTGAATTTTTTTCCTCTCGAGGGATTTGTTTGCTGACGTCACGAGCGTGCACAATAGGAATATGAAGCACGCTCGCGCAATTGAATTTGATTACACAAATTTACTAGCTATGTTATAATAATATTTATAAAATAATTCAAATAGTACGTGCGCTCTGATTGGCCATAAAACCATTTTACATGAGCGTATATAAACACGGTTTTCGTTCCGCTTTCAAATTCTATAAAAAGACGGTTTTGGTTCCTCTTTCATTAGTTATTTTAACACGCGGGAAAAGATAAGTTGGAAACCACTGGTTTCGTCGTGGTTTACATATCCTGTGTTCTCCCATCCCGCGTTTAAACACGGAAACCATTTTACATTTCTTCATTCTTAACCCGGGGAGAATGCACTATCCATTTGCACTATCCATGTGCGCTACTCGGCTCGAGGGCTGACTCAACCAAAGAAAAATCGTTGTTTTGGTGAAATTGTTCAGATTTTCAACAGAGCATCTGTGATTTCTTCTTTAATTAGCGTTACACATGTGGAGAAGGCCAATGAAGCTTTGGCAATCGAAACGCTGCTTGTCACTGATGAACTTTTCAGGTCAGGAACGAATGATAACGATATCTTTTACAATTCAGTTCAGCTTATTTTCATCCTGAAAGAGCATGTTTTTCCTTTCTGCTTTGTAATTGAAAATCGACGGCGTATCTAAATGAAAACTCTAGAATCGATTCACAAATTAACTATTCTCTCAAAGTAAAAATAATGTATCAGCTCAAAAAGTGGATAGTATTAGAAAATTGCACAAGGAATTGCTCAGAGTGTGGTGATTCTTTCAGCATGTTGCTAGGAAAAGAGGCAGTTTAAGCGCATCAGTTCTTTTAGCCCGCGATTCACACTCCATACGAAGTATCAACTCTCTGGCCCTTTGTCTTATAAATCTTAAAGTGAACAGACATACCAAATCAATAAAAGTCAGTGTGTTGATTTTGGAAAGAGTTTGATAGGGGTTTTTTTTGCGGTGGCGATTCATACTGCTCAAATTGCGAAAGGTTTGGCAAAAACCTCAAATCAACAATGTTTATGGTGAAATATCACAACTGTACTATTTCTCTCTCTTTTTTTTCCTCGAATGTCTTTTTAGGTCGACAGATTTGCCAACTCGTAAAAGATATGTCAAGCTTGTTGAAAGTGTTAAAGAAAATGGCGGCGAAGTCAGGTTTGTTACGAGCTCTAGTTACTAACGCGGTGGAATGTTTCAAAGTTTAGCAGTAGCACTTGAAAGGGTTTAAATTTGCTTTCATTCAATGCAGGGTTTTTTCAAGTCTACATGTTTCTGGAGAACGTACGTATGCACTTTTTTTGTACGTTGTCGTAATTAACGAGTAATATCTTTCAATATTCGACGATCGAGTTCAACATTTGCCACCTTTCATTTTCTGTTTACTCACACGACCATTTCGGCACTGCTGATACAAGCTGCAAGTAGAGTACTTGGCAGAGATGACACAACTCATGCAGAGCGAATTTAAGAATTTTTAATCGGGGGTCCAAAATTACTTCTCAACTTACGCCTGTTAATTCCCCCCTTTCTCAACCCCCCCCCCTTACTAAAGAATAAATCAGTTGAGTTGTAATATGCGATCCTGTCGTTGGGAGAGAATGTCGGTGTCAGACAAGTAATAAGAAAACCCCCACGGGTTTGAATGGGGGGGGAGTGGGTAGGGGGTTCAAGACCTCCTCGCGCCTTCCCTCTAGTTCCGCCACTGTTATGGCCTGGGTTCGATACCTCATAGGGAACATAGATTATTTTTTCTTCCTTTGCCTCACGCTCGTGACGAAACGAATAACGCCTTTCTTTAAATATAAGCTTCTTGTAATTTTTCATCATGATGTAAAATTTCCTACAACTTTATGTTTCTTATTTACGTCTTGTAGAGCTTGGCCAGTTGTCCGGTGTTGCGGCAATCTTGCGCTTCCCCATGCCGGACATCGCTGATGATGAAGGCTCCGCTGATTCTGAGGAGGATTAGTGAACTATGTACATACATTTCTCAAAACTGGATTTAGAGCGCTTTTCCATTGAGTGTCGAAAAACCAAAAACTTAGTTATCACGGCGACCTATATCACAAGGAGCCAATGAGAACTCAAAGCTACCTCAAGCGCGGGAAACGTCAGTGACCAGAACGCAATTGGTTTTAGATTTGTATCTGATTGGCTGAGGGAACTGCGTGAGTTGTGTAGACCAATCACGTTGCGAAGTAAAGAAAACCAATCTCATCCTTGTTAACTTTCGACACCTAATTGAAACTCGTTCTGAAACACCCAAATATTTAACAGGATATAGCTAACAATATAATTATCCAAAACTCAGGGAGACAATATTTTTAAAACGTGATCTAAGATTAGCAAATTCCCGTCTATGTTAAACGAGCTTTTATCCCACCTGATCAACGTTTGTGATATCGTTACAAAAAGTTGTGGTCGTGCATCATGACAAAGTACACTTCTAGTGTAGTGCATTGTCACTTTTCTCTCGATGTAGTCCATACCGATGTAGATCGCCTCGTCAACCTCATTCCCAGGTTTAGAGAGGATCATGAATCGAGGTTGATTGTGCATTGTGTAGTGGAAACATTATGATACTACATATTTATTAATGATAATGAGATTATTAATGGATGATAAAGAAGCCACAAAGATGGTTATTTCCCAGGCTGTGAGACAGTCTCTTGGGCAAACAGGTCATTCAACAGTAGATTTTCAAAAACATTTAAATAAAAAGAAAACTTATTGAAGCGAGGTTCGATCTTCCTCGAGAGCGATGTTTGAGACGACATAGAAACATCGAGTCCAGCGGATTTTGGTATTTGAATTGAAAACATTCATTGAATAAAAATTGTTTTTAAGCGTTAATAAAACAAACACATTGAAAAAAAAATTGGTTTGGTGCCTTTTGCCAAGGAATATCTCTTTAGCAATTAGTTAAAATTAAAAATTAAAATTAAATACATTTATATAGCGCCATCTTGCATTAATTGTCCATGGCGCTTTACAATACTCTAAAAACCGTAAAAATTAAAATCCTAAGAATTAAATACATTATAACCACAAGTAAAAACTACAAATCAAATGCACGTTTAAAAAGATAAGTCTTGAGATTAGCCTTAAAAACTGCCTCTGACGATGAAAGCCTGATCTGGAGTAGTAGTTTATTCTAGTAAAAAAGTGCTTGAAAATGTTAAAAAATTCGAAAAGAATTCAAACATTCTCGATTTTTCCTTCATCTAGTCTGTGTGAATAATGTTATGACTCGTTCAGTTTTTAGAAAATGATCGACGAAATCAGACCGGTCTGTGTGAGACTCGTTCAAAAATGATCGACCGGCAGCCTAAAAGAGGTAAACTTGACGTCTTTTGTTAACTTCCCCTGTTGTTTTCGCTCGGCCTATTTGTCTTTTTCGATCGGTGACGGTGAGCCTGATCCAGGCTTTTCATGAATCATTAGTTGAATGCTGGGATATTCGTGAATTGATTTATGAGGTTATATATTCCAGAGGAATGCAGAGGAACTTCAGTGATGAATATTTACAAGATAATCACTAAGAGGATGACTCACTGGAATTAGTTTTAAAATGATCAAGCACTCAACCCTCTATAGTGAATTTCTTTTTCGAGAAAAGCTGATTAAAATACCAGCCAATCAAAGGATTTTAGTCAAGCGTACTAACTAAAATAGTGATTGCCTTTTTCCAAGAAAACCTGATTGAAATACCAGCCAATCAGCGTTATGAGATATATTGCAGCCAGCTGAGGCCTTTTTCCAAGAAATTGCGGTTAAAATACTGGCCAATCACTGGACTTCATTTAACAAAAAGCGTACACTGAAGCCCATAACGTGGTTGTCTTTCCGAGAAAGTGAATGTTGACAGACGCTGTTGTGAATATAACAAACTCTTCCGACTTGCAAATATAGTTACCGAACTCAAAAACTGGCTTCCTTCGTGGATGAACCGCGTACCATAATAATAATAATCTTTATTAAGGAAACTTTTTCACAAAAAGTGGTTTTCGAAAAGGAACTCGAAAATTAAGACTGAAATATATACATAAAATTAAAAGAAAAAGAAAAGAGTTATAATTAAGAATTACATTAAGAAGTTAAAAAAATGTCGCTTGAATGTATTAATATTAGTAGATTCTCGTATTACCTGGCTAAATAAATTAAAGTCATTTACAGCATGATATGCAGTTCTTTGTTTCCTCCAGTTCCCTTAACGCTGGGAAGTCTAAGAAATAAGTTATTTTTACATGTTCAATTCCATCATTGGTTATAAAAGTGTGACGTACGAAACCGAAATTCATTCGCTTGAGTTGGAACCTTCAGCCGTAAAAGCCATCACCCCATTGAGACCCTCCTTCTACTACAATGAACCCATAATTCTCAAATGCGACTTGTTTGGCTTTGACCGTGTAGCCTTGGAATACGAAGTTTCCCCGAGTTTGGCGAAATCAGGTAATGTTGACATCAATACTAAATTAAACGGGAAGCAAGCCTGTCAAGCTTGCAATTGTTTGTTATTTTTCGAAGACAGGGAAGAACCCAAGCTATATAAAACTTTTATCATTCAAATAATCGTTCGGTGTTAGTGCCCTCTAGTTGCAAGTTTCTTGCAATTGTCAGAGGAAAAGAGGGAATAAAAAGGTTAAAGCAGCGCGAAATTCCGTTGGGAGTTTTCAAGAAAGTGCATTCCGGATGCGCGGATCCTACAACGTAACTGTGGTCCTGTCCATTTTCTCCAGCTCTCTCCTCTTCCCAAAAGAAATATGTTAAATTATTAACTATAACTATTGCTTATCACTGAAAGTCAAGCTAAGTCCTCCCTCTGATGTCATTTGCTTGTTGCCATATTTCAGTCACTGTATGAAATACCTTCCAAGGTAAGACAAGTGATGTAGTTATTTTCGAGCAAATTACCGATCCATTCCGTCCGTTTTTTTACGTATTACAAAAATTACTATTTTGGTCTTCGATCATGCAAATCACACTCGCATGAAAATGAAAAGCTCATGAGTACAACGGGTCAGTTTCCTTGCACAGATAGCTTACCGTTTAAAGACAGAAGCTTTATTTGTACTCTCGATCTGATCGATCTCGTGATGCAAATCCAACCGTTCCAAAAGGGATGAACACTGAATCCCGACGTTTCCCGTTAAACAGGGTAAAATGTTTCATTTTTCATCCTTAGTTATTAAAGTGTGACGTGCCAAACCGAAATGCAGTCACTTGGTTTTTTTAGCATTTTTGGCTTCGATCATGCAAATCACACCCGCTAGAAAGTGAAAAGTTCACGAAGACCAGGAGTCGATTGTCACGCACAGATAGTTAACCGTTTAAAGAAAGAAACTTAGGTTGTACTGTGATCGATCTTGTGATGAAAATCAAACCTTTCAAAGAGGTCAACACTAAAGCCTGACGCTCCCTATTAAAAAAAGAATAAAAAAGAATGACACTTTTCATTTTTCATGTTCAATTACATAATGAGTGATAATAGTGTGACGTCGGTACAAAACCAAAAGTGCTGTGCACTCATTGCTTGAGTGGTAGGGTCGGACGGGAACTAATATTTGGCTCGGGGTCATGACCTACGGACCGAGCGCAGCGAGGTCCTTGCTTCATGAACAAGAGCTAAACCAAACTCACATCAATAAGCATTTTATTATATGACCACTACCTGCTGAAAATTTCAACCAAAGTAGGACGCGATAGATAGGCATTGGAGCACACACAAAAAAAATTATACAATTAAAACTTTTTCTTTTTATTTCGATTAACCCAGAGATGAGAAGGGAATAACCTCAAACACAAGTGATCTGGATACCCAAAACACTGCGACAGCGGAAGTTCGGAAAGTTGAGAGTTGAGGTTATTGAGTATCGTTCAATTTGAGAAATTGATGATTATAAAAATAAAATCAGACCCGGCTCTGTTTATGTTGTGGACTGTTCCTCGCTGAAGGAAATCCGTGGGGGGTTATTCCGTGGTTTTCCAGTGGCTTTGATCTGCATTAGCTATTAATTTGACTTTGTTTTATGAGAGTCCAACGAACGATTCAGAGATCGCGGTAGATTCGACTTGTACACAAGCGTGTCATGGTCGAGATACCCCTCACTTAAATCTTTGGATACTAGCGGCGGGTTCTGCGGTACATATTTTTCTAAACGCCGTAATTTGTTTCTTTGTCTGTTAAAGCGCCAGAGTCTCGATAAGTCATGACGCTGCGCGCTCACGAAGAGAGATGTTATAATTTTCTTAGAAAAACTGAAATTTACTTATATTCACTGTAATTGCATTCATAGTATAAACGTGCATTTCCGCTGAACGGATGCTTTATATCTCTGCTGTAAAAGTGCTTTCTTCAAACCTTTATGGTTTTTATACAATATATTTCAACCTCATTAGCTATGATTGTTAAGCAAACTGATGGTTTCCACAATCACGTGATCAAAACTAAAATCAATCCTATGTTTTCAGCCAAATACTTCAGATAAGTAAGCTCATTACTAGGTGATTAACTGCTAGAAGAACATTTTAAAATGTTCCCAGAACGTTGTAGTAAAAGGCTCACCAATCCTTTCATGTTTTTTTTTTTTTAATTGGTGGAAACCCCGACGACCTTTAAAAAAGCCCTTTTTATTGATGGATGAACAAGCCCCCACTTGGATAACAGTTGACGCACGATCAGTCACTCAGTCCGTTTTCAAAAAGTTTTTTACCAATGTGATCCGTTGATGTGCTCCAGTAATCCACGACTCAGCCCGTTTTATTTTGAACTTCACAGCTCGTTACAAGAAGGTTCCTGTTTTTGTATTGACTCATTATGAATCTAGATTAGCGAATCATTTGCTTAACTTGTGTTACTAAAAGTAATGTTTCCCTAATAACAGGAGAGGATGGCAATGGAAACCAAACGGCAGACGGAAGCCATGATAGCTTTCATGGACATCGCCTTAGATGTTGTCCTGTTCCTGCTCAACACAGATCGCATTCAGAAAGCCATTGAGATATTGAACGAATGTTTGATTTTGCTAAATAACACCGATCAAAACAGCAAAGACCAATTCATTTCACTAATATACACGGCCATTTATACTGCTCTTTTCGGCGCTTATCGTAGAATCTCTGACTACATCAGTGCGGAAAGATACGGCATGAAACTGCTTGTCTTACTCAGCGAGACTGGTGACAGAAAAGGAGAGGCATCATGCTACAGAAACCTAGGTGCTGTGTTTAGGTTTCTCGGGCAATACGACAAGGCTAAAGAGTATCTTCAAAAAGCGCTTGTCATCAGAACTGAGATTGGCGACAGTGAAGGAGTAGCAGCTGACTACGGAAACCTAGGTACTGTGTTTCATTCGCTCGGGCAATACGACAAGGCTAAAGAGTATCTTCAAAAAGCACTTGTCATCAGAACTGAGATTGGCGACAGAGAAGGAGTAGCAGCTGACTACGGAAACCTAGGTAATGTGTTTCATTCGCTCGGGCAATACGACAAGGCTAAAGAGTATTTTCAAAAAGCGCTTGTCATCAGAACTGAAATTGGCGACAGAAAAGGAGTAGCAGCTGACTACGGAAACCTAGGTACTGTGTTTCATTCGCTCGGGCAATACGACAAGGCTAAAGAGTATCTTCAAAAAGCGCTTGTCATCAGAACTGAGATTGGCGACAGTGAAGGAGTAGCAGCTGACTACGGAAACCTAGGTAATGTGTTTCATTCGCTCGGGCAATACGACAAGGCTAAAGAGTATTTTCAAAAAGCGCTTGTCATCAGAACTGAGATTGGCCACAGAGAAGGAGTAGCAGCTGACTACGGAAACCTAGGTACTCTGTTTCATTCGCTCGGGCAATACGACAAGGCTAAAGAGTATCTTCAAAAAGCGCTTGTCATCAGAACTGAGATTGGCGACAGAAAAGGAGTAGCAGCTGACTACGGAAACCTAGGTACTGTGTTTCAATCGCTCGGGCAATACGACAAGGCTAAAGAGTATTTTCAAAAAGCGCTTGTCATCAGAACTGAGATTGGCGACAGAAAAGGAGAAGCAGCTGACTACGGAAACCTAGGTACTCTGTTTCTTTCGCTCGGGCAATACGACAAGGCTAAAGAGTATCTTCAAAAAGCGCTTGTCATCAGAACTGAGATTGGCCACAGAGAAGGAGTAGCAGCTGACTACGGAAACCTAGGTAATGTGTTTCATTCGCTCGGGCAATACGACAAGGCTAAAGAGTATTTTCAAAAAGCGCATGTCATCAGAACTGAAATTGGCGACAGAAAAGGAGAAGCAGCTGACTACGGAAACCTAGGTAATGTGTTTCATTCGCTCGGGCAATACGACAAGGCTAAAGAGTATTTTCAAAAAGCGCTTGTCATCAGAACTGAGATTGGCGACAGAAGAGGAATAGCAGCTGACTACGGAAACCTAGGTACTGTGTTTAATTCGCTCGGGCAATACGACAAGGCTAAAGAGTATTTTCAAAAAGCGCTTGTCATCAGAACTGAGATTGGCGACAGAAAAGGAGAAGCAGCTGACTACGGAAACCTAGGTAATGTGTTTCATTCGCTCGGGCAATACGACAAGGCTAAAGAGTATTTTCAAAAAGCGCTTGTCATCAGAACTGAGATTGGCGACAGAAGAGGAATAGCAACTGACTACGGAAACCTAGGTACTCTGTTTCTTTCGCTCGGACAATACGACAAGGCTAAAGAGTATCTTCAAAAAGCGCTTGTCATCAGAACTGAGATTGGCGACAGAAAAGGAGTAGCAGCTGACTACGGAAACCTAGGTGCTGTGTTTCGTTCGCTCGGGCAATACGACAAGGCTAAAGAGTATTATCAAAAAGCGCTTGTCATCAGTACTGAGATTGGCGACAGAGAAGGTGTAGCATTTGACTACGGAAACCTAGGTACCGTGTTTCGTTCGCTCGGGCAATACGACAAGGCTAAAGAGTATTATCAAAAAGCGCTTAATATCAGAACTGAAATCGGTCATAAGCGAGGGGAGGCAGCAGATCTTGCAAATCTTGGAATTATGTTCAGAACTGCTGGAGATTATGAAGCTTCGGAAGTATGCTTGGAGAAAGCTTTATCCATATCTAGAGATATTGGAGATAGAAGGAGCGTGTTCAGAATTCTTCAAGAATACGCCATTTTGTATTTATTTCAAAATAAAGTCGAAGACTCCCTCTCGTGTCTTCAACTTTGCATTGAAAAGTATGAGGAGCTCAGATCTTTCTTGGGTGCCAATGATCAGTTCAAAACATCATTTCTGGAGGACTCAGGAATATTTCCCTACAAGCTGCTTTGCACTCTGCTTTGTGACACCGGAAAAACTCGTGATGCTCTTTATGTTGAGGAGTTGGGTCGAGCCAGAGGTCTCTCAGACTTGATGGTAGAGAAGTACTCGGTTGAAACGCACATCTCTGCTAATCCACACTCTTGGTTTGGCATTGAAAACATTTTTAGAAAGAAACACAACTGTACTTGTCTGTACATTTCTTATTTTCACAATCATCTGCATTTGTGGATCTTGAAAACAGGTGGAGTCCTTCACTATAGAAGAATATCACCTGAAGAGAGTCTAGTTCAGGCCGGGTTGCCCAAAGACTTGCCTCTGAGTGAATTTTTGGCTAAAAATTTCCGGAGTCTTGGTATTTTGCCCATTGAAGATTGTGAAGATCGGTCTTTAAATATGGTTGAATTGCAACCTCTCTCCCCCGAACAAAAGAGCTCAGCAAGGTTGCGACTCCTGGAGGAGGGCGAGGACGAGGACGAGGAAGTCATTTCAAGTCTATCCTTGTGTTACAAAATGTTTATTGCCCCCGTTTATGATTTGCTTGAGGAGCCTGAAGTGATTATTGTTCCTGACCGCAGTTTGTACAAAGTTCCCTTTGCTGCTCTGAGTGAAAAAGAGGGAGCCGAATACCTGTCAGAGACTCGTAGGATCCGTGTCATTCCTTCTTTGACGACACTCAAGATCATTCAAGATAGTCCAGAGGACTATCATAGCAACACTGGTGCCTTGATAATAGGCAATCCCAAGGTTGATGGGCTGTCGCCCTTGCCATGTGCAAGCAAGGAAGCGGAGATGGTCGGACGACTGGTGGGCGTTCTCCCACTGGTTGAAGAGGAAGCAACGAAGCAGGCAGTAATAGAGCGGATAAGTTCAGTGAGCCTAATACATTTTGCTGCCCATGGTAACGCCGAAAGGGGAGAAATTGCCCTCTCCCCCATTCCTTCTGTCAACAGTCGAAACGCTATCCTACCTAAGGAAGCTTACATGTTGACGATGGCTGATGTCTCACGAGTGAAAGTCAGAGCCAAACTGGTGGTACTTAGCTGCTGTCACAGTGCAAGTGGAGAGATAAAAGCCGAGGGAGTTATAGGAATTGCCCGTGCGTTCTTAGGATCCGGTGCTCGCTCGGTGTTGGTTGCGCTGTGGGCCATTTCAGACTCAGCAACAGAGAAGCTAATGAGTCGGTTCTACGAACACCTTGTTGAAGGAGAAAGTGCCAGTGAATCCCTTCATCAGGCCATGAAGTGGATGAGAAAAAACGGCTTGACCAATGTGTCTGAGTGGGCTTCGTTTACGCTGATTGGAGATGATGTTAAGCTCGAGTTCACAAACAGAGGTAAGACTCGGCGAGAACAAGTATTTCATAAATTAAAGTTAAATTAGATTTGAAGCTAGCTATGACTTACTGGTCGCTGACTGTCGGCGAGGATCCTTTGTTACCTTGAACATCAAGGCTAGTTTAATATATACCTATATATATATTTTTTTTTTCGAAAAGTTACTATAGACGCTCTCTGCCAATCACATACAAGTGTTACCCATATACATTTTACATATTGTGCTTGGTATAATTGTATTTGCTTTATATCCTAAATATTAATCGAGTTAATAAATTGTTGTTTTTTGCTTTTTACAGGAAAACAGACCCTGACAGAGTAAATAATGAGAATTACTTGAAGGAAACAGAGCTAAAAGACTTGTAGATGGATAAATTAAATAGAAACAAGTAGAGAAAAGACTACCTGTTATTTCATTGACGTTGAAAAAAAAAGAGCTATCCCAAATTAGGGTACGGAAGGCTTTTAAATAAAGCGAAATCAGTAAAGTAGTTAGGTGTAAAACGAACCACTGAAATCTGGTTTGAATTTTTTAAGGCTTTTGTAAGATTTAACTGACAAAACATGTAATTTCTGACGTTTGAGGGACATGAGAACGAATTAGTCAGAAATTAATATTCTGACGGCACGTTGAAGAGGTTCGCATGGCAACACGGTAGTTTCGGATTATTTAAGCGTTTCGCGGGAAAATTAAGTCATTCTACGTCGGTCAGTCTTAGGTTTGACCACTTTCTTTTTTTTATTTTTATTTAATTTAATTTTTTTTTATAACGCTCTGTAAAATATCACTGCTTTCATCGAATTTTCTGTGTGATTAGTAGTGTGACTAGGTTTATTTTAGTTACCCTTTCCTCGGGGTATAGTGCTGCTGCATTAGATGAGGAATACGTTTCTACATATTTTTTGGCCACTTCTAAAGAGTGGTTTTTTAGTGGTTTTTCGTATCTGGCGTAGCACAGCCTATTTTTGTATAACCCTTCAGTTTCAGTGAATACTTGCTGTACATTGAAGATTGTAGTAGGATGTGTAGACTACAAGATTGGCTGACTCTTCCTAAATAAACTTTCACATTGAATATCTCGTCTGAAAGTAGTCAGAATCTTAAATATTTGAGGAAAGATTTTGATGAAGCATCTCAAAAAGAATCCTTGCCAACCACAGCTCTGTTTTTGTTAACATACGGGCAAGTGCGGAGAAATTCTCCTGGCAGGAGTCGTGCCGGCCCGTGAAGACTATTTACTTGGCTTAAAGAAAGGACTCGCAAAAGAAGAAAAAACAAAACAAATCTGACGCGCTCCACATTTAATAAAAAACGTACAGAGCTTAAAAATACGACAAAAGAAGGGAAAGAGGAGACCTGACGAAATTCTGGGGAAATACATGTCTGGAGTTGTCTGCTCCAATAGAGAAGGGTCACTTAAAAAACAAAGAAAGGAAACAGCACGCAGAAGAAAATATTGCCTTCTGTAATGCAATATCACTCGGCTTTATCTAACCGCAAGAAAATACTGATGGGTAAATGGCACCTCATTCAAAATTACATTGGAAAAAAAAATCATCAAAATGTATCCTGGTCTGGACTAATCTATGAAGACAGAAGTATAAAATCGCTTGCAGAAGCAAGAAGTGTTAGGCAGGCTCGTCAATACTTCAAGTTTTAACTGGTTACTTGCCTCTTGTGATATACACCCTGCGCGAAGCTTGTGGACTCTTTGATGTAGAAAAATCTCTACAAATCGGCTATTGTTTAGATCTCTGATGCTACGACTATCCTTCCTGTCATTCCACAGCTTGAAATTTTTAGTCTGCTCCGTGGCTTTAGGCCCTCCATGTGAAGGAACGCGAGATACCATTGATGGTTTTAGTTACAAACAAAATTTCTCAAGAAAATTATCAGAAACCGTTACACAACTACCCAGAATAAATCACTGATAATTTCAGAACCTCTCCACGACAATTTAGAGCTCAAAATATATTTGAGAGTCTGTCCAAGAGAGGACCGGGCAGGCGTGATACATGCCATCTCACCGATTGCTTTCAAACTTTCACAGTTTATTGGGATCATTAAGTTATTCGAGAATCCTGAGTAGTTCGGACTCCCAGTTAATTATCCCTGGGGTATTAGAGCCCCCACATCAAATCCCTGGGCTAAAAGGCTGAAATTAGCTCGAAAAATGCACTTCCTAAAAATATCTCTCACGCTAATAGAATGGCATGGACTTTAATCTTATTTTTTCCAATAGTTGTTTGAGCCTTAAAAAAATGAATTCCTAAAACTGGGGTAATTTGCTTTCGTTTTTGCTGATTTAGAATAGGTAACCATTAACCGGAACTATTCAAAAAGATAAAAAAGTAGGGATTTTAAAATCTAAATATCTCTAACGGGCAAGATTGTGTATCGACAAACATATGATCATAGAAGTTACCTATTATAACACTATGTTTGTAGGCAAAAAAATTTTGGGGCGCTATAAGAGATGCGTGATCACAGCCCTCTTAAGTACGTGACCGTTGACGTTAATATATGCAATTTTTGCCATAAACTTGATGTTTATTCAGTCAATTTCATGGTGGCATTTCAGATTTTGTCTCCACCGAGCACTTAGCGCTGCGCGATGCTTTCGACAAACGGTTTCATCAGCCTCATCCTGATCGAATAATCCTCTGGCCAAAATAAGTTCCTTTTCTGACCGAACACATGTCTGAGGCACCTTCAGCTGTCGCAGGTGAGATTTTACATCTTCCTCACAGGAAAACAAAGTGAAAAATTCATTTCCACCTGGATACCTCGCTGATATATTGCACTTTGCGTCGGAATATGATACAAACGAACATGACAATTGGAACATGACAATTAAGCCTCTTTTCTTAATAGCCTAAACAAGTTGAATTTAAAATACGTAAGTCGAACTTCTCTGGTAAAAGAATCATTGCAGACTGAGACTATATAGGAGAGGACTACATACGTTCATTAGTCTTTATTTACTTCTCGTTACAAAAATGTTTACACAGTTCTTTTCGAAAGATCTCTTAGTTGATGAAAAAAAAAACTTAATTCAGTGTGTGATATACATTTACTTAAAAAAGTCCGAGAGGTGTCCCAGGATCAACTGTCAGGCGATTGCACCTTTATTTACTTGACTGCTTCCGTTTCCTCTGAAAGAAACTTTTTCTATTTTCAGCGCCTTCATGGGTTTTTTAAAACATGAACATAAACTTAATAGGTGTTTAACCCTTTATCCCCTGTGGGTGACTTGTATCTATTTTCTCCTCACCATATCCCCCCTGAATCAAACATTAAGGTCAGGAGAATAAAGAAACTGATCACCTACCAAAGAAGCTCGTGGTTGTCAGACAAATTCTCCTTGTCAACACCTTAGGAAATGTTTAGAGATCAGTGTAGAGAATATGCATACTGATGTTAGGGTGTAAAGGCTTAAGGTAATAAAACATATTCAAACGCTTTTAGAAATGCTCCTATAGACTGTGCATGAAAACGAGGCTACTATATAAAACATCTTATAACTTCGTTTATTACAGGAAAACAGCACCAAAATAGAACCAAAGATTTAAGACCCTCGTGTAAATCTATGTTCTCGTTGATGTCTTTTAAAAACGCTCATTTAGTAACTGGGCTTCACAAGATTAGTCACGTGACTAAATCAGCATGGAAGTGAGGCTGGGCTGTTAAAAAATATTCCTTTGACTTTCCTACGATGTCTGAAATGTTTTGCTATTCTTCATAAACAGCATGGAAATTTATGTCAGCTCAAACTGGAAGTTTGGGTTAAATCTCATGGTTTTCAGGGGGAACGGTGGGGAAATCCGTTGTTGCCTATAGAGTATAAAGGGCAGCCTGTAGATAATTGACTGCCCATTAACTGCCAATGAGGGAAGGGATAACTTAAAGAATATCAGAGAGCTTCGTGAGGGATCAGGTAAATTATCGTGACGCAAGGAAATATCTTTACAACCTCACTTTTTCATGTTTTTTATTATATGAATCTATCTTTTGTGTAACCGAATTGTTTACATTAGCAATTGGAGTAAAAATGTTTGATTGCCATGCAGCACCCATTTAAAAAAAGTTAATATCTGTCCTTGACAGAGGTTCTCCATTCTCCTCAGCAAACATTCCATGGTCCTTCACTCTCACAATCCAAATTTTTGTTCAGATTGTTGCATCCTGCTCCAAAACATTGCCCAAGTTGGTTTTTGTTGTGTATGTGCTACTAACGTATGGATGCATGCAATTTTTATTGCTGAACATCAACGCCCTCTTATTTATTTTTTTGATTTAATTTTGCAGTCATCAAGTGCATTCTTGTTGCTAGTCCTGGCTTTGTCAAGGTTAGTTGTAGAGAAGCACAAACTGTTTAAGTCCTCAAAGAGGCAGTGAAAGAGGAAAGTGGTACATATGATCATGATTTTGCTTTTTCCTATTATCATAATTTTAGCTTTTCAAAGTAAACTTATGATTAGATAAAGAATCTGACTCTGATAGCAACTGACTAAGCGGGATTTTCTTTGTTATAAAGGACTATTATCACAGCTTTATTTCTGTCCTTTTTGCGTCTGTTTCATGTGATTAATACGATTTTCAGATGTAGTTGAAAATTTAAAAAAAAATAAAACTTTAAGCTAATATTAAAAATGAAATAATAGCAGAATTGTAAATCCCTACGGTTCAGCATACGGTGTGTATGGAAAATCTTCCCATAACTTATACCCTTCAGCTCCTCTTCAAGCACAGAAAAATACATTGCGACTCAGAAAGAAGAAAAAGGAAGGAGTATTTCTTCATCTTCTAACCTATAGTGAGAAGTAATTAAGATGTCCTCATTTAATTATTTATGTATATTTTTTATTATTAGTGTTGAGTAACCAATGTGGTGAAGTAGTTGTTTTAAATGATATTTGCAGGATCAGTTTTGTGATTATATGTTCCAACAAGCTGTAAAGAATGATTGGAAAGCAATCATTGATAACAAATCAAAATTCGTCTTGGTAAGTTTAGATTTAAAAATGTTGTAGATTTGTTATAACTTAATTATAACTTAATTAAACTGGGATAGTCTACAGGACGAAGGCACGGAAGGCCTTTTTTTAGGCAGGATCAGCCATTCTTTGCGATCTCACGTAACGCTCCCCCAGGTGTTGCATGACATTCAACAGAGCGACTGTGAAGGGGACTCCAGGCGAACGATACGCGATAAAACTACTACAAAGAAGTTTTTAAGGGTGGGGGGGGGAGCATGGGGCTTATTAGTATGGGGTGGGGCTGATGAAACACTTGAAGTTCAAGAGGGGGGTTCAATTCAATAGAAAGGGTGGCTTAGTACAGAGGGGGCTTAAGATAGAGGGCGCGGCTCACCAGAGCGTTTACGACTTTTTTTCCTTTTCAGGCTCACTCATCATCGGGTCACAAACATTCGCTCAAAGGTGAGGATATAAAGAACCTTCCAAGGATCTCGAAATTGATTTTAATGAAATCACATCTAATGAATTGCAGTCGAGAGGAAACGGATTAACCCATGTGTTTGTTTTGCATGATGTGCAGAAGTTCTGGCGGATCCTACTGTCACTGCAAGACTTGCAGACACCAAGGTAAGTCGAAATTGTTTAGATTTATATCTTAAAAGGAAAAGTGTTGGTTGGTTGTTGTGATAAACTTTGGTTTTGGTTTAACGACACTCAATCCAAAAAGCATTCTAAATCACAGGTCTCGTCAACAGTTCCAGTGACGAGAAATGTCTCGACGTAATCGGTTATTCTCTGCTGATTTTTTTTTTCTCATTTTACTTGTAACAGGCATCAAGCGAAGTAAAAGCTTTGGATAATTTCTTCACAATGTTACATACAGAACCCGACAGAGCTTATTATGGGTAGGTCTATTTGCTGTGACGTATCTTTCACTTTATTATGATGTTACTTTTTCAGTTCGTTATTATGCAGAAAGAGTGTGTCCAAAGCACGCGGTTTGCATTGGTTTGTCTTCAACGCTCCTCGTGATTGGTCCGGAAAACTCGCGCCACTCACTCAACCAATCAAATTTAAGAGTAAAACCAATCGCGCTTGAGTCACCCGCGTTTTCCCGCGCTTGAAGACAGTTTCCTTTCCTTTGCTCAAGTTGGCCACTGTGATTATTTTAGTTTTGGTTTCATGACACTCAAGGGAGGAGCGTCTATTGTTGCACTTGAAACTCGTTGAACTTACATCAGCATCTTCCAAGGAAGTGCTTCTGATGGAAAATCAAATTGTCGAATGGTTTTTATTATCCAATTAGCAATTGGTTCCTACGTCAACGTGGGTTCATCAAGATATGAAGCACGCGGGAAGTTTGGAGAGTAAGAAAGATGCGTCAGAGTTCTCTCTAACTCTAGCTTCTTGAGTGCTCTCCAAACTTCCCAAGTGCTTCATATCTCGATGAACGCACAGCTGACGTATGAACCAATTGTTTTATAAGAGATAAGATAAGCGTAGGAAACCACGACGCGAAGCGGAGTGGTTTCCAGCTCATCTCGTGTTCTCCCAACCTCCCGCGTGTTTACATCAGGCTATGTAAACACGGAAACCATTTTACATTTCTTCATTCTTAACCCGGGGAGAATGGTACACTATCCATGTGCGCTACTCGGCTCGAGGGCTGACTTAACCAAAGGAAAATCGTTGTTTTGGTGAAATTGTTCAGATTTTCAACATAGCATCTGTAATTTCTTCTTTAATTAGCGTTACACATGTGGAGAAGGCCAATGAAGCTTTGGCAATCGAAACGCTGCTTGTCACTGATGAACTTTTCAGGTCAGGAACGAATGATAACGATATCTTTTACAATTCAGGTCAGCTTATTTTCATCCTGAAAGAGCACGTTTTTCCTTTCTGCTTTGTAATTGAAAATCGACGGCGTATCTAAATGAGAACTCTAGAATTGATTCACATATTAACTACTCTCTCAAAGTAAAAATAATGTATCAGCTGAAAAAGTGGATAGTATTAGAAAATTGCACAAGGAATTGCTCAGAGTGTGGTGATTCTTTCAGCATGTTGCTAGGAAAAGAGGCAGTTTAAGCGCATCAGTTCTTTTAGCCCGCGATTCACACTCTATACGAAGTATCAACTCTCTGGCCCTTTGCCTTATGAATCTCAAAGTGCACAGACATACCAAATCAATAAAAGTCAGTGTGTTGATTTTGGAAAGAGTTTGATAGGGTTTTTTTTGCGGTGACGATTCATACTGCTCAAATTGCGAAAGGTTTGGCAAAAACCTCAAATCAACAATGTTTATGGTGAAATATTACGACTGTACTATTTCTCTCTCTTTTTTTTCCTCCAATGTCTTTTTAGGTCGACAGATTTGCCAACTCGTAAAAGATATGTCAAGCTTGTTGAAAGTGTTAAAGAAAATGGCTGCGAAGTCAGGTTTGTTACGAGCTTCTAGTTACTAACGCGGTGGAATGTTTCAAAGTTAAGCAGTAGGACTTGAAAGGGTTTAAATTTGCTTTCATTCAATGCAGGGTTTTTTCAAGTCTACATGTTTCTGGAGAACGTACGTATGCACTTTTTTTGTACGTTGTAATTGAATTGTAATTTTTTTTTTATGTAAAATTTCGTACAACTTTATATTTCTTACTTGCGTCTTGCAGAGCTTGGCCAGTTGTCCGGTGTGGCGGCAATCTTGCGCTTCCCCATGCCGGACATCGCTGATGATGAAGGCTCCGCTGATTCTGAGGAAGATTAGTGAACTGTGTACATACATTTCTCAAAACTGGATTTAGAGCGCTTTTCACTTGAGTGTCGAAAAACCAAAAACTTAGTTATCACGGCGACCTATCAGAAGAAGGTAGATATCACAAGGAGCCAATGAGAACTCAAAGCTACCTCAAGCGCGGGAAACGTCAGTGACCAGAACGCGATTGGTTTTAGATTTGTATCTGATTGGCTGAGGGAACTGCGTGAGTTGTGTAGACCAATCACGTTGCGAAGTAAAGAAAACCAATCTCATCCTTGTTAACTTTCGACACCTAATTGAAACTCGTTCTGAAACACCCAAATATTTAACAGGATATAGCTAACAATATAATTATCCAAAACTCAGGGAGACAATATTTTTAAAAGGTGATCTAAGATTAGCAAATTCCCGTCTATGTTAAACGAGCTTTTATCCCACCTGATCAACGTTTGTGATATCGTTTCAAAAAGTTGTGGTCGTGCATCATGACAAAGTACACTTCTAGTGTAGTGCATTATCACTTTTCTCTCGATGTAGTCCATACCGATGTAGATCGCCTCGTCAACCTCATTCCCAGGTTTAGAGAGGATCGTGAATCGAGGTTGATTGTGCATTGTGTAGTGGAAACATTATGATACTACATATTTAGTAACGATAATGAGATTATTAATGGATGATAAAGAAGCCACAAAGATGGTTATTTCCCAGGCTGTGAGAAAGTCTCTTGGGCAAACAGGTCATTCAACGGTAGATTTTCAAAAACATTTCAATAAAAAGAAAACTTATTGAAGCGAGGTTCGATCTTCCTCGAGAGCGATGTTTGAGACGACATAGAAACATCGAGCCCAGCAGATTTTGGTATTTGAATTGAAAACATTCATTGAATAAAAATTGTTTTTAAGCGTCAATAAAACAACAAACACATTGAAAAAAAAATTGGTTTGGTGCCTTTTGCCAAGAAATATCTCTATAGCAATTAGTTAAAATTAAAAATTAAAATTAAATACATTTATATAGCGCATATATTCCATAAATTGTCCATGGCGCTTTACAATACTCTAAAAACCGTAAAAATTAAAATCCTAAGAATTAAATACACTGTAACCACAAGTAAAAACTACAAATCAAATGCACGCTTATATAGATAAGTCTTGAGATTAGCCTTAAAAACTGCCTCTGACGATAAAAGCCTGATCTGGAGTAGTAGTTTATTCCAGAGCCTTGGTGCCGCCACGGAAAAAAAGTTTTCTAATATTGAAAATGTTAAAAAATTCGAGAAGAATTCAAACATTGATCAAGAAGAAATTACCTTTATAGCGCAGATACGCCCATACCAACCCTGTGTGCGTGCTCCTGAATAATGTTATGTGTAATGGCTCTCATTTGCTCGTTGGCATACCTGTTTTTATGAAAATATTAAAACATGTGACGTTACTTTCACTTCCCAAGAAGATCAAATCTCCATTTTTCCTTCATCTAGTCTGTGTGAGACTCGTTCAGTAGAAATAATCGCGAAATCAGACCGGAGCGAAAAGCGGCAGCCTAAAAGAGGTAAACTTGCCGTCTTTTGTTAACTTCCGCTGTTGTTTTCGCTCGGCCTATTTGTCTCTTTTGATCGTTGACGGTGAGCCTGATCCAGGCTTTCCATGAATCATTAGTTGAATGCTGGGATATTCGTGAATGGATTTATGAGGTTATATATTCCAGAGGAATGCAAAGGAACTTCAGTGATGATTATTTACTAGATAATCTCTAAGAGGATGACTCACTGGAATTAGTTTAATAATGGCCAAACACTCAACCCTCTATAGTGAATTTCTTTTTCGAAAAAAGCTGATTAAAATGCCAGCCAATCAAAGGACTTTAGTCAAACGTACTAACTAAAATAGTGATTGCCTTTTTCCAAGAAAACCTGATTGAAATACCAGCCAATCAGCGTTATGAGATATATTGCAGCCAGCTGAGGCCTTTTTCCAAGGAGTTGCGGTTGAAATACTGGCCAATCACTGGACTTCATTTAACAAAAAGCGTACACTGAAGCCCATAACGTGGTTGTCTTTCCGAGAAAGTAAATGTTGACAGACGCTGTTGTGAATATAACAAACTCTTCTGACTTGCAAAGATAGTTACCGAACTCAAAAAACTGGCTTCCTTCGTGGATGAACCGCGTACCATAATAATAATAATATTTATTAAGGAAACTTTTCCACAAAAAGTGGTTTTCAAAAAGGAACTCGAAAATTAAGACTAAAATATATACATAAAATTAAAAGAAAAAAAAGGAATTGTAATTAAGAATTACATTAAGAAGTTAAAAACATGTCGCTTGAATGTATTAATATTAGCAGATTCTCATATTTCCTGGCTAAGTAAATTAAAGTCATTTACAGCATGATATGCAGTTCTTTGTTTCCTCCAGTTCCCCTTAACGCTGGGGAGTCTAAGAAATAAGTTATTTTGACATGTTCAATTCAATCATTGGTTATAAAAGTGTGACGTACGAAACCGAAATTCATTCGCTTGAGTTGGAACCTTCAGTCGTAAAAGCCATCACCCCACTAAGACCCTCCTTCTACTACAGTGAGCCCATAAATCTCAAATGCGACTTGTTTGGCTTTGACCGTGTAGCCTTGGAATACGAAGTTTCCCCGAATTTGGAGAAATCAGGTAAAGTTGACATCAATACTAAATTAAACGGGAAGCAAGCCTGTCAAGCTTGCAATTGTTTGTTATTTTTCGAAGACAGGGAAGAACCCAAGCTATATAAAACTTTTATCATTCAAATAATCGTTCGGTGTTAGTGCCCTCTAGTTGCAAGTTTCTTGCAACTGTTAGAGGAAAAGAGGAAACAAAAAGGTTAAAGCAGCGCGAAATTCCGTTGGGAGTTTTCAGGAGAGTCCTTCCGAATGCGCGAATCCTACAACGTAATTGTGGTCCAGTCCATTTTCTCCAGCTCTCTCCTCTTCCCAAAAGAAATATGTTAAACTGTTAACTATCACTAATGTTTATCACTGAAAGTCAAGCTAAGTCCTCTCTCTGATGTCATTTGCTTGTTGCCATATTTCATTCACTGTATTAAATACCTTCAAAGGTAAGACAAGTGATGTAGTTATTTTCGAGCAAATTACCGATCCATTCCGTCCGTTTTTTTACGTATTACAAAAATTACTATTTTTGTCTTCGATCATGCAAATCACACTCGCAAGAAAATGAAAAGTTCATGAGTACAACGGGTCAGTTTTCTTGCACAGATAGCTTACCGTTTAAAGGCAGAAGCTTTATTTGTACTCTCGATCTTATCGATCTCGTGATGCAAATCCAACCGTTCCAAAAGGGATGAACACTTAAGCCTGACGTTTCCCATCATGAACAGGGTAAAATGTTTCCTTTCTCATCCTTAGTTATAAAAGTGTAACGTGCCAAACCGAAATACAGTCACTTAGTTTTTTTAGCATTTCTGGCTTCGATCATGCCAATCACACTCGCTAGAAAGTGAAAAGTTCACGAAGACCAGGAGTCGATTGTCACGCACAAATAGTTAACCGTTTAAAGAAAGAAGCTTAGGTTGTACTGTGATCGATTTTGAGATGAAAATAAAACCTTTCAAAGAGGCCCACACTAAAGCCTGACGCTCTCTATTAAAAAAGAATAAAAAAGAAAAACACTTTTCATTTTTTATGCTCAATTACATCATTAGTGATAATAGTGTGACGTACAAAACCCAAATATTGTGTACTTATTGCTTGAGTGGTAGGGTCGGATGGGAACCAATATTTGGCTCGGGGTCATGACCTACGGACCGAGCGAGGTCCTTGCTCCATGAACGAGAGCCAAACCAAACTCACATCAATAGGCATTTTATCATATGACTCGTAACTGCTGAAAATTTCAACCAAAATAGGACGCGGTAAATAGACATAGACATAGGAACACACAAAAAATTATGCAATTAAAACTTTTCCTTTTTATTTCGATTAGCCCAGAGGGGGAAAGGGAATAACCTCAAACACAAGTGATCTGGATACCCAAAACACTGAGAGGGCGGAAGTTTGAAAGGTTGAGAAAAGTCCTGACTGTAATTCGTTATTTTTGTTGTTTCATTTTCAAAACGTCAGCCACATTGTCAACATCTTGGTAACTGCGATTGAAAATCTTTTCTAGTCACTCGTTTTTTATCAGCTCTCGTTATTTAGTACCTGTAGAGAGGTAAGGCTCTTATGGCAAAGCCCAGTAGATGCTTTTTGGATCCTTGTGTAGTTGTCTCGTTTCGAGCGTTAGCCCTTCGTTAAAGCGGTTAATGGCGCAATTGAATCGCCACCACAATGAAATAGACTAGTTCTACGGAGACTTTTTCAAATCTCTGTGGCTTATACCGTATAATTTGTCCTCTTTAACTAAGGTTATTGAGTATCTTTCAATTTGAGAAATTGATGATTATAAAAATAAAATCAGACCCAGCTCTATTTATGTTGTGGATTGTTCCTCGCTGAAGGAAATCCGTGGTGGTTCATTATGTGGTTTTCCAGTGGCTTTGATCTGCATTAGCTATTAATTTGACTTTGTTTTATGAGAGTTCAACGAACGATTCAGAGATCACGGAGAGATGTTTTAATTTTCTTAGAGAAACTGATGTTGAAGGCCTAAATGTAATAACTTTCCTAAATGTAATAAAGTCCTAAATGTAATAACATTTGGTCCTAAATGTAATAAAGACCTAAATGTAATAACATTTGGTCCTAAATGTAATAACATTTGGTCCTAAATGTAATAAGCCTTCAATGCAATCGTTTAACTCCGTCAGTGCATTGTTGTTGTAGCGGACATTCACAGTGAGATGTTTAAGTGACAGCTGTTGCACCAAGGAATCCTCTGACCAATATTTGGTATATTGCAGGCTCGTTGATATCAATCAGCGTCTTTTTATTTGCTAGAGATGTAAGTCGAGAAGTATTGGCCACAAACCCCTATACTGATGTGCTTTTGGCATCAAATTGACAGACGTGAAAACAATAAGAACGCTGACCAATACCTCTCTTTATATTATTGGCTCAGACTCTTTAGTGCAACAGATTTTGACGATAAATTTGTGTGATCAGTGCTGAAGTTAACACTTTATGAACCAAATTACAAGGAAAAGGAAGTCCATTGACCCATACGTAAGACAAATTCCGAACTCGGAAGTGAATTTTTTGCACTGTCTTCCCTTGCCAGATTTGGATGGGTCTGCATGAAATATGTTCATTTTTTTTTTTTTTTAGAGGGCACGGTAAAAATCCTGCAATCTGATTGGTTCTTTACCCGGTCAGTATTTTCCTGAGTAAATCTTAAATTTTGTTGCCATTTTTCATAAATATATCTCGTTTTTCCGGCTGGGCAGTATTTTCGAGCAAACACGTCGGTCACTACCTCAGGCCGATAAATAACTTATGAATCCTCTCTTTCCTCTCTCTCAAATCACTTTGGTTGACAGAAAAGTATTGGTTTCAGAATGAATTTGTATAAGCAATAGTGTCATAACGTTGGTTGACAAGCGGCCTTAAAACCGTCTGCAATTAAATTTAATCGTACACAAAAGGTACATAGAAAGTTAAAACGTGAAGTATTTGGTTACAGTTAAACTGAACGATGGAACTTTCATTCATTTGATATCTGAATTTTCTCAAACAATTTGTTAGTAGTGAAAGAGCGAGCGAAGTTTTAATTTAAGTTCTACAACAAACATACGCTCTCGGTGAGTCTTTCCAAGTCCGTTCAATCTGGACATTTGTACTGTAAATTGCACAACAGAAACTGAAGGAATTTAATGAGAAAAGGCCGCATTGAATCCCCGTGTGTTTCGTTGGAGTGTGCTATTCGAATTTAGTTTTTGTGGAGGAAAGACCAGATTTACACACGCCATTGCAGCAAACAAACGAGCAAACTCTCACAACTTCAAAATTAAAAATTTGAATTTACAATTACTTTCCTCGCCGTTTACTTAATGAACAGAGGTAAATCTTCGTACATGAATGAATTGTCTATGAGAGTGAATAATACTTTCCGTTTGATCATTGACTGTTCTTGAAGAAAACATTGTCGTGACAGTCCTTGCCAAACTAGTTCCGTTGTTTTTCAAAAGTTCTCACGCTTTTTTTTTCTTACGCGCTCTCTAATTGGCAGGTGTCAGATTGTGTAAAACTAATGTTTCAAAGTCTGTTTGGAAGCCTTTTAAATCACCTTCGTTGTTACGGAAATGAAAATGTTTCGGTGAGGCATCTCTCTCTAATTTGCATCACCTCTATTTTAACTACCATTTACTCGCTCAAAAATTGTTCAGTTTATGGAAGATCTTGCTGTATTTACAGCTCTAAATCATTCAGGTTCTTTCGGAAAGAATTTCGTCAAGTTTAAAAAAAATAAATATTTTATTTACCGGCTAAGGGTCGACCCGTATGGTGAAAAACTGTGACCTCGGTCTTGTATTTTCAAGACCTCGGTCACAGTTTTTCACCATACGGACCTCCCAGCCGGCAAATAACATATATATGCGTTACTGACCAAGCGTGAGGTCAAGATGGATGGATATTGGCCAAGTTCTTTTGTTGCGTTTTTGTGGACCGAGACGAAGTCGGGGTCCATAAAAACGCAGAAAAAGAGCAAGGTTAATATCCAGCCATCTTGACCGAATAAGTTTGGTCAAGAGAGAACATATATTCTACAGTCGATCTCAAGTCGATTTTATTTAATTTTTTGTCTTTATCTCTCCTCCCCGCCGTGAGGGGAGAAAATGAATAGATAAATAAATAAATGAAAAAAGAAAGCTCATCAGTTTACACTTATAGTTATATGGCACATGAACTGATTATCGAGGTGGAGTGAAGCCATTAAGGAATCCCAAGTTCAAAAAATGTATATTCGAGCCTGCAAATTGTCCTACAAGTCAGAGGACTCCCTTATACAAGTTTGTACTTTGGTTGATGACTTGTTAACTCGCTCACTCATCACACAAGTATTACGTATTCACATTTTTTCAAAGTCTATTGTACCTAAGAGTCTGAGCCAGTGATATTTGGAGAGATATAGGTCAGCGTATTAATTGTTAGCCAGTTGTCATCTGATGCTAATTGTTTATCAGTATAACGGTTTGCAGCCAATGCTTCTCGACTTAAGTCTAGCAAATAAGAAGACGCTGATTAATACCAACGAGCCCGCAATATGTGACATGAATACTGGTCAGAGGATTTTTTGGTGCAACAGCTGTCACTTCAAGATCTCAATATGGATGTCCGCTATAACAACAATGCACTGGCGGAGTTATACGATTGCATTGGAGGCTTATTTTATTTAGGACTAAATGTTATTACATTTAAGACCAAATGTTATTACATTTAGGACTTTATTACATTTAGGACCAAATGTTATTACATTTAGGACTTTATTACATTTAGGACAGTTATTACATTTAGGCCTTCAACAACTGAAACCTACTTAAATTCACTGTTATTGCATACATAGTATAAACGTGCTTTTCCGCTGAACCGATGCTTTATATCTCTGCTATAAAATTGCTTTCTTCAAACATTTATGGTTTTATACCATATATTTCAACCTCACTAGCTACGATTGTTAAGCAAACTGATGGTTTCCACAATCACAAACTAAAATCAATCCTATGATTTCAGTCAAATACTTCAGATAAGTAAGTTCATTACTTGATGATAAACTGTCAGAACAACATTTTTAAATGTTCCCAGAACGTTGTAGTAAAAGGTTTACCAATCCTTTCTTGTTGTTGTTTTTTTTAGGAAACCGGCGACCTTTAAAACCCCCCTAATTGGTGGCGCGAGTCCCCGACGCACGACCGTTTATAGTCAAACTCAAGCGAGCGTCTTTTTTCTTTTTACTTGATAAGATGAACAAACGAAACAGCTAGATCGAAAATCACTTGGATAACAGTTGACTCTCACTGTGTGACAGTCACACAGTCCGTTTTCAAAAATCTGTGCAGGTCAAACTGATTTGACAAGTTTTACCGAATGTGATCCGTTGATGTGCTCCAGTTGTACTTATCCACGCCTCTTCTTCACTTATTTTTTGCGTTAAGTCGATATTTTGAATTCTAACACTTTCAGCTCGTTACAAGAAGTTTTCCAGGTGCAATCGACTCAGCCCGTTTTTGTAACTTCCTGTATGGGTTCCTATTTGTAGTGACTCATTATGAATCCAGATTAGCGAATCATTTGGTTAACTTGTGTTACTCAAAGTAATGTTTCCCTAATAACAGGAGAGGATGGAAATGGAAACCAAACGGCAGACGGAAGCCATGATACTTTTCATGTACATTACCTCAGTAGTTGCCCGGTTTCTGTTGAACTCACATCGCATTCAGAAAGCCATTGAGATGTTGAACGAATGTTTGATTTTGCTAAATAACACCGATCAAAACAGCAAAGACCAATTTACTTCACTACTGCTTCTAATTTACAAGACCACTTATATTGCTCTTTTCATCGCTTATCGTAGTATCTCTGACTACATCAGTGCGGAAAGATACGGCATGAAACTGCTTGTCTTACTCAGCGAGACTGGTGACTTAGTAGAAGAGGGAGGTGTAAGCATGGCTCTGGCAGAGGTAATTGAGAGTCAAAACAGGTTTACAGATGCCAAAAAACTTTATGAAAAAGCAGTTAATATAAAGAGACAAACTGGTGAAAAAAATGGAGAAGCAAGCGCCTGCACAAGACTCGGAAATATGTTTCATAAACTTGGCGAAAACCTAAAAGCGAAGGAGTATGTTCAGAGGGCCCTTGCCATCACAACCGAAATTGGCGACAAAAGAGGAGAAGCATCCTGTTACGGAGACCTAGGAGCGTTGCATCATTCGCTCGGGGAATGCGAGAAGGCTAAAGAGTATCTCCAAAAAGAACTTGTCATCAGAACTGAGATTGGCGACAGAAAAGGAGAGGCATCATGCTACGGAATCCTAGGTACTGTGTTTCATTCGCTCGGGCAATATGAGAAGGCTAAAGAGTATCATCAAAAAGCGCTCGTCATCAAAACTGAGATTGGCGACAGAAAAGGAGAGGCATCATGCTACGGAAACCTAGGTGCTGTGTTTCATTCGCTCGGGCAATACGACAAGGCTAAAGAGTATATTCAAAAAGCGCTTGTCATCAGAATTGAGATTGGCGACAGAAGAGGAGAGGCAGCTAACTACGGAGACCTAGGTAATGTATTTATGTCACTCTGGCAATACGAGAAGGCTAAAGAGTATCTCCAAAAAGCGCTTGTCATCAGAACTGAGATTGGCGACAGAATAGGAGAAGCAGCTGACTACAGAAACCTAGGTACTGTGTTTAAGTCGCTCGGGCAATACGACCAGGCTAAAGAGTATCATCAAAAAGCGCTTGTCATCAGAACTGAGATTGGCGACAGAAAAGGAGAAGCAGCTGACTACAGAAACCTAGGTAATGTGTTTCATTCGCTCGGGCAATACGACAAGGCTAAAGAGTATATTCAAAAAGCGCTTGTCATCAGAACTGAGATTGGCGACAGAGGAGGAGTAGCAGCTGACTACGGAAGCCTAGGTACTGTGTTTCATTCGCTCGGGCACTACGACAAGGCTGAAGAGTATATTCAAAAAGCGCTTGTCATCAGAACTGAGATTGGCGACAGAAAAGGAGTAGCTGCTGACTACGGAAACCTAGGTACTGTGTTTGATTCGCTCGGGCAATACGACAAGGCTAAAGAGTATCATCAAAAAGCGCTTGTCATCAGAACTGAGATTGGCGACAGAAAAGGAGAAGCAGCTGACTACGGAAACCTAGGTACTGTGTTTCTTTCGCTCAGGCAATACGACAAGGCTAAAGAGTATCTTCAAAAAGCGCTTGTTATCACAACTGAGATTGGCGACAGAGGAGGAGTAGCAGCTGTCTACGGAAACCTAGGTAATGTGTTTCATTCGCTCGGGCAATACGACAAGGCTAAAGAGTATATTCAAAAAGCGCTTGTTATCAGAACTGAGATTGGTGACAGAAAAGGAGTAGCTGCTGACTACGGAAACCTAGGTGCTGTGTTTGATTCGCTCGGGCAATACGACAAGGCTAAAGAGTGTATTCAAAAAGCGCTTGTTATCAGAACTGAGATTGGCCACAGAGAAGGAGTAGCAGCAGACTACGGAAACCTAGGTAATGTGTTTCATTCGCTCGGGCAATACGACAAGGCTAAAGAGTATCTTCAAAAAGCGCTTGTCATCAGAACTGAGATTGGCGACAGAAAAGGAGTAGCAGCTGACTACGGAAACCTAGGTACTGTGTTTCATTCGCTCGGGCAATACGACAAGGCTAAAGAGTATATTCAAAAAGCGCTTGTTATCAGAACTGAGATTAGCGACAGAAAAGGAGTAGCTGCTGACTACGGAAACCTAGGTACTGTGTTTGATTCGCTCGGGCAATACGACAAGGCTAAAGAGTATCTCCAAAAAGCGCTTGTCATCAGAACTGAGATTGGCGACAGAAAAGGAGTAGCAACTGACTACGGAAACCTAGGTACTGTGTTTCATTCGCTCGGGCAATACGACAAGGCTAAAGAGTATCTCCAAAAAGCGCTTGTCATCAGAACTGAGATTGGCGACAGAAAAGGAGTAGCAGCTGACTACGGAAACCTAGGTACTGTGTTTCATTCGCTCGGGCAATACGACAAGGCTAAAGAGTATATTCAAAAAGCGCTTGTCATCAGAACTGAGATTGGTGACAGAAAAGGAGTAGCTGCTGACTACGGAAACCTAGGTGTTGTGTTTGATTCGCTCGGGCAATACGACAAGGCTAAAGAGTATTATCAAAAAGCGCTTGTCATCAGAACTGAGATTGGCGACAGAAAAGGAGTAGCAGCTGACTACGGAAACCTAGGTACTTTGTTTGATTCGCTCGGGCAATACGACAAGGCTAAAGAGTATTTTCAAAAAGCGCTTGTCATCAGAACTGAAATTGGCCACAGAGAAGGAGAAGCAGCTGACTACGGAAACCTAGGTAATGTGTTTCATTCGCTCGGGCAATACGACAAGGCTAAAGAGTATTATCAAAAAGCGCTTAATATCCAAACTGAAATCGGTAATAAGCGAGGGGAGGCAGCAGATCTTGCAAATCTTGGAATTATGTCCAGAACTGCTGGAGATTATGAAGCTTCGGAAGTATGCTTGGCGAAAGCTTTATCCATATCCAGAGATATTGAAGATAGAAGGAGCGTGTTCCAAATTCTTCAAGAATACGCCATTTTGTATTTATTTCAAAATAAAGTCGAAGACTCCCTATCGTGTCTTCAACTTTGCATTGAAAAGTATGAGGAGCTCAGATCTTTCTTGGGCGCCAATGATCAGTTCAAAACATCATTTCTGGAGCACTCAGGAATATTTCCCTACAAGCTGCTTTGCACTCTGCTTTGTGTCACCGGAAAAACTCGTGATGCTCTTTATGTTGAGGAGTTGGGTCGAGCCAGAGGTCTATCAGACTTGATGGTAGAGAAGTACTCGGTTGAAACGCACATCTCTGCTAATCCACAATCTTGGTTTGGCATTGAAAACATTTTTAGAAAGAAACACAACTGTACTTGTCTGTACATTTCTTATTGTCACAATCGTCTGCATTTGTGGATCTTGAAAACAGGTGGAGTCCTTCACTATAGAAGAATATCACCTGAAGAGAATCTAGTTCAGGCCGGGTTGCCCAAAGACTTGCCTCTGAGTGAATTTTTAGCTAAAAATTTCCGGAGTCTTGGTATTTTGCCCATCGAAGATTGTGAAGATCGGTCTTTAAATATGGTTGAATTGCAACCTCTCTCCCCCGAACAAAAGAGCTCAGCAAGGTTGCGACTCCTGGAGGAGGGCGAGGACGAGAAAGTCATTTCAAGTCTATCCTTGTGTTACAAAATGTTTATTGCCCCCGTTTATGATTTGCTTGAAGAGCCTGAAGTGATTATTGTTCCTGACCGCAGTTTGTACAAAGTTCCCTTTGCTGCCCTGAGTGAAGAAGAGGGAGCCGAATACCTGTCAGAGACTCATAGGATCCGTGTCATTCCTTCTTTGACGACACTCAAGATCATTCAAGATAGTCCAGAGGACTATCACAGCAACACTGGTGCTTTGATAATAGGCAATCCCAAGGTTGATGGGCTGTCGCCATTGCCAGGTGCAAGAAGGGAAGCGGAGATGGTCGGACGACTGGTGGGTGTTCCCCCCCTGGTTGAAGAGGAAGCAACGAAGCAGGCAGTAATTGAGCGGATAAGTTCAGTGAGCCTAATACATTTTGCTGCCCATGGTAACGCCGAAAGGGGAGAAATTGCCCTCTCCCCCATTCCTTCTGTCAACAGTCGAAACGCTATCCTACCAAAGGAGGCTTACATGTTGACGATGGCTGATGTCTCACGAGTGAAAGTCAGAGCCAAACTGGTGGTACTTAGCTGCTGTCACAGTGGAAGTGGAGAGATAAAAGCCGAGGGAGTTATAGGAATTGCCCGTGCGTTCTTAGGATCCGGTGCTCGCTCGGTGTTGGTTGCGCTGTGGGCCATTTCAGACTCAGCAACAGAGAAGCTGATGAGTCGGTTCTACGAACACCTTGTTGAAGGAGAAAGTGCCAGTGAATCCCTTCATCAGGCCATGAAGTGGATGAGAAAAAACGGCTTGACCAATGTGTCTGAGTGGGCTTCGTTTACGCTGATTGGAGATGATGTTAAGCTCGAGTTCACAAACAGAGGTAAGACTCGGTGAGAACAGGTATTTCATAAATTAAAGTTAAATTAGAATTGAAGCTGGCTATGACTTACTGGTCGCTGACTGTCGGCGGGGATCCTTTGTTACCTTGAACATCAAGGCTAGTTTAATATATACCTATATATATAACTAACTGCAGACAGTACTGTTTCGGCCTTCTGGGCCTCATCAGTGCAGTGCTGATGCTAGGATGGGGGTAAGACCATATAGCCACCCCAAGTGATCTCACATATGTGGTATCATCTAAGCCATGCCAGAGTGCTCAAACTAGAAGAACTAGTGAGCATGCATAATGCTAGCAGCAATGACTCATCCTAGTAGAGTGCTCAATTTGGACATATATTTTTTTTCGAAAAGTTACTATAGACGCTCTATGCCAATCACATACAAGTGTTACCCATATACATTTTACATAGTGTGCTTGGTATAATTGTATTTGCTTTATATCCTAAATATTAATCGAGTTATTAATAAGTTGTTGTTTTTCGCTTTTTCACAGGAAAACAGACCCTGACAAAGTAAATAATGAAAGTTACTTGAAGGAAACAGAGCTACAAGACTTTTAGATGGATAAATTAAATAGAAATAAGTAGAGAAAATACTCTATCCGTTATTTCATTGACGTTGAAAAAAAAAGAGCTATCCCAAATTAGGGTACGGAAGGCTTTTAAAGAAAGCGAAATCAGTAAAGTAGTTAGGTATAAAACGAACCACTGAAATCTGGTTTAATTTTTTTACGGCTTTTGTAAGATTTAATTGACAAAACATGTAATTTCTGACGTTTGAGGGACATGAGAACGAATTAGTCAGAAATTAATATTCTGACGGCAAGTTGAAGAGGTTCGCATGGCAACACGACAGTTTCGGATTATTTAAGCGTTTCGAGGGAAAATTAAGTCATTCTACGTCGGTCAGTCTTAGGTTTGACCACTTTTTTTAAAATTTTATTTACTGTAATTTTGTTTTACAACTCTCTGTAAAATATCACTGCTTTCATTGAATATTCTGTGTGATTAGTAGTGTGACTAGGTTTATTTTAGTTACCCTTTCCTCGGGGTATAGTGCTGCTGCATTAGATGAGGAATACGTTTCTACATATTTTTTGGCCACTTCTAAAGAGTGGTTTTTTAGTGGTTTTTCGTATCTGGCGTAGCACAGCCTATTTTTGTATAAAACTTCAGTTTCAGTGAATACTTGCAGTACATTGAAGATTGTAGTAGGATGTGTAGACTACAAGATTGGGTGACTCTTCCTAAATAAACTTTCACATTGAATATCTCGCCTGAAAGTAGTCAGAATCTTAAATATTTGAGGAATGATTTTGATGAAGCATCTCAAAAAGAATCCTTGCCAACCACAGCTCTGTTTTTGTTAACATACGGGCAAGTGCGGAGAAATTCTCCTGGTAGGAGTCGTGCCGGCCCGTGAACACTATTTACTTGGCTTAAAGAAAGGATTCGCAAAAGGAGAAAAAAAAAACCAAATCCGACGCGCTCCACATTTAATAAAAAACGTACAGAGCTTAAAAATACGACAAAAGAAGGGAAAGAGGAGACCTGACGAAATTCTGGGGAAATACATGTCTGGAGTTGTCTGCTCCAATAGAGAAGGGTCACTTAAAAAACAAAGGAAAGAGGACACAGAAGAAAACATTGCCTTTTGTAATGCAATATCACCCGGCTTTATCTAACCGCAAGAAAATACTGATGGGTAAATGGCACCCCATTCAAAATTACATTGGAAAAAAAACCATCAAAATGTATCCTGGTCTGAACTAATCTATGAAGACAGAAGTATAAAATCGCTTGCAGAAGCGAGAAGTGTTAGGCAGGCTCATCAATACTTCAAGTTTTAACTGGTCACTTGCCTCTTGTGATATGCACCCTGCGCTTTGATGTAGAAAAATCTCTGCAAATCGGCTATTGGTTAGATCTCTGATGCTAGGACTATCCTCCTGTCATTCCACAGCTTGAAATTTTTAGTCTGCTCCGTGGCTTTAGGCCCTCCATGTGAAGGAACGCGAGATACCATTGATGGTTTTAGTTACAAACAAAATTTCTCAAGAAAATTGCCAGAAACCGTTACACAACTACCCAGAATAAATCACTGATAATTTCAGAACCTCTCCACGACAATTTAGAGCTCAAAATATATTTGAGAGTCTGTCCAAGAGAGGACCGGGCCTAAAGCTTAAAGAAATCAAGCCATGCATCGTAAGTCAGCATAGCGTTGTTTACTGTTTTAAATGTGATTTGTGTGATTCAAATTACGTCGGATATACGACGCGCCATTTGTTTCAACGCATTGCTGATCATCGATACTCTGCCATTGGTCGTCACCTGAGAGATGCCCATGGGAACATTGACTTACTCAATGAGAGCCAGTTTAGAATGCTTAAAAAATGTGGCACGAAATGGGATTGTCTTGTTTATGAAATGTTGTACATAAGAACAATAAGGCCCAATTTAAACACCCAGAGCGATTCCATTAGGGCCAAACTCTTTGTTTAACTTTTAATTTATTCACCGCTTCATTATATATATACTCGATTTTTATTATTTTAGTTCACTTGATAATGACGTTCTGGAAATTAATTCCTAAAACTGGGGTAATTTGCTTTCGTTTTTGCTGATTTAGAATAGGTAACCATTAACCGGAACTATTCAAAAAGATAAAAAAGTAGGGATTTTAAAATCTTAATATCTCTAACGGGCAAGATTGTGTATCGACAAACATATGATCATAGAGGTTACCTATTATAACACTATGTTTGTAGGCAAAAAAATTTTGGGGCCCTATAAGAGATGTGTGATCACAGCTCTCTGAAGTACGTGACCGTTGACGTTAATTTATGCAATTTTTGCCATAAACTTGATGTTTATTCAGTCAATTTCATGGTGGCATTTCAGATTTTGTCTCCACCGAGTACCTAGCGCTGCGCGATGCTTTGGACAAACGGTTTCATCAGCGTCGTCCTGATTGAATAATCCTCTGGCCAAAATAAGTTCCTGTTCTGACCGAACACATGTCTGAGGCACCTTCAGCTGTCGCAGGTGAGATTTTACATCTTTCTCACAGGAAAACAAAGTAAAAAACTCATTTCCACCTGGATACCTCGCTGATATATCGCACTTTGCGTCGGAATATGATACAAACGAACATGACAATTGGAACATGACAATTAAGCCTCTTTTCTTAATAGCCTAAACAAGTTGAATTTAAAATACGTAAATCGAATTTCTCCGGTAAAAGAATCAGTGCAGACTGAGACTATATAGGAGAGGACTACATGCGTTCATTAGTCTTTATTTATTTCTCGTTACAAAAATGTTTACACAGGTTTTTGTTATGTATGTGCTACTAACTTATGGATGCATGCACATTTTACTGCTGAACATTAACACCCTCTAATTTAATTTTTCAGTCATCAAGTGCATTCTTGTTGCTAGTCCCGGCTTTGTCAAGGTTAGTTGTAGGAAAGCACAAACTCTCTAAGTCCTCAAAGAGGCAGTGAAAGAGGAAAGTGGTACATATGATCATGATTTTGCTTTTTCCTATTATCATAATTTTAACTTTTCAAAGTAAACTTATGATTAGATAAAGAATCTGACTCTGATAGCAACTGTCTAAGAGGGATTTTCTTTGTTATAAAGGACTATTATCACAGCTTTATTTCTGTCCTTTTTGCGTCTGTTTCTTGTGATTAATAAGATTTTCAGATGTAGTTGAAAATTAAAAAAAAAATAAAACTTTAAGCTAATATTAAAAATGAAATAATAGCAGAATTGTAAATCCCTACAGTTCAGCATACGGTGTGTATGGAAAATTTTCCCATAACTTATACCCTTCAGCTCCTCTTCAAGCACAGAAAAACACATTGCGACTCGGAAAAGAAGAAAAAGGAAGGCGTATCTCTTAATGTTCTAACTGATAGTGAGAACTAAAGTAATTAAAATACCCTCTTTTAATTCTTTATGTATATTTTTTATTATTAGTGTTGAGTAACCAATGTGGTGAAGTAGGTGTTTTAAATGATATTTGCAGGATCAGTTTTGTGATTATATGTTCCAACAAGCTGTAAAGAATGATTGGAAAGCAATCATTGATAACAAATCAAAATTTCTCTTGGTAAGTTTAGATTTAAAAATGTTGTAGATTTGTTATAACTTAATTATAACTTAATTGAACTTGGATAGTCTACAGGACGAAGGCCACATGTCTCCTTTTTTAGGCGGGATCAGCCATTCTTTGCGATCTCACGTAACGCTCCCCCAAGTGTTGCATGACATTCAACAGAGCGGCTGTGAAGGGGACTCCAGGCGAACTATACGCGATAAAACTACTACAAAGAAGTTTTTAAGGGGTGGGGGAGGGAGGAGCATGGGGCTTATTAGTAGGGGGTGGGGGCTGATGAAACACTTGAAGTTCAAGACAGGGGGGTATATTATTAGAGAGGGGGGTTCAATTCAATAGAAAGGGTGGCTTAGTATAGAGGGGGCTTGAGATAGAGGGCGCGGCTCACCAGAGCGTGTACGACTTTTTTTCCTTTTCAGGCTCACTCATCATCGGGTCACAAACATTCGCTCAGAGGTGAGGATATAAAGAACTTTCCACGGATCTCGAAATTGATTTTAATGAAATCACATCTAACGCATTGCAGTCGAGAGGAAACGGTTTAACCCATGTGTTTGTTTGTTTTGCATGATGTACAGAAGTTCTGACGGATCCTACTGTCAATCCTACGAAATTGTTTAGATTTATATCTTAAAAGGAAAAGTGTTGGTTGGTTGTTGTGATAAACTTTGGTTTTGGTTTAACGACACTCCATCCAAAAAGAATTCTAAATCACAGGTCTCGTCAACAGTTGCAGTGACGAGAAATGTCTCGACTTAGTCGGTTATCCTCCGTTGATTTTTTTTTCTCACTTTAATTGTAATAGGCATCAAGCGAAGTAAAAGCTTTGGATAATTTCTTCACAATGTTGCAAACAGAACCCAACAGAGTTTATTATGGGTAGTTCGGTATCATGCAGAAAGAACAATACTAAATTAAGCGTCCAAAGCGATGCGGTTTGCATTAGTTTGTCTTCAACGCTCTTCGTGATTGGTCCGGAAAACTCGCGCCACTCATTCAACCAATCAAATTTAAGAGTAAAATCAATCGCGCTTGAGTCACCCGCGTTTTCCCGCGCTTGAAGACGGTTACATGTTTTGGCGCTAAATCTTTCCTTTGCTCAAGTTGGCCGCTGTGATTACTTTGGTTTTGGTTTCATGACACTCAAGCGAGGAGCGTTTATTAGTACACTTGAAACTCGTTGAACCTACATCAGCATCTTCTAAGGAAGTGCTTCCGATGAATGACTGTCGAATTTTTTTTTATTTTTCAGTAATATTTACTCACCCCGGGGAGAATATGGGAGACTTAATGAGAGAGACGAAGTGGGGGAGGGGGGGAGGGGTTAGTATTCTTAGCAGCTTCATGCCACACAAACTGAGATAAGCACTAGAAATGTGGGTTACTCGTCTCGAGGGCTGGGTTAACCATAAAAAACCATGTTTTGGTAAAATTGTTCAAATTGTTATCAGAGCATCTTTAATTTCTTTATTTAGCGTTACACATGTGGAGAAGGCCAATGAAGCTTTGGCAATCAAAACTCTTCTTGTCACAAATGAACTTTTCAGGTCAGAAATGAAAAATAACGATATTCTTGTACAGTTCGAAAAATGTAATATCTCAATTCAGCTTATTTTCATCTTGAAAGAACATGTTTTTCCGTTCTGCTTTGTAGTTGAAAATCGACCGCGTATCCAAATGAGAACTCTAGAATTGATTCACATTTTAACTAGCCCCTCAAAGTAAAAATAATGTATTAGCTTAAAAAGTGGTTAGTATTAGAAAATTGCAAAAGGAATTTCCCAGAGTGTGGTGATTCTTTCAATATGTTGCTAGGAAAAGAGGCAGTTTAGGCGCATCAGTTCTTTTAACCTGCGATTTACACTCCGTACGAAGTATTAACTTTCTGGCCTTTTGTCTTGTGAATCTTAAAGTGCACAGACATACCAAATCAATAAACGTCAGTGTGTAGATTTTGGGGAGAGTTTGGTGGGTTTTTTTTTTTTTTTAATTTTTGCAATGGCGATTCACTGCTCAAATCATAAAAGGTTTGGTAAAAACCTCAAGACAACAATGTTTATGGTGAAATATTACAACTGTACTATTTCTCTCTCTTTTTTTTCCTCGAATGTCTTTTTAGGTCGACAGATTTGCCAACTCGTAAAAGATATGTCAAGCTTGTTGAGAGTGTTAAAGAAAATGGCGGCGAAGTTAGGTTTGTTACGAGCTTCTAGTTACTAACGCGGTGGTTTCAAAGTTTAGCAGTAAGACCTGAAAGGGTTTCAATTTGCTTTTATTCAATGCAGGGTTTTTTCAAGTCTACATGTTTCTGGAGAACGTACGTATGCACTTTTTTTGTACGTTGTCGTAATTAACTAATAATATCTTTCAATATTCGACACAACTTAAGCCTGCCAATCCCTCTCTCCCCCTCACCTGCCCCCTTTTATAATAAAATATCAGTTGAGTTGTAAAGTGCGATCCTGTCGCTGTAAGAATGTCGGTGTCAGACAAGTAACAAGACAACCCCAACGGCTTTGAATGCGGGGGGGGTAGGGGGTTCAAGACCTCACACTCTCCATCCAGTTCCGCCACTGTTATTACCTGAGGTCCGATACCTCATGGGGAACATAGGTTTTTCCCTTTGCCTCACGCTTGTGACAATACGAATAACGCCTTTCTTTAAATATAACCTTCTTGCAATTTCTAAACATGATGTAAAATTTCGTACAATTTTATATTTGGGTCATGCAGAGCTCGGCCAGTTGTCCGGTTTTGCGGCAATCTTGCGCTTCCCTATGCCGGACATAGCTGATGGTGAAGGCTCCGCTGATTCTAAAGAGGGATTAGTGAATTAACTGTGTACATATATTTCTCAAAACTGGATGTAGAACGCTTTTCGATTGAGTGTCGTAAGGTCAAAAGCTAAGTCATCACGGCGACCAATCAGAAGAAAGGTAGATATCGCAAGAAGCCAATGAGAACTCAAAGGTGCTTCAAGCGCGGGAAACGTCAGTGACCGAGATGCAATTGATTTTACATTTGTATCTGATTGGCTGAGAGGACTGCGTGCGTTGTGTAGACAAAACACGTTGCGAAGTAAAGAAAACCAATCTCATCCATGTTTACTTTCGACACTTGATAGCAACTCGTTCTGAAACACCCAAATATTTAACAGGATATAGCTAAACGGTTATGTCACATCATGAAAGTAAACATCATGACCCGCTCCCAGTTGGCTTGTTAGCTCAGTTGGTAGAGCGCTGCACCGGTATCGCAGAGGTCATGGGTTCAAATCCCGTACAGGCCTGAATTTTTTTCAGGCCTTATTTCCACTACTGCCTAAGTAGTGCACATTACTGCGAGGATCACTTTCATTTATGTTCAGGATATAGCTAACAATATAATAATCAAGAACTCAGAGAGAACATTTTTTTAAATCGTGATCTTAGATTACCAAATTCCCGTTTATGTTAAACGGGCTTTTATCCCACTTGATCAACGTTCGTGATATCGTTACAAAAGGTTGTGGTCGTGCATCATGACAAAGTACACTTCTAGTGTGGTGCATTATCACTTTTCTCTCGATGTAGTCCATGCCGATGTAGATCGCCTCGTCAACCTCATTCCCAGGTTGAGAGAGGATCATGAATTGAGGTTGATTGTGCATTGTGTAGTGTAAACATTATGATACTACATATTTATTAATGATAATGAGATTATTAATGGATGATAAAGAAGCCACAAAGATGGTTATTTCCCAGGCTGTGAGACAGTCTCTTGGGCAAACAGATTTTCAAAAACATTTCAATAAAAAGAAAACTTATTGAAGCGAGGTTCGACCTTCCTCGAGAGCGATTTTTGAGACGACATAGAAACATCGAGCCCAGCAGATTTTGGTATTTGAATTGAAAACATTCATTGAATAAAAATTGTTTTTAAGCGTCAATAAAACAACAAACACATTGAAAAAAAATTGGTTTGTTGCCTTTTGCCAAAGAATATCTCTATAGCAATTAGTTAAAATTAAAAATTAGAATTAAATACATTTATATAGCGCCATCTTCCATTAATTGTTCATGGCGCTTTACGATGCTCTAAAAACCGTAAAAATTAAAATCCTAAGAATTAAATACACTATAACTACAAGTAAAAACTACAAATCAAATGCACGCTTAAAAAGATAAGTCTTGAGATTAGCCTTATTAAGATTAAAATACCAGCCAATCAAAGGACTCTAGTCAAGCGTGCTAACTGAAATAGTGATTGACTTTTTCAAAGAAAACCTGATTGAAATACCAGCCAATCAGCGTTATGAGATATATTGCAGCCAGCTGAGGCCTTTTTCCAAGAAATTGCGGTTGAAATACTGGCCAATCACTGGTTTTCATTTAACAAAAAGCGTACACTGAAGCCCATAACGTGGTTGTCTTTCCGAGAAAGTAAATGTTGACAGACGCTGTTGTGAATATAACAAACTCTTCTGACTTGCAAAGATAGTTACCGAACTCAAAAAACTGGCTTCCTTCGTGGATGAACCGCGTACCATAATAATAATAATATTTATTGAGGAAACTTTTTCACAAAAAGTGGTTTTCGAAAAGGAACTCGAAAATTAAGACTAAAATATATACATAAAATTAAAAGAAAAAAAAGGAATTGTAATTAAGAATTACATTAAGAAGTTAAAAACATGTCGCTTGAATGTATTAATATTAATATTAATATTAGCAGATTCTCTTATTACCTGGCTAAGTAAATTAAAGTCATTTACAGCATGATATGCAGTTCTTTGTTTCCTCCAGTTCCTCTTAACGCTGGGGAGTCTAAGAAATAAGTTATTTTGACATGTTCAATTCCATCATTGGTTATAAAAGTGTGACGTACGAAACCAAAATTCATTCGCTTGAGTTGGAACCTTCAGCCGTAAAAGCCATCACCCCATTGAGACCCTCCTTCTACTACAGTGAACCCATAATTCTCAAATGCGACTTGTTTGGCTTTGACCGTGTAGCCTTGGAACACGAAGTTTCCCCGAGTTTGGAGAAATCAGGTAATGTTGACATCAATACTAAATTAAACGGGAAGCAAGCCTGTCAAGCTTGCAATTGTTTGTTATTTTTCGAAGACAGGGAAGAACCCAAGCTATATAAAACTTTTATCATTCAAATAATCGCTCAGTGTTAGTGCCCTCTAGTTGCAAGTTTCTTACAACTGTTAGAGGAAAAGAGGAAACAAAAAGGTTAAAGCAGCGCGAAATTCCGTTAGGAGTTTTCAAGAGAGTGCCTTCCGGATGCGCGGATCCTACAACTTAACTGTGGTCCGGTCCATTTTCTCCAGCTCTCTCCTCTTCCCAAAAGAAATATGTTAAACTATTAACTATAACTATTGCTTATCACTGAAAGTCAAGCTAAGTCCTCTCTCTGATGTCATTTGCTTGTTGCCATATTTCATTCACTGTATTACCTTCAAAGGTAAGACAAGTGATGTAGTTATTTTCGAGCAAATTACCGATCCATTCCGTCCGTTTTTTTACGTATTACAAAAATTACTATTTTTGTCTTCGATCATGCAAATCACACTCGCAAGAAAATGAAAAGCTCATGAGTACAACGGGTCAGTTTTCTTGCACAGATAGCTTACCGTTTAAAGGCAGAAGCTTTATTTGTACTCTCGATCTTATCGATCTCGTGATGCAAATCCAACCGTTCCAAAAAGGATGAACACTTAAGCCTGACGTTTCCCGTTAAACAAGGTAAAATGTTTCATTTGTCATCCTTAGTTATTAAAGTGTGACGTGCCAAACCGAAATACAGTCATTTAGCTTTTTTAGCATTTTTGGCTTCGATCATGCAAATCACACTCGCTAGAAAGTGAAAAGTTCACGAAGACCAGGAGTCGATTGTCACGCACAGATAGTTAACCGTTAAAAGAAAGAAACTTAGGTTGTGCTGTGATCGATCTTGTGATGAAAATCAAACATTTCAAAGAGGTCAACACTAAAGCCTGACGCTCCCTATTAAAAAAAAGAATAAAAAAGAATAACACTTTTCATTTTTCATGTTCAATTACATTAGTAGTGATCATAGTGGGACGTACAAAACCAAAATACAGTGTACTTATTGATTCAGTGGTAGGGTCGGACAGGAACTAATATTTGGCTCGCGTCAAGCGTGTCATGGTCGAGATACCCTTCACTTAAATCTTTGGATACTAGCGGCGGGTTCTACGGTACATATTTTCCTACAGGCCGTGATCTGTTTCTTGGTCTGTTAAAGCGCCAGAGTCTCGCATGAGAAGATAAGTCATGACGCTGCGCGCTCAAGAAGAGAGATGTTATAATTTTCTCAGAGAAACTGAAACTTACTTATATTCACCGTAATTGCATGCATAGTATAAACGTGCTTTTCCGCTGAACGGATGCTTTATATCTCTGCTGTAAAATTGCTTTCTTCAAACCTTTATGTTTTATACAATAGATTTCAACTTCATTAGTTACGATTGTAAAGCAAACTGATGGTTTCCACAATCAAGTGATCATAACCTAAAATCAATCAATATGTTTTCAGCCAAATACTTCAGATAGGTAAGCTCATTACTTGATGATAAACTGCTAGCACAACATTTTCAAATGTTCCCAGAACGTTGTAGTAGAAGGTTTACCAATCCTTTCTTGTTTGTTGTTGTTTTTTTAAGAAACCCGCCACCTTTAAAAACCCTCTAATTGATGGCGCAAGCCCGCGACGCATGACCATTAGTCAAGAGCGCGTTTTTTTGTTTTTGTTTTTTTTCACTTGATAAGATGAACAAACGAAACAGCTAGATCAAAAGTCACTTGGATAACAGTTGACTTTCTCAGTGTGACAGTCACACAGTCCGTTTTCGAAAAACTGTACAGGTCAAACTTATTTGACAAGTTTTACCGAATGTGATCCGTTAATGTGCTCCAGTTGTACTTATCCACGCCTCTTCTTCACTTCTTTTTGCGTTAAGTCGATATTTTGAATTCTAACACTTTCAGCTCGTTTAAAGAAGTTTCCAGGTGTAATCGACTCAGCCCGTTTTTGTAATTCCCGTATGGGTTCCTGTTTGTAGTGACTCATTATGAATCCAGATTAGCGAATCATTTGGTTAACTTGTGTTACTAAAAGTAATGTTTCCCTAATAACAGGAGAGGATGGCAATGGAAACCAAACGACAGACGGAAGCCATGATACCTTTCATGTACATCGCAAAAATAGTTGCCCTGTTCCTATTCAACTCAGGTCGCATTCAGAAAGCCATTGAGATATGGAACGAATGTTTGATTTTGTTAAATAAAACCGATCAAAACAGCAAAGGCCAATTTACCTCACCACTGATACTAATTTACAAGGCCACTTATATTGCTCTTTTCAGCGCTTATCGTAGTATCTCTGACTACATCAGTGCGGAAAGATACGGCATGAAACTGCTTGTCTTACTCAGCGAGACTGGTGACTTAGAAACAGAAGGAGATATAAGCATGGCTCTAGCAGAGGTAATTGAGATTCAAAACAGGTTTACAGATGCCAAAAAGCTTTATGAAAAAGCAGTTAAAATAAAGAGTCAAACTGGTGAAAAAGATGGAGAAGCAAGCGCCTGCACAAGATTCGGAAATATGTTTCATAAACTTGGCGAAAACCGAAAAGCGAAGGAGTATGTTCAGAGGGCCCTTGCCATAAGAACCGAAATTGGCGACAAAAGAGGAGAAGCATCCTGTTACGGAAAACTAGGAGCGTTCCTTCATTCGCTCGGGGAATGCGACAAGGCTAAAGAGTATCTCCAAAAAGCGCTTGTCATCAAAACTGAGATTGGCGACAGAGAAGGACGAGCAGCCGACTACGGAATCCTAGGTACTGTGTTTCATTCGCTCGGGCAATACGAAAAAGCTAGAGAGTATCATGAAAAAGCGCTCGTCATCAAAACTGAGATTGGCGACAGAAAAGGAGAGGCATCATGCTACGGAAACCTAGGTACTGTGTTTAATTCTCTCGGGCAATACGACAAGGCTAAAGACTATCTCCAAAAAGCGCTTGTCATCAAAACTGAGATTGGCGACAGAGAAGGACAAGCAGCCGACTACGGAATCCTAGGTATTGTGTTTCATTCGCTCGGGCAATACGACAAGGCCAAAAAGTATCATCAAAAAGCGCTCGTCATCAAAACTGAGATTGGCGACAGAAAAGGAGAGGCATCTTGCTACGGAAACCTAGGTACTGTGTTTCATTCGCTCGGGCAATACAACAAGGCTAAAGAGTATCTCCAAAGGGCGCTTGTCATCAAAACTGAGACTGGCGACAGAAAAGGAGAGGCATCATGCTACGGAATCCTAGGTACTGTGTTTCATTCGCTCGGGCAATATGAGAAGGCTAAAGAGTATCATCAAAAAGCGCTGGTCATCAAAACTGAGATTGGCGACAGAAAAGGAGAGGCATCATGCTACGGAAACCTAGGTGCTGTGTTTCATTCGCTCGGGCAATACGACAAGGCTAAAGGGTATCTCCAAAAAGCGCTTGTCATCAAAACTGAGATTGGCGACAGAAAAGGACAAGCATCCGACTACGGAATCCTAGGTCTTGTGTTTCATTCTCTTGGGCAATACGACAAGGCTAAAGAGTATCATCAAAAAGCGCTCGTCATCAAAACTGAGATTGGCGACAGAAAAGGAGAGGCATCATGCTACGGAAACCTAGGTGCTGTGTTCCATTCGCTCGGGCAATACGACAAGGCTAAAGAGTATCTCCAAAAAGCGCTTGTCATCAAAACTGAGATTGGCGACAGAAAAGGACAAGCATCCGACTACGGAATCCTAGGTCTTGTGTTTCATTCTCTTGGGCAATACGACAAGGCTAAAGAGTATCATCAAAAAGCGCTCGTCATCAAAACTGAGATTGGCGACAGAAAAGGAGAGGCATCATGCTACGGAAACCTAGGTGCTGTGTTCCATTCGCTCGGGCAATACGACAAGGCTAAAGAGTATCTCCAAAAAGCGCTTGTCATCAAAACTGAGATTGGCGACAGAAAAGGACAAGCAGCCGACTACGGAATCCTAGGTCTTGTGTTTCATTCGCTTGGGCAATACGACAAGGCTAAAGAGTATCATCAAAAAGCGCTCGTCATCAAAACTGAGCTTGGCGACAGAAAAGGAGAGGCATCATGCTACGGAAACCTAGGTGCTGTGTTTCATTCGCTCGGGCAATACGACAAGGCTAAAGAGTATCTGCAAAAGGCGCTTGTCATCAAAACTGAGATTGGCGACAAAAAAGGACAAGCAGTCGACTACGGAATCCTAGGTCTTGTGTTTCATTCTCTTGGGCAATACGACAAGGCTAAAGTGTATCATCAAAAAGCGCTTGTCATCAAAACTGAGATTGGCGACAGAAAAGGAGAGGCATCATGCTACGGAAATCTAGGTGCTGTGTTTCATTCGCTCGGGCAATACGGCAAGGCTAAAGAGTATCTCCAAAAAGCGCTTGTCATTAAAACTGAGATTGGCGACAGAAAAGGAGAAGCAGCCGACTACGGAATCCTAGGTCTTGTGTTTCATTCGCTTGGGCAATACGACAAGGCTAAAGAGTATCATCAAAAAGCGCTTGTCATCAAAACTGAGATTGGCGACAGAAAAGGAAAGGCATCATGCTACGGAAACCTAGGTACTGTGTTTAAGTCGCTCGGGCAATACGACAAGGCTAAAGAGTATCATGAAAAAGCGCTTGTCATCAAAACTGAGATTGGCGACAGAAAAGGAGAGGCATCATGCTACGGAAACCTAGGTGCTGTGTTTCATTCACTCGGGCAATACGACAAGGCTAAAGAGTATCTCCAAAAAGCGCTTGTCATCCAAACTGAGATTGGCGACAGAAAAGGACAAGCAGCCGACTACGGAATCCTAGGTCTTGTGTTTCATTCGCTTGGGCAATACGACAAGGCTAAAGAGTATCATCAAAAAGCACTCGTCATCAAAACTGAGATCGGCGACAGAAAAGGAGAGGCATCATGCTACGGAAACCTAGGTGCTGTGTTTCATTCGCTCGGGCAATACGACAAGGCTAAAGACTATCTCCAAAAAGCGCTTGTCATCAAAACTGAGATTAGCGACAGAAAAGGACAAGCAGCCGACTACGGAATCCTAGGTCTTGTGTTTCATTCGCTTGGGCAATACGACAAGGCTAAAGAGTATCATCAAAAAGCGCTTGTCATCAAAACTGAGATTGGCGACAGAAAAGGAGAGGCATCATGCTACGGAAACCTAGGTGCTGTGTTTCATTCGCTCGGGCAATACGACAAGGCTAAAGAGTATCTCCAAAAAGCGCTTGTCATCAAAACTGAGATTGGCGACAGAAAAGGACAAGCATCCGACTACGGAATCCTAGGTCTTGTGTTTCATTCTCTTGGGCAATACGACAAGGCTAAAGAATATCATCAAAAAGCGCTTGTCATCAAAACTGAGATTGGCGACAGAAAAGGAGAGGCATCATGCTACGGAAACCTAGGTACTGTGTTTCATTCGCTCGGGCAATACGACAAGGCTAAAGAGTATCTGCAAAAAGCGCTTGTCATCAAAACTGAGATTGGCGATAGAAAAGGAGAGGCATCATGCTACGGAATCCTAGGTGCTGTGTTTAAGTCGCTCGGGCAATACGACATGGCTAAAGAGTATCTCCAAAAAACGCTTGTCATCAAAACTAAGACTGGCGACGGAGAAGGAGAAGCAGCCGACTACGGAAACCTAGGTACTGTGTTTCATTCGCTCGGGCAATACGACAAGGGTAAAGAGTATCATCAAAAAGCGCTTGTCATCAGAACTGAGATAAGCGATAAGCAAAGGGAGGCGGCAGATCTTGCAAATCTTGGAATTATGTCCAGAACTGTTGGAAATTATGAAGTTTCGGAAGTATGCTTGGAGAAAGCTTTATCCATATCCAGAGATATTGGAGATAGAAGAGGAGCGTTCCAAATTCTACAAGAGTACGCCGTATTGTATCTTTTTCAAAATAAAGTCAAAGACTCCCTTTCGTGTCTTCAACTTTGCATTGAAAAGTACGAGGAGCTGAGATCTTTCCTGGGCGCCAATGATCAGTTCAAAACATCTTTTCTGGAGCACTCAGGAATATTTCCTTACAAGCTGCTTTGTACTCTGCTTTGTGACACCGGAAAAACTCGCGATGCTCTTTATGTTGAGGAGTTGGGTCGAGCTAGAGGCCTATCAGACTTGATGGCAAAGAAGTACTCGGTTGAAACGCACATCTCTGCTAATCCACAATCTTGGTTTGGCATTGAAAACATTTTTAGAAATAAAAATAACTGTACTTGTTTGTACATTTCTTATTTTCACGATCATCTGCATTTATGGATCTTGAAAACGGATGGAGTCCTTCACTATAGAAGGATATCACCAGAAGAGATTCTAGTTCAAGCTGGGTTGCCCAAAGACTTGTCTCTGAGTGAATGTTTGGCTGATAATTTCCGGAGTCTTGGTATTTTGCCCATTGAAGATTGTGAAGATCGGTCTTTAAATATGGTTGAATTGAAACCTCTCTCCCCCGAACAAAAGAGCTCAGCAAGGTTGCGACTCGTGGAGGAGGGTGAGGACGAGAAAGTCATTTCAAGTCTATATTTGTGTTACAAATTGTTTATTGCCCCCATTTATGATTTGCTTGAGGAGCCTGAAGTGATTATTGTTCCTGACCGCAATTTGTACAAAGTTCCCTTTGCTGCCCTGAGTGAAAAGGAGGGAGCCGAATACTTGTCGGAGACTCATAGGATCCGTGTCATTCCTTCTTTGACGACACTCAAGATCATTCAAGATAGTCCAGAAGACTATCACAGCAACACTGGTGCCTTGATAATAGGCAATCCCAAGGTTGATGGGCTGCTGCCATTGCCAGGTGCAAGAAAGGAAGCGGAGATGGTCGGACGACTGATGGGTGTTCTGCCCCTGATTGAAGAGGAAGCAACGAAGCAGGCGGTGCTTGAGCGGATAAGTTCAGTGAGCCTAATACATTTTGCTGCCCATGGCAACGCCGAAAGGGGAGAAATTGCCCTTTCCCCCATTCCTTCTGCCAACAGTGGAAACGCTATCTTACCACAGGAAGCTTACATGTTGACGATGGCTGATGTCTCACGAGTGAAAGTCAGAGCCAAACTCGTGGTACTTAGCTGCTGTCACAGTGGAAGTGGAGAGATAAAAGCCGAGGGAGTTATAGGAATTGCCCGTGCGTTCTTAGGATCCGGTGCTCGCTCGGTGTTGGTTGCACTGTGGGCCATTTCAGACTCAGCAACAGAGAAGCTGATGAGTCGGTTCTACGAACACCTTGTTGAAGGAGAAAGTGCTAGTGAATCCCTTCATCAGGCCATGAAGTGGATGAGAAAAAACGGCTTGACCAATGTGTCTGAGTGGGCTTCGTTTACGCTGATTGGAGATGATGTTAGGCTCGAGTTCACAAACAGAGGTAAGACTCGGTGAGAACAGGTATTTCATAAATTAAAGTTAAGTTAGATGTGACTATGACTTACTGGTGGCTGACTGTCGGCGGGGATCTTTTGTTACCTTGAACATCAACCCATATACATTTTACATATTGTGCTTGGTATAATTGTATTTGCTTTATATCCTAAATATTAATCGAGTTATTAATAAATTGTTGTTTTTTGCTTTTTACAGGAAAACAGACCCTGACAGAGTAAATAATGAGAATTACTTGAAGGAAACAGAGCTAAAAGACTTGTAGATGGATAAATTAAATAGAAACAAGTAGAGACAATACTCTATCCGTTATTTCATTGACGTTGAAAAAAAAAGAGCTATCCCAAATTAGGGTACGTAAGGCTTTTAAAGAAAGCGAAATCAGTAAAGTAGTTAGGTATAAAACGAACCACTGAAATCTGGTTTCATTTTTTTACGGCTTTTGTAAGATTTAATTAACAAATATGTAAATTCTGACGTTTGAGGGACATGAGAACGAATTAGTCAGAAATGCAGGCACGTTGAAGAGGTTCGCATGGCAACACGGTAGTTTCGGATTATTTAAGCGTTTCGCGGGAAAATTAAGTCATTCTACGTCGGTCAGTCTTAGGTTTGACTACTTTCTTTTTTTTTTCTTTTTTTTATTTAGTGTAATTTTGTTTACAACTCTCTGTAAAATATCACTGCTTTCATTGAATATTCTGTGTGATTAGTAGTGTGACTAGGTTTATTTTAGTTACCCTTTCCTCGGGGTATAGTGCTGCTGCATTAGATGAGGAATACGTTTCCACATATTTTTGGCCACTTCTAAAGAGTGGTTTTTTAGTGGTTTTTCGTATCTGGCGTAGCACAGCCTATTTTTGTATAACCCTTCAGTTTCAGTGAATACTTGCAGTACATTGAAGATTGTAGTAGGATGTGTAGACTACAAGATTGGGTGACTCATCCTAAATAAACTTTCACATTGAATATCTCGCCTGAAAGTAATCAGAATCTTAAATATTTGAGGAATGATTTTGATGAAGCATTTCAAAAAGAATCCTTGCCAACTTTAGATCTCTGATGCTAGGACTATCCTTCCTGTCATTCCACAGCTTGAGATTTTTCGTGTGCTCCGTGGCTTTAGGCCCTCCATGTGAAGGAACGCGAGATACCATTGATGGTTTTAGTTACAAACAAAATTTCTCAAGAAAATTGCTAGAAACCGTTACACAACTACCCAGAATAAATCACTGATGATTTCAGAACCCCTCCACGACAATTTAGAGCTCAAAATATATTTGAGAGTCTGTCCGAGAGAGGACCGGGCAGGCGTGATACATACCATCTCACCGATTGCTTTCAAACTTTCACAGTTTATTAGGATCATTAAGTTATTCGAGAATCCTGAGTAGTTCGGGCTCCCAGTTAATTATCCCTGGGGTATTAGAGCCCCCACATCAAATCCCTGGACTAAAATTAGCTCGAAAAATGCACTTCCTAAAAATATCTCTCACGCTGATAGAATGGCATGGATTTTAATCTTATTTTGTCCAATAGTTGTTTGAGCCTTAACAAAATGAATTCCTAAAACTGGGGTAATTTGCTTTCGTTTTTGCTGATTTAGAATAGGTAACCATTAACCGGAACTATTCAAAAAGATAAAAAAGTAGGGATTTTAAAATCTAAATATCTCTAACGGGCAAGATTGTGTATCGACAAACATATGATCATAGAAATTACCTATTATAACACTATGTTTGTAGGCAAAAAAATTTTGGGGCTCTAAAAGGGATGCGTGTTCACAGCCCTCTGAAGTACGTGACCGTTGACGTTAATTTATGCAATTTTTGCCATAAACTTGATGTTTATTCAGTCAATTTCATGGTGGCATTTCAGATTTTGTCTCCACCGAGCACCTAGCGCTGCGCGATGCTTTGGACAAACGGTTTCATCAGCGTCGTCCTGATTGAATAATCCTCTGGCCAAAATAAGTTCCTTTTCTGACCGAACACATGTCTGAGGCACCTTCAGCTGTCCCAGGTGAGATTTTACATCTTTCTAACAGGAAAACAAAGTAAAAAATTCATTTCCACCTGGATACTTCGCTGATACATCGCACTTTGCGTCGGAATATGATACAAACGAACATGACAATTGGAACATGACAATTGGAACATGACAATTAAGCCCCTTTTCTTAATAGCCTAAACAAGTTGAATTTAAAATACGTAATTCGAACTTCTCCGGTAAAAGAATCAGTGCAGACTGAGACTATATAGGAGGGGAATACATGCGTTCATTAGTCTTTATTTACTTCTCGTTACAACAATGTTTACACAATTCTTATCAAAAGATCTCTTAGTTGATGAAAAATAAAACTTAATTTAGTGTGTGATATAAATTTACTTAAAAAAGTCCGAGAGGTCTCCAAGGATCATTTGTCACGCGATTGCACCTTTATTTACGTTACCTCTTCCGTTTCCCGTGTAAGAAATTTTTTTCCCATTTTCAGCGCCTTCATGGGTTTTTGAAAACATGAACATAAACTTAATAGGTGTTTAACCCTTTGTCCCCTGTGACTGACTTGTATCTATTTTCTCCTTACCATATCATCCCTGAATCAAACATTAAAGTCAGGAGAATAAAGAAGCTGATCACCTACCAAAGAAGCTCTTGGTTGTCAGAGAAGTTCTCCTTGTCAACACCTTAGGAAATGTTTAGAGATCAGTATAGAGAATATGCATACTGATGCTAGAGTGTAAAGGCTTAAGGTAATAGAACATACTCAAACGCCTTTAGAAATGCTCCTGTAGACCGTGCATGAAAACGAGGCTACTATATAAAACATCTTATAACTTCCTTTATTATAGAAAAATAGCACCAAAATAGAACCAAAGATATAAGACCCTTATCTAAATCTACGTTCTCGTTGATGTCTTAAACGCTCATTTAGTAACTGGACGTCACAAGATTACTCACATGACTAAATGAGCATGGAATTTAGTAAATGGGCGTCTCAAGATTAGTCACGTGACTAAATGAGCACGCACTACTGGGCTGCTAAAAATTCCTTTGACCTTCCTGCGATGTCTAAAATGTTTTGCTATTCTTCATAAATTCTTCTTCACAGCATGGAAATTTATGTCAGCTCAAACTGGAAGTTTGGGTTAAATCTCATGGTTTTCAGGGGGAACGGTGGGGAAATCCATTGTTGCCTACAGAGTATAAAGGAGAGTCTGTAGATAATTGACTGCTCATTAACTGCCAATGAGGGAAGGGATAACTTAAAGAATATCAGAGAGCTTCGTGAGGGATCAGGTAAATTATCGTGACGCAGCAAAAACCCTACAAACTTCCTTGCCTTCCCCCTGCCTCCGTCCCTAGGAGAGAGTCAATCTTTAGGACTTTATGAAGAAACAGAAGCTTTCAAACTGGAAGACTGCCGGCAGAAACAATGTTGTGGAGCTGCACGAGCACAGGAACCTGTTCGCAAGAATGATAATCGAATCACTGCTTCAACAGACATCACAGAGATTCCGATCATTGAAAAGGATTTCTTTTATACACCAAGACAAAGATAGTGCTGACAGACTATCTAACACAGAAGACCATCAAGGCTGGCTGGCTGGCAAAACAGGGGACGCGTAGTTGTAGTAGGAGGTCAGAACAAGCGAAGATTTTCTTAGTTCCATAGCAAATAGGAAGGGGGAAGACGTAGAGATTATTTTACATGCCATGGATGCTACAGCCAGAGTTACGACATTCTCTCGACACAGAAGTTTTCATTTTGGCTCTCAGACATTATACAAGTCTTTGCAAGAACACCCCTTTCGTCGCCGGTACAGCAAGAAATAATCCAGAAATTATTCTTCAGCCAATTTTTCGCGCCATAGGCTCCGAAATTTAGGTTTCGCAAAAGGACACTGCCGGTCCCAAGTCGCTAAAAGGCTTACTTAAAATTGAATCTCGAATGCCTGTGGCTCTCTGAAATGCCACAACAGGTCTTCCAACTTGCCCTTCCCTCAGAGCAAATGCAGGACTGTGGGTTGTGTGCGTGTTTATATGCAGAAAATGGAGCTACTCTATCGGTGAGAATATGGTGACGAGAAAACAAGAATAAATTAGTTTAATGAAAATTGCTCGTTGAAACCATGGGACTTTCCAAACTACCCATACCGCTAACAAGGAACCAAAATGTCCCTGAGCTCTAGATTGTAGGGAGAGCATATCAACCCTGCTCCCGGACCGCTCACTATTTATCTCCTGGAGGGGGTCGGAAGATTTTGGTTGGGTCACAATACATCTTACCCGATCTCCCCCTAAAGCCCCCCACTCTGTTAGCGACGACTCAGTTCCTCGTCCGTTTCCTTAAGCAGATGTGGCTTGCAAGGAAGTATGGGAAGACAGGTTGGGAAAGTATGTTAGTTTTACACAACGTAGTACTTTACCTGGTCAAGGCGACATGCCAGCTGATTCTAAGATGGCTAGTAAAAAGATTCTAAACTTTAACATCGGAGTTCTTGGCCACATCGATAGTGGAAAAACATCACTTGCAAAAGCTTTAAGCTCCACTGCATCCACAGCTTCTTTTGATAAAAACCCTCAAAGTAAGGAACGTGGCATAACTCTGGATCTCGGCTTTTCTTCATTTCAAGTACCCATCCCAGAACATTTGAAGGAGCACGGATTTGACATTCTTCAGTTTACACTCGTCGACTGCCCGGGCCATGCCTCCCTTATCAGAACAATCATTGGAGGTGCTCAGATTATCGATATGATGATGCTTGTCGTCGACGTTACCAAAGGGATGCAGACTCAGACTGCCGAGTGTCTTGTGATCGGAGAGATACTTTGCGAGAAAATGGTCGTCGTGCTGAACAAGACTGACTTGTTGAAAGAAGATAAAAAACAAGCGTTAATCGAAAAGGTAAGGTTTTTATCGCAGTGCTTCGTCTTATTTGTTTTATTTTATCTCCCAAATGAACTCGTGGGAAACAAGTCGATGTTCTCGATCTTGGTATGGACCTTGTTAAACGCTCTTAACTCCCATCAGTGACTAAGACAGAATTTCTCCTAACATATACAGTATCACGCAGACAAGTGATGAGAATAAATGAAAATATCAATCAGTGGATTATTAGTTGATCCACTACCCAATTCTCCAAAGTAACATTGTAGGAATTGTATGATAGACATTAAGGAGAATAACTATCGCAATCTTAAGCTTGGGTGTGAAAGGGTTGAGGGCCTAGTAAGTGTTGGCTATATTTTTTTTCCAATAGATAAACAACAACAGCCCATCTTTTATTTAAATATGCTGGGTTTTAAAGCTAATATAGCTTAAAAATGTTAATCAAATGAAGACATGGTGATCAAATGATGTGTGCACCAAAACAACAAGCTCCAGGCTGTTAAGGACACCATATGATTAAAAAAAAATGTGCCCTTCTATTTCTCGTAATGAATTCCAATAGATGAATACACACTGTAGCCTTATAGTTTGATTGACATGTAGCTTCCTTATACTTGACAAACAGATCTGATTGATTTAATGAATGATCATATACCCATATTGTAAAATCTATTGGAATGTGTATTGTAAGAAAATGATCTGGAGGGTGTTATGGTGATGTATGATGGTAAAAGGACAGAATCTGGAGTATAATCCAGTCAGTTAGCATGTAGGTGATTATCAAAACTGGATTACCATAAAATGGTATTCAGGTTTGTTAATCACACACTTAATCTCGGGCAGAATTGGACAGCACAAATTCCTGGTTTAACAAATTCTCCCTAACAGCACTTATGGAAATTTATCAAAATCAGTGTGGAGAATATGCATGCTGATTCTGGGTTGGAAAGGGCTAAACTTCCATGATCTTATTCATGCTACTCCCTTGTTGAGGATTTTCCTTTCCTTTTAAATTCATTTCAGCAAACTGGGTGCTCTCTCAAGGCAAGAGCCTGAATTAATGTTATCCTTATTCTCTTTACTGTTCTCTATACATTTTCTAAGGTGCTGATTAGGAGAATGTGTTTAACAATCAAGAACTTCTTTAGTTAGGGATAATTTCCTTTCTTTCTATAACCTGAATGCTTGATTCAGGGGTGATATTGTTGGGAGAAATTACATGTTCATCACTCTTAGGGTTAAAGAGTTAAGCTGATGTGGTATCTTATCTCATTACTTGTTGCCTAGTAATTATATTGACATTGTTTGGAGAAGTTGCATGTAAATCACATTTTGTGGTAAAAGGTTTTATCCTTTTTTCCCAGATGGCCAAGAAGCTTACCAAGACATTGGAAAGCACCAAGTTTGCAGGTTCTCCAATTTTACCAGTCTCTGCTAAGCCTGGCGGACCTGACTCCCCAGATTCTGAACCTGTTGGAACACAGATGCTAGTTGATTTACTTTCATCCTTGTCATACCTTCCTAACAGAGATCCTTCTGGACCATTGGTATTTGCCGTTGACCACTGCTTCTCCATTCGAGGTCAAGGCACTGTGATGACGGGTACTATTCTTAGCGGAAGTCTCAAAATTAATGACACAATTGAGATCCCCTCCCTGAAGATCACCAAGAAGGTAAAATCCATGCAGATGTTCAAGGCTCCTGTCACGGATGCATCACAAGGTGACAGAGTGGGCATGTGTGTCACCCAGTTTGATCCAAAGCTGTTGGAGAGAGGCCTTGTCTGTAGTCCCAGTACTGTACCCACTGTTTTTGCTGCAGTTGTTTCAGTTAAACCAATATCATACTACAAAGGAACCATCACTTCAAAATCAAAGTTTCACATAACAATCGGTCATGAAACCGTGATGGGTACACTTCAAGTGTTTGGCCTTCCTCCTGGGCAATCAATGGATCCTAAGACACAAGAAGCCTTTGATATTTCTAGAGAGTACATCTTTCAAGAAGAGGTGATAGATCAGTCAAAGAAAAGTTTAAGCACAGGTGGTTGTGAAGATTCAGATCCACAAAGCAAGCCTGTTTCAAGTCATCAGTGGCTTTTCATTGAGTTTGAAAAACCTGTGACATGCCCAGAGCATTCTCTTGTGATTGGCTCACGGCTTGATTCTGATATTCATCTTAACGTCTGTAGAATAGCGTTTCATGGAAGGCTACTACTTCCAGTGACAGAGAAGAACTTTAAGGAAACCCTTTTACCCCAACTTAAGATATACAAGATCAAGGCAAAGCAAGGTGTTGTGGAGAGAATGGCTGATGAATATTCTGTCATTGCTCACTCTTTGTTTAAGAAAGAAACAAACATTCAAAATTTTGTGGGTATGAAAGTGACCCTGTCAACTGGGGAACAAGGAATGATTGAGGGTGGGTTTGGTCAAAGTGGTAAAGTCAAGATCAGGATTGCTACTGGCTTGTCTCCTGATACTGCTTTGAAGCTTTCTTCTGGTGGAAAGAAAAAAGGAGGTGGAAAAAACAAGGGAACCACATCGGAAACTCCAAATGAGGAAACAAATTCTTCAGAGCAAGTCACAAGACCTATCAAAGTAACACTGGAGTTCAAGAGATACAATTATGATCCTAAAAAGAAAATGGTTCAATGAAGAGCTTTTAAAACTGTTTTCACCTTAACATCCATATTCTCCAAGCAATTCTGTTTCTATTTCCAATGGAATTGACAAGGAGAATTTGTTTGACAATCAGGAGCTTCTTAATTTGGTGATCATTTACTTTATCCTCATGACCCTAACAGTTGAATCAAAGGTGCTACTGTGAGGAGAAATTAGATGTCAGTCGCACTCTCACAGGTTAAAAGGATAACACTGATTTATGAGGAACATCACAATAAATGTTGATGGAAGAAGTTTTAACCTATGATTAGAATTTTTCAATTGGTGATCATCTACTTTATTTTCATGATCTTTACATTTGATTCAAGGGTGATGCTCCAAAGAGAAATTAGATGTCAATCACTCTCATGGGTTAAAAGGGTAACACTGATTTATGTGGAACATCACAATAAATGTTGACGGTAGTAGTTTTTCCCATTGTTAGATATGGGTATTAATTTTTTAGAAGAATAGGTTTAAATACCACAGGTGACAACTGAATCATAAAAAGTCTAGGAATGAATAGCACCTTGTATCACAAGCTCAAAGATTTATAGAGTTCATATCTGTAGCTTTTTGAGAGAAAATGTTTTTATTTTTTTATTACTTTTTCCATCAGACAACAATCCCCTTAAAATACATTTTTTTACTGGGAAAATAACTTCACTGCATTTGAGATTATCAAGAAAGGTTGGAAAGTGGTTTTTAAGTTTAAGGTTCATAAACAAGAATTCATGTTGAGATCTTGGTGGTGAAAGGGCTGTGGCTTTTGGATTGAGTGATTTAGTAGTTTCATGATCAGTTTAGAATTTTGCTCTTCTCATTGCCACCCTGTCATTGATTGATGAAAGCTAAGAAAATGGAACTGAAAATGAAGTTACATATTTGCAGGTTTTTTTTCTCAGTCAAATATATGAAATAAAATTAGAATTAGAGGTGGTACACATTTTTTCTTAAAAGTAAGGAAGTAGATAGATCCATGAGAATGTGAGCGGTCAGAGAGGAACAGTCAGAGCTTCTGGTGGGACATGTCAATTATTTTTTTTAGTTCTAGATGGAAACAGAGCTCTCCTTCCCTAGACTTCCACAATACGAATTTTCTCTTTAGGTATACTGTTGAACCCCGTTAACTCAAATTACCCAGGGAATTGAAATTACTTCGAGTTATCAGGGTTTCGAGTTATAGAGGTTTCATTTTTGAGGGGAAGAAGAAACATGTTATTGTTCTCAAGAATGAACAGGGTAACACTGACAAGTAATGACAAACAACAGATCGATTTTAGATTACGCGCCATTATTTCTCTTAGCCAGGAAGAAATGTCAAAACTGTTCAATTATTTACGGACATACAAACATTTGATATCGACAGAGGTCAATTTGTCATAATATGTAAATGAGATGAAATGTAATCTTTCAGTGCAAAATGTCTTGGCTCATTAGTTCGTAAAAGTGAAAATCGACTTCGAGTTATCGAGGGTAAAGTTAGACAGAAATGTACCTAGAGGGAAGTAAAAATCGCATCGAGTTAGAGGGGTTTCGAGTTATCGGAGTTTCGAGTGAAAGGGGTTAAGGTAACAGTAAATATATGGGGCCAATCCGAGGGAATTCAGTTTTGCTTACAGTTAGCGGGGAATTCGAGTTAGCGGGAAATTCTAGTTACCGAGGGTTCGAGTTGACGGGGTTCAACTGTATGCCCTTGTTATTTTTCATATTTTTCTTTGACAGAACTTATATCCTGGCTTTACGCCATTTCAGCGTTTTCTTGTAGACGTCTCAGAAAAAATATTTCTGTACCATATCTAGAAGTATCTCTAGTGGTATTAATTAACATATACCTCGGCTTAAACCAGGAGTTTATTTCTTTCTCCTCATTTTCCCTGGCCTGTGCTAGGCGCAATTAACGAGTGGAGTATTTGATAATCCCGTCCCGGTAAGGAGAGAGAGGAACAGTTGACGAAGTATGCTTGGGGTGCTAATCAATAATTTCCACGAATCGCGCGGTCAAAAATTTATCTTCTTAACTTAGCGTTGTTAGACTAAATGAGAGGAGAAAGGTCTCGAACTTTCCTCGATTAGTTCAGAAAGGTGGATCACCTCAACCAGAGGTGTATAATTAACTGAACTCTTTGTTCGGAATGAAAATATCGTCCTATTGTTTAACAAAATTTCTGTTTTTCTTCCGTGAAAATAGCAGGAAACAAGCTATCTTCAGCTATTTTGAAGAGTCAAGAGGGTGGTCGAGGAGCTCTGGGTACCATTACTTCTGAATGCGCATGTGTTGATGTGAATTCATGCCGGAAAATGGTGGAATAGTGATTGCTGAAGAGAGTTTCCGTTTCTCTCCAGCGTTATTCGCTGACTTGTGCATAAAATGAGTGGAGAGAATGACCAAGACCTCTTTGGAACAGATCTCCTGTCAGAAGCCTTGGGGCAGAGTGGTCTTAATCTAGATGATTTGCTTGGAAATGCACCGGGTAGTTTTCTGCCCCAGAGCCTGTTTGATTTTGGGGATGTCAGACCAGACGATTTCGATTTCCTCGATAATTTCAATTTAAACGGAGATTTTATTCCAGAGGCGCCTTACCCGACATTAACAAGTTCAAATAACAGCAGGGTAACTTCCAATAATGTAAATACCCAAAGAAATGTTCAAGTTTCTCAAGTCCAACAAACTTTCTTGGGACCACAGCCAACTTTTCCAAACGTGGCTTCAAGTGGAACAGTTTTTCCAACTCCTCGACAACTTCCGCCCAGATGTCAAACTCCGCAGTCTGTTTCTAAACCTTCCATTAACTCAAATGTTCCAAGGTTGCAGAGTTCGACATCTCCGATTTTACTAGATTTGTTAAACAGTGGAAGCAATAACTCTGTGAGCAGTAACTCTATGAGCAATATTTCCGACGCTGCGAAGAAGGAACTCACCAAGAAGTGAGTCTACATGTTTTTATATCAATATTGTCTAAGTTGCCGATAAACCAAGTCATTTTCTTGTCCGTGATTATCCCAATGAGCAAGTCAGTTAGCTTTCCTCAAACGATTTGCAGTTTGTATTATTAGTTTCATCTACGACTTGTTCATCGTTACGTCGTCGCTCGTCGCTTGACTGTTAACATTTCCGGTTTCATTTGTGTGGCTTCTCTCGAGAAAGTATCAGAGATGAACAGGATTATTTTTATTTTCTAGAGATGTTTCACGACTGTGGTCAAACCATGATGTTAGTTTGAATCATGTGGGAGAGGTAAGCCTTTTTTTTTCTGTTGTATTTATATATCATTGCCTATTTGACTTACGACTTTTCTGATCACCAACAGTGCTTAACTCAGCAGAATAATTTGTGCACTTTGAGCAGTTTATGTAACAGAGTTACGAAATAATTGTTTTAACAAGCCTGGTATAGCCGAGTTGATACAAGATGGTACATAACACCTCTATGTTTCTACTACGTAACAATTCAAGTTCAAGTTGCGTCATTACAGCTTTGTGGCAAGCCTTTCACTCTCAGGAACTCAGCTCTCCTTACTATTTACTATGTAACTTTCGTATAAATTTAGCTCTGGGAATTTATGATCAATCAAACAAGATGCTCTACTTGATACTTCTCTTCCTTCTTGATGCCTTTTGGCTTGACAGTGAATTGTTATTTAAAGGAGAAATTGCTTGTTGATTACTGGTGAGAGTGAAAAAGTTAAACAGTCTTGTGACAACCAACTTTCAACCCTGTATCAGACTGCCCTGTTACAGCTGATAAGTAGCAAGAACAAACACTTTACTTGGGTGCATAATGAGAATCAAAGACTGAACTCTCCTGTACTGTACAAGAACATTTAACTGAAAACAGCAGTAACAAGATCAACAAACAAAAGTACAACAACAACAAGGACCTTACAGAAAGACATGCATACACGTTACAACCCTTTTACCCCTAAGAATGACTAACATATATTATCTCCTTACAATATCACCCCTGAATCACACAATTAGGTCATGAGAATAAGGGAAATGATCACAAACTAAAGAAGCTCTTAATTGTAAAACCAATTCTCTCTGTTAGAACCACAAGAAATGTTTAGAGAACAGTGCAGAGGATATGCAAAGTGATTTTAGAGAGTAAAGTATTAAACTTAGTAGTATGCCTTCACAACTCAACTCCAGAAACTGTTGCAAAGAATTCTAAAGTAATTTAGTATTATCAACTGAGTTGATAGCGTAAATTGGCCACTGTAAAGAGTTACAAGCATGATGTTTCAAGCAATAGCCCTTTATCAATGCAAATGGAGGAATTGGAGCTATGCTGTTGGTAGGAATGGAGTTTGTTTGAGCTAGTTTGGAGCTCTCAGGATCTGGGAGTTTTGAACAAACCCCTTTAACTGAGACAAGATAATCTGAAATGGTACATTGGGGGAATCAATTTTAATCATCTTCATTAAATATGATACTAACGTTTTTCAGGACAATGATACTGTTAGTGACGAAAATGAAGATGAAGAGGATGAAGAAGAAGAGCTAGGACAAACAGATACTTATGCGGAATATGTTCCTAGTAAATGTGAGTAATTTAACTTCAAGGCTAATTCAGGAAAGAACAATTCTGAATTTCTCTTCTGATGATTTATGTCAACTTTAAGCATTCAACTCCCAAAAGTGATTAACATGTAACTTCTCCCTGTAATACGCATATATAATCCAGCAAACAGATGATGAGAATACACAAGCTTATTCAAAACAATATGTTATTTTGATCTAATACCAAATTCTCGTAGCTAATTTTCAGGGAATTATGTAGTAACGAGAAGGGAGAATATAGATTCAGTTCTTGGAAGTTAGGAGGTTAATCAGGTTTTCAAAACAGTTAACCCTTTAACCCCAAAAGTGATTAACATGCAACTTCTCCCTATGATATTGTACACTATTCAGCAAACAGGTAATGAGAATACTCAAACATATCAGATGGAAGTTGCTATCTTTATCTGATGCCAAATTCTTGAAAGTTATTTAAAAGAAAATCTGCAGCAGCTAGAGGGGAGAATTAACAATTAGATCTTGGGAATTAAAGGGTTAACTGATGTTCTTCTATACCCATGGGTTGAGAGATGTAGCATCAAGTGAGTGACCAAGACAGAATTTCTCCTTACACTATTCATGCTAACTGAAGCAGACTAGTGATGAGAATAAAGAAAAATATCAATTAGGGGATTGTTATTGATCCAATACCAAATACTCCAAACTAACATTATAAGAATTGTATAGCAGACTGTAAGGATAATTACTAATAAGATCATAAATTGGGAGTCCTGTCCACCAACTAACTACTATTTCACTGACTTTAGAAATGAATCAATTCTTTATATTATCAAATTAACCCTAATCCCAAGATCACATGAGTAATTCTCCTTACTGTCTGCTAAACAGTTTTTATAATGTTAGTTTGGAGAATTTGGTATTGGATCAGCTAATGATCCCCTAATTGATATTTTTCTCTATTCTCATCACTTGTCTGCTTGATATTGTATGCATATAATAGGGGGAAATTCTGTCTTGGTCACTCATGGGAATTAAAGGATTAAACTTACCAAGTACTGCTTTCTGTTTCAGTGCGCCTAGGACGTCGCCACCCTGATCCAGTGGTGGAAACAAGGTGATTGATCTATGCTGCTTCATGTAGATATACATCAGCAACCGTGTAATAGGCAGACAATGAAAACCATGAAAATTTTTGTTTAATATTAAAAATTCAGTTTAGTAAAAGCTATGCGCAATAAGCTTGTTATACACAAGCGAACTTGAGATTTATTTGTCTAGGGGCCGACTGGCTTTTTCCTTGGAACACAATAACATTTTGTTAATATGATGGTGTTCATGGTTTTCTCCAGTTCTAAGTAACAGTGGCAAATTTGCAAAGACACATTACAGTAAATCTACCCTCCCCAGTTCCCCTCAACCAGCAATGAGTCAAAGTTGATCATGTTGGTTACATGCTGTATTAATTTTCATGATCATTGGTCAAATGAAATTTTCATTTCCTTGAAACACACAATTTAATGTTTTCTACCCAGGGTTGACATTAGAAGGAAGGAGTCAGAGCATTTTGTACCTACATCTTTGTGAATTATGATCAAAGACAGCAATGATTTCGACATCAATGTTTGGCTTAAAAAAGTTACTCAAATGTGTCCCAGAATACTGGAAGTCACAACTCAGTGTAGAGTTTCAAATTTCAAATTTTTTTTTTTCAGGGAAGCATGTTCCTGGAACCCCTCAAGAGGGGCTTGTTGTGGAACAACACACCACTGTTGTTACACAAAGCACAATTCCATTCACCCACCAACTAAGTTGAGATGATAAATCTATTACATTCTCTACCCATGTGTTCTGCCAGTTAATTAATGATTTCCTTGTGCACCGCAGTTCATTGTCAAGTGTGACACCTCCCGATATTTGGTATCGTTTGATGTTCCCCAACGAAGTAATTGACAACTGTTACTTATCTGCACTACAACTGGAGGCTGTTGTGTATGCTTGCCAGCAACATGAGACATTCTTGGCAGATGGGACAAGAGCTGGCTTTCTAATAGGTAACCAATTTGTCTTTCAGTGCTTTTGATTAAAACACTCACTAAATAGCAAATGACTTTTGAACTCGCAAGACAGTTCCATGTTCTTGAAAACTTAGCATAGTGTAAACAAAAGATGAAAAGGAGACAACAGGGTTCCTAGCTCAACTCTTTTCAAAGTCATTATTTGGCAGTCTAAATTTATGAAATGGGTCATCAGAAAAAAGGAGTCCTCAGATAAAGTCACTTTTGAATGTTCTTGTGACTTCTTGCAGCTTATACTGTGACCTCCAGAGATAAATTTTGTTAAATAAAATTGGTAAAGCATTATAATTATAGTGTTGAAAAAAACAATTCATTCCACTTTTTATTAGACCATTCAAATGTATTTGTCAATATGTTACAGCTTGCTACATGTGCATGATCACCAGATACAGGTTGTTAAATTGGTGAATTCCCCACGAAAATCTCTTCAATATTCTAACTCTTTCATTGAAATTTTATTAAGTAAATTAACTTTTCAGGTGATGGTGCAGGTGTTGGAAAGGGAAGAACAGTAGCAGGTACCTCTTTTGTTGACCTTTTGTTTAAGAGAGCTGGTAAAAGTTTAGCTTTATCCATTCTAACTATATAACTTTAAGTTTGCTGACTATCAAGAATTTTTGTTAATATGCTTTGTTGAATTGTAGGAGTCATTTATGAAAACTATTTGCTTGGAAGGAAGAGGGCCATTTGGTATGCACAATGAATATTGATTATCTCTTATAACAGTTTTTTATTATATTGAAATTATTTAGAAAATACTCAGAGAGCCTGTTGTCCATCCAAAATGCTTTACATGTGTATAATTTTGTCTGGGACTTGTTCAGTTGTTGAGTGTGATGTTACAATATTTATTAGGTTCATTTTGTCAAATTCACCATTAATAATACAAATCAACCTGAGATTAAGTAAAAAGGGACTGCATTTCATGACAACTTCTAGTTGTTTAAAAAAATAACTTCCAAGTATAAAATATGTTAGTTGTAATAATTGCTTAAATGCAACAGAGCAATTAATTAGTGAGTTGTTCTTACAACTGAGGGAAACTGAACGCTGGTAGAAATGATCCAACCTCCAAGAAGTTCTCACTAAAGCATGCAAGAGCAGTATTACCAGCTCTAAATTTTCTGTTAATAGTATGCCGTAACATTTTTTCATAAGTTATTGTTCCTTTTTTCAAAATCCACTTACTGCTTGCCAAAAATGTTGAAAATTTAACAAGCCCTCTCTCTGAATAAGCACCCACCTCAAAAAGGTTCTCATTCTTAAGGTCCATCAATTTACTAGCACCTTAGGTGCTAGTAAATTGATGGTCAAATAAATATGTGTGGTATAAATTTTGTCAGTATTTTCTTGCATGTGAATGCTAGGTTTTGAAGTTATTTTGGTTGAAAAAAATTGGTGTGTAAAGGTCTCCAATCTGTCTCTTCTCAACAGGTTAAGTGTATCAAATGATTTGAGATATGATGCTGTAAGGTAAGATTCCTGTTGAAATGGTTGTTATAATTGGTAAAATTACAATTCAGTAAATGGTTTGAACCCAGTGGTAACATTAAATCATGTAGTCTGATTGTCTGGGTGAAGGAAGTCCTAAGGGAACTGTATCAGTGGTGGTGACTGACATTTTGACAACCTGGCAAGGTTGTATAAACTGATTGGTCAGTTTAGCCATGACCAATTAGTTTACACAGACCAAACATATAATATGTGACTGACAAGACTAAATGATAAAAATTAAAATTGCTCCATAATAATTTATATATACTGGAGAAACTGCAAAGATTTTGCAGGAAAGACATCTTGCATGGTGTCTATTTTCAAAGGTACGCTGTCTTGACATGTTCATTTTAGTCTCAATAGATATAAGATCAAGTATAAGATTCCTTTTCTAAAACAATTTCTTACCAAGTTATATATTAAGTTGATGGTTTTTGATTGATATTTTATGAATAATTATGGACAGAAAGCCAGTGGTTTATTAACCTTTCAACTCATAGGTCTGATTGTTAATTCTTACATGTAGTTGCAAAACATTTCCTCGTAAATTAGTTATTTCATCAGGTATTATTATCCCTTTGAAGACTTGCATTGATTTGGCTTTAACTTCCCTTGCAGGGATCTGAAAGACCTTGGATGTCACATCAATGTACATCCTCTTAACAAGGTAATGTCACAACTTGTGTACTTTTATGACACTAGGTTAGTCAAGTGCTGTTAACGAGTCTGGAAATTCTGGTTACCTACACTCAATTCCTCGTGTCTTTGGTGACCAGCTGGTCCAATTACTCAATGTCCTTATATTGTTTCCCAAATTGAAGTGACTGTTGTGAGATCTGCTGCCACCTGGTTAGCTGAGGTTGTAGAGCACCAGACTGCTGTGCAAGAGGTCAAGGGTTAGAGTTCCATACCAGACCATTACTCAGGGTCTTAACCCTTTACACTCTAATGCCATTCTGTAGATTCTCCATACTGTTCTTTATACATTTCCTAAGGTGCTGACAAGGAGATTTTATTAACTGATTAAAAGCTTCTTTTGTTAGTAATCATTTCTTTCATTCTCATGACCCTAATGTGTGATTCAGAGGTATATTGTAGGGAGAAATTAGATACTAGTCAGTCTTAGGGTTTTAAGGGTTAAAATAACAGAGCAGAATGTGCTGCCTTTGCTATGAAATCTGCAAATGGTTAGATACCCTAGTTTACTCAGATAAAGATCATAAACTTTAGGTTCCGTCTCCTACATCTTCTCTGTGCTAGTTAGGGGACGTTATTGTGGTCTGGCCTTGTTTCCAAAAATTCCAAAATTGAGGGCACCTGAAAAATTTCTTTATAAAATTGTACACTGCTCAATGTAGCCAGTCCAAATTTCCCTTTTAAGTGTTTTAAAGCACATTATAGTATATTGATATAGAGAATGTGCTACAAGTGTGATCTGAATGTGATATGAATGCATCTTGGTCATCTTTAATTTTTACATTATTTCCCATTATTGCAGTTCAAATATGATGCCAAAATTTCATCCAAAAGGAATGGCAGTTTTAAAAAGGGAGTGATATTCTCTACATACTCATCCCTGATTGGAGAGAGTCAAGGTTCTGGCAAGTACAATACAAGGATGGGCCAGCTACTGCAGTGGTGTGGCTCAGACTTTGATGGGGTGGTATCCTTTACAACAACCCATTTTCATTGTGAAATGATGAAAGAGCGAATCCTATGAGCTGTGAGGCACTAAGTTACTAGAAGAAAGGTGTTCATTTTTCGAGAACAAAATGTGTTTCCATATGTTTGAGATCCTGCCCTTCATCAGTGCAAAGTCTGAATGCAATCAACTTTATTATTTGTAATGTTTTATATCAGTCCTGTTATATAATGCTTGGTAAACAGGAATGCTTTTACTGGGAGTATTGTAGCCTTCAGAATTTTCTATATTGAGAGGGTACAGCAATTATGTTGTTATCAAGGCCTCAGAATAATACTCTCTCAGTACAGTATTCCAGTTTTCTTACTTTTAAAGAGTTTGAAACAAAGGGTGTTACGTCTCACAAACTGCTAGATTCCTTAAGTCTTGTGGCAGATCGTGTTAGATGAGTGCCACAAGGCCAAAAACTTGGTACCAACTGGCTCCTCAAAGCCAACCAAAACTGGATTAGCTGTCTTGGGACTGCAGAGCAAACTTCCTAAGGCCAGGGTTATCTACTGTAGTGCAACAGGTATGTTAATATGCACAGTTTGTAACAAGTTGTAAGGATTTATAGCCAGGATTGTCATGTTGGTATAATGGTAACTATGACGACTATTGCATCATTGGTCAGTTCAATGAAACTCCATGGGAGCTGATTACTTTAATCTGAGTGTGGATCTGTCTGCAACAGACTGAGCACTTTTGGTGGCTGGGTCATTGGGTAAGGAAGCAAGCAGCTCTCTCTTTTTGTGCTGTTTGTCAGCCATGGGTCTATCACTCTATTCAGTTGACTTACCTCCTCTGCTGGGAAGGCTGAGCCATGATGGTCAGCCATAATGAAGGGTCTTGCAACTTTCAAAAAGAGTTTTCCATGTCCTCAGGATAGTCTTGAGACTGTTTTTGAGGTAGAACTTGGGTCATCAAATATGGTGCCTGCCCCTTTTGCCATGTGTATATCAAAACTCATGTAGAAAGCTTTAAAATATTATAAGCAAGCAGTACTGTGGATATGATTCAAGGTTTAGCCCTTTACCTCTCAAGATCTGATTTAAAATTCTCCCTTTAAGCTGCTACATATTTCCTTGTAAATTAGTAATGAGAATTTGGTGTTCGATCAAGATAACAACTTCAATCTGATAAGTTTGACTTTTCTAATTACCAGTTTGTTGAATAATGAATGACTATTGTAGGGAGAAGTTATGTGTCAACCACTTCTGGAAGTTAAGGGGTTAATTGCAGTACTTTGTTTCTGAATATACTTGTTTATGTATTCAGGTGCCTCTGAACCCAAGAACATGGCATACATGTCTCGGCTCGGAATATGGGGACCGGGAACACCTTTCAGAGAATTTAATGACTTCATTCAAGCTGTGGAACGAAGGTGAGTACATTTTATGCTGTGATGGGGTTAAATTATGAAAAAGTCAAAATATGGAGACGCACTCACCTTTGCTAGTCACATATTAAAAAATGGCTGTCCATTTGATTGACGTCAACAATGATTTACTAGGCATGACTGTCTTCAAATGTTGTCACTGTGAACAACAATTTTTCTTTCAACAAATTGACCATATGCACAAAGTTGAAAGAAATCAAGAAGAACATGCAGATTTTTAGCCTAATTGTACATGATTAAGTCCCAATAAATTTATTGAGTGGTAGTATTGGTAAAAGGAATTAATTTCCAATTGATTCTGGTCTGTATCATGTTGTAATTACTGCATTTATTTTTCCTTCAGAGGAGTTGGTGCAATGGAAATTGTAGCTATGGAAATGAAGGTGACTTGAGGAGTCTTATGTAAATGTGACTTGTCATTGTGATAACACATTTTCAATTAAATGAAAATTAACCTCAGAGAGAATGAACCTATGAACCTCTTCACAGCAATTTTTAGAGTTTCTCAGAAGCCGTAACCCTTTTACTAATCAGTAACTCTAATTACTGTCTGCCACACAATATTTATGATGTAAGTTTGGAGAATTAATTGGTATTGAATTCATTAAACATCCCTTTCTTGATATAATATTATTTCTTTTTTCCCATCTTCTGTCAGTTTGATATTGTTAACCCTTTAACTCCCATGAGTGACCAAGACAGAATTTCTCCTTACAATATCTATACAATATCAAGCAGACAAGTGATGAGAGTAAAGAAAAATATCAGTTAGGTGATCATAAGTTGATCCAATATCAAATTCTCCAGACTAACATCACAAGAACTGTATGGAAGTCAGTAAGGAGAATAACCAATGAGGAACTTGGAAGTTAAGGGGTTAATATTGTGAGGAGAAATAATTCTCTATTGGTCACTCATGGGAGTTAGAGGCTTTAACTTTGATCTTCAAATCATCTTCTATGTCAACCCTATCTCCTAGAGATGATAACAGGTAGCCTTTCCTTACAATATGAATGCTTTGCTTAGTAAAGACTAGAACACAAGTGCTATCTTAATAAAGCACTACCTGACATTCAAGGAAGTCCTACACAGCTCAGGGGGAATTGGTATTTAGGTCTTGAGAGGTGAATGGGTCAGTTCATCATTCTTTTACAGCCATGCTGTGCTGGGATCTAAGATTTGCAATAAATTAATTGATATAATACCTGTTTTGTATCCTTATTTGTACCTTCAATTATAATTATTATGGAAAATAAATTTCAGTTTGTCAGTCTTCCCACGACAACAATGTATGGGGTGTACCTAACTGTAGCATGTGACATCATTCTGTGTCCAAAATATGAGTGAGACAGGAAGAAAACCCAACAAATATTTATTTACCGACAATATAAGTAAACTTGGCTGTGTTATACAACAATCCCAAGCAACACATGTGTTACATGAATGCAAGACTGACAAGCACGACAGCGTCACTTCTTACATCATACACCACACTAACCTATGTGTACCACTGTGTAAATGTACAAACATGTATGATTCCTTTATCAGAGCACTGTATGCTTGCTGAAAGCTGCAGGCTTACTGATTAATTTTATGAAACCAGGAAATAAAGCATTTATGGGTGGTTCAGTGGCAGTCAATTAATTGTTTTTTTTTTTTTTTTGCTTCATTTTTTTTGTTCTCAGCTTCGCGGCATGTACATGACACGTCAACTTAGCTTTGCTGGAGTAACCTTTGATATAAAAGAATTACCACTTGCCAAAGACTTCATTGATATGTATGATGCATCAGTCAAACTTGTAAGTTATGTTTTGCATTCAAACTTGTCAGTTATATTTTGCATTCAAATAACACAGGCAACTGTTCACTGCTTGTGTTATTTAAATTTTTTGGAAACTTTTGCATTTTGATATTTGATAAAATACCTAGCATTACAAAAATAACCTGTTTTATTGATTATAAATTGTGGTTTTCATAGTGGAGGGAAGCAAGAGAGAAGTTTGAAAAAGCTGCAGATCTCATGGAAGCTGACAGTAGAGTGAAGAAGACCATATGGGGTCAGTTTTGGTCTGCTCATCAGGTAATTAACCCTTTATATGCAGACTTCAGTATGCATATTCTCCAAACTGTTCTCTGTACATTTCCTGTGGTACTGATGGGAGAATCTCTTTATCAGTTAACAGCTCTTTTAAGCTGGTGATCATATCCTTTATTCTCGTGACCTGGGGATAGTATAAGGAGAAGTTCAATGTTGATCACTCTTGGGGGTTCAATTGTTAAGTACTGAATTTGTTCACTTAACCTGTTCACTTGTATGGGATATACAATTTAAAAGCAAGTCATGTAGAGTGTAAAGCTTGCATTCTTAGTTTGTGTTAGTGATAGATTGAAAATTGTATTTCTAAGACTGAGTAATAATATTATCAATATTTTAAAGAACACCTGCCTGAATGCGAAGACTTTTTCTGTTTCTTTGCAGTGCAACCAGTTTCATTTTCACTTGTGTATGTCTTTAACCCTTTAACTCCCAAGATCTAATTGATAATTCTCCACTTTAACTGCTATACATTTCCACTAAAATTGTTACGAGAATTCTAAGTTTGATCAAGAAAAGAACTCCCACCTTATGAGTTTGAGTATTCTCATTACCTGCTCGCCAAATAATGTATGGATATTGGAGGGGAAAGTTACGCATGAATCACATCTTGAAGTTAAAGGATCAATCACATTGTCCAAGTTTACTTCACTCGTGTGGGAAAAGTAAGGATATTGAAAATTGGGTGGAAGATCTGCTGACGTAATGGCTGTTGCAGTGGTCTTTGAAAAGAGGGGTTTAGGTTCAAGCTCCTGATGGGATATTGTATACTTTTTTCTAGTGGAGCAAGTCTGTTTAATCATGCCTTGCTTCTTCCTTTTAGGAGTTTGAATAAGTACAAAAAAATTGTCATGGAAATCTGACAAAATTTCAAGCAGCAAAACTCAAAATGTCTTCATGTTACTGTTGATTTTACTTGTTTATCTTTGGGAACCAGCTAGTTCCTCTTTGATTGTAATCATGTAATATGAATATCACTAAGTCCCCTGTTTTCTTATTTTAAATTGTAGAGATTTTTTAAATACCTGTGCATTGCATCCAAAGTACGGAATGTTGTTAGCATTTCCAGAGACGCCCTCAATTCTGGAAAGGCAAGTTTCCAATAAATTTAATTTGTATTGCTGTAACAATTCCAAACCTACCCTATTACCACACAAGTTAATGTTTATTTTGTTCTATTACACCTATGACACAAAAAATACTCTGTGTTGTGTTCTCTTCCTTCTTTACTTTATAATCAAATATATAATAAACTTCTTGTGAAGTTTGTGTATCCCAATATGTGATTTTAAATATTTGAAAACTTCCTAACATTCACAAGGGTTCTGTTAGGGTTCATATGAGTCCTGGAAAATCTGGAAAGTCCTGGAATTTTATTTGACATTTTCCAGGTCTGGAAAGTCCTGGAAAGTTCTGAAAATCTGCTTGAATTTAGCAATGAAGTTTTCAGAATTTATGTTGTAAGAAATATTTTGTTGACTGTTAGGAGAATTGATCTTGAAATCTTGGGAATGAAAGGGTTTTAGGGGAAATTTGGAATCCTGGAAAAACCAGTCTGAGTCCAGGAAAATTCTGAGGAAAGTCCTTGAAATTTTTTTTTTTTTGAAAAGTTGTACAAACCCTGTTCTACGTAACTGTCTAAGAGCATGTGTACTTTTTCCCCTTTTTGCAGTGTGTCATTGTAGGTTTGCAGTCAACAGGGGAAGCTAGAACACTAGAGCAACTTGAAGAGTCTGGAGGGGAACTAAATGACTTTGTTTCTACTGCTAAGTAAGTTTCATGATTCCTTTGATTGTAAATAACAAAATTTTGTTAAATTTTTCATTGAAAATGTATTTGCATATATGAACATACTTCCTAATGATTGAGTTTGAAGTCTGAACTTCAATTGCCAACTGAGCCTATTTTCGATTTTTTTTATTTATAATTTTGGCTGTTGTATATTCTTTGTAAATTAGAAATTATCTCAAATTTATCTTTCAAATGATTTGTGTCTTTTAGAGGTGTGTTACAAGCCTTGATTGAAAAGCATTTCCCAGCAGCAGACCGAAAAAAATTTGCTGATCTGTTTGGTATTGACAATGATGCCAATGACAAATTGTATGACCAGTCTTCATCCCTAGCATCTGGTCAACTTACCCCACGAAAGAGGAAACAGAAAGGTTAGTTACTCATAATTAATTCTTTGTTTCAGATTGGATTTTCTGTTCATTGCAAATGTAGGGGATTACTAGAATCCTGCATACAACATAGTTTAATCTGCTGGTAAGGTTTATTTACTGTGAAATTTGAGCATGTGAGACTGCCTTAAATGCCAGAAGTTATCCCTGTTTCTAAGCATGAAGTGAGCAGAAGTCTTTTTATCCACCTGGATGGGGTGACAAACAATTGCAGCACCCCCCCATCTCTAGCATGTCATAAGGTTTTACTGACAATTTATAGGTTGCCATTGTCACTCCTAGGTTATAAGGGACACTACTGGAGTTAACCCTTTCACTCCCAAGATCTCCCTAGTAATTCTCCTAACTGTCTGCCATACAATTCTTTTGATGTTGGTTCACAGAATTTGGTAGTAGATCAACTATTAATCCCCCTATTGACATTTTTCTTTATGTATTATCACTTTCCTTGTTGGTATTTAGGAGAGAAATTCTGTCACTGTTTTGCCCCATAGAATAACACAGTTATTTCTGCCAGAGCTCAAATTTGGATGTCATTAATGATTAAGAATCTGCTATAAAGTTAGCGATTAGTGATGTGTTTCTTTCACTCAAATTTGTAGTTTCCAAGCCAGCAAAACCAAAGAAAATGAAAACTGCTCTTGAGAGGATTTGGAACTGTAAGTTTAAATAACATGTTTTTTTTTGTTTGATCTCTCACATGTGCCATTTTGTCAGGCAGTGCAATTTGAGTTTTAAACACTGTGCTTAAAGGCTCTGTGTTAAAGAAGTTAATTCAACCAGCTGCCCTCAACTTAAGCTGTAGTCAGGGATCTCTCTGTTGTATTGCACACAGACTTTTGAGCAGTCCATCTACCCTTGATGGCGTGACACACCTAGGCTAAGAAGTTTTGGTATAAAAAGCATAGCCTAGAAACTTAAGCTTGGCCAGGGAATGTGATCAGTGTTGCTGAAAACCTCTGCTCTGCTTTACCTTATCTCTCTCTAACACCTGTTTTTCATCTTTTTACTTTAATGATCCATGCACTTTTTTTTTGTTTTGCATATACCGCGTTTCCTCAAAAAAGCGCCAGGACGCTTATCTAAAATTTCAGCTAAGAAGAGGGAACCCATATTGGAAGGAGGGCGCTTTGTTACATTTATTTTGTTGCTGATTCCACTAGCTTAAAAATTAATAAATACAGTGGCAATAGAAAGAGGTTTTCCTTGTATCCCCACTGTTTAAGAGAGTTGGGGGGGCGCTTATTCGGGGGAGAGCGCTTATTAGAGCGTGGGCGCTAAATCGAGGAAATATGGTATACACATAGTTATATCATGTGCTATTTTCTACTTTTGTAATGTTATAGATACTTGTGCATTCTCTCAACAAACCTCTTCTGCTCAGTTATGTCACGCATTTAAGTAAATTTGATTAAACTTTTTTTTTTATTGCTGTGTTTTTCTCTTTAGTGAGTAGTGGCTCTGATAGTGAATCAGACGAAAGTCAGAAGAGCAATGGTGAGAATGAATTGTTCAACGCTCATAAAAACAACGGCAAGAATGATGGTGCAGCAGAGTCTTGCAACAGCTCAGCAGCAGAAGAGGAGGATGATTCTAACCCGTTTGGTGTGTCAGGATCAGATGATGAAGGTACAGTGTTTTGTTATAATAGAGTAAATGGTCTGAGCCTAAGAGAAACGGCCAAACATATCCTGAGATGGTCTGTATTGGGGGGAGTTCCGAGAAGGATTGCAGCTGGCAACTGTGATAGAGAGAAACAAAACTGTATTGGTATTGGTAATGAGAGATGTTTTAATTCTTATTTCACACCTCAATTGCTGTTTTTTACAAGCTATGCTTGTTTCAGTTTTCTTGGTTCACATCAGTACACAATGAACATTTACCTTTGAATTAGCTGTGAACAGAGGCCTGTAAAAAAAAAACATAATCTTAAAACCCAAAGAGTGACCAGCATCCAATTTCTCTTTACAGTAATGCTGCTGAATCATTTATTACGATAATGAGAATAAAGGAAATGATCGCCAACATAAGAAGCTTTGATTGTTAAACAAATTCTCCTAATCAGCACTAAGGAAACGTTTTGAGAAGAGTATGGAGAATGTAGATACTGATGTTAAGGTGTGAGGGGTTAAAGAGAGATGATGGAAGGTTAAAAGCTTTGCTGTGGCTGTAAGAAGCCTGTGTTTGTATAGTGAAGCTATCAGTGCTATGAGACAAACTTGCTTCTTATTTTCATGTGTAGACCCATGGCTGCATCGAAAGTCTCGGAAGTCTTCAAAAAACAAATCACGGACAGGTAGTCCTGACTCAAGTTACAATGCTCTGGCTGCTGCCGGGCTTAAAGTGGGTGGTCTCCCATGGAGCACACCTGGACAGAGAACAAAACAGCCTAATGGGCTGGAGAGCCAGCATTCGTGGAACCCAGCTGGTAATTAGCTTTCATTGTTTGAGCGCAGTTCAACTAAATGTTGTAAAGCGGTCATCGCAATGGCCAATTGGAAGAGAAAGGAAAATAGAATGCTTTTCAATCGAGTGGCGTAATGCCAATATCAAAGTAATCATAACAACCAATCATAGGACGAAAAATATCGCGAGGAGCGAGCCAACGAGAACTCAAAATGAAAACAAGCAACCTGCCTTGAGTCCCTATTAGGATTCGAGCCTCAATCATTTGGATGTTGTTCTTTCACTGGGCCACAGAGAACTTTATAATGAGCAAGGCCATATGCGAAATCCATATGTGATAATCAGGGTTTTTTTGCTCTTGTCTTCTCAGACCTCAAACTATAACTAACATAAGGAATGTGTTGATCAATGAAGAAATGTAAAATGGTTTCCGTGTTTACATAGCCTGATGTAAACACGCGGGAGGTTGGGAGAACACTAAATAAGCTGGAAACCACTCCGCTTCGCGTCGTGTTTTCGTACGCTTATCTCGTGTTCTCCCAACCTCCCGCGTGTTTACATCAGGCTATGTAAACTTCCTTACATACGCTCATGTAAAATGGTTTTATGGCCAATCAGAGCGCGCGTACTATTTGAATTATTTTATAATTTGTAATAACACACTTGCCTTCATCTGCAGGTGGACTGAAGACTTTACATCATTCCGCGAGTGCGCCAGCTTTTTCTAGTTTAACTGCAGCAAATAGCCCAGGACCACTGGCAAACTCTGCTGCAGATATGTGCAGAGCAATGAAAAGGGAGTTACTTGATAAGCTTGATGTCCTGTCCAAATGTCTCCCTCCAAACACTTTAGATGAACTTATAGATGAGCTGGGTGGGCCAGACAATGTTGCAGAGGTGAGTAGATTGAATTGCCTCATCTGACCACGTGTCCTGTTTGCTGAGGGCCTTTCATGAACCCTCTAACCCATGAGAGTGACCAGCATCTAATTTCTGCCAACAGTATAACCCCTGCATCACACAGTAAGGTCATGAGAGTAGAGGAAATGATCACCAACTAAATATTCCCTTGATTGATCAACAAGTTCTCCTTGTCAGCACCCTAGGAAATGTATAGGAAACAGTATGGAGAAGATGCATACTGATGTTAGGGTGTAAAGGTTCAACTCTTTAGATTGTAAATTAAGTCCAGGGTCGGGTTGTTCATTGTTTAAAGCTGGGTTAAGATAACTCAGGGTTAGTGGGAAATCTGATTTCAGATGTGAAAGCTTTGAAAGACAATCCAATACAATTCCTTTCATCTACAATTTGATGATTGAATGTCCTTCGAAGAAGATAGAAAATTATCCAAGAAAGGCTTTTGAACAAAGGGATAAAGAAATCGAGATCAAAATTTAACTCTTGGTTAGCACTAATCAGCCTACGAACAACTGTGCCCAGGAGTTTTACTGGCTTATTTGTTTGCATGCGCCATATACACCCATGTTTCCTTTACAATTTAATGTAGGAGAAGCTGTAAGGTTTTTATGAATTATGAATTATGCGCGCATTTTGATTGGTCCCTACCCATTATCTGTTGGAGGATAGACGCATAGCTGACGTCATCATAAACTTTTTTTTTTTTTGCTTCTTTATTTACTTAAACAAATATATTCAATTTCAGGTGGGTCGGTCACAGAAGTAGTAAAAATATCTTTAGTTATCTCGGCTGCGCCTTGTGTGTCACTTTTTTTTCTTATCACATTTTGAATCTTTCGCAACAACTAAATACTATCTCAAAATACACTTAAATTATCAGTTATACGTAAATGAGATGTGTGACTCAGTTTTATTGTGTTTAGATGACGGGAAGAAAAGGTCGTGTTGTGAGTAATGAAGATGGGACCGTAAGCTACCAATCAAGAAGCAAACAAGATGTGCCTTTGGAGATTATTAACGTTGTTGAGAAAAACAGATTCATGGATGGGCAGAAGGTATGATGTTTCAGTTAGTGATATACGTCGGTGATGAAAAATGTTTCCCATCAACTTTTGAGAAACTTAATTTGACTTGAAGCGCGGGAAGGAAAGAGGCGAGGAACCAGGTCGTGATTGGTTTTAGTTCTGTATATTAATTAGCCTGATCATAAAGCGTAGTGAAGGAAAACCAGTGCAATCCCGGACTTCTTCCAACAGTTGGTAAAAAATTGCTGTTTACACAAGTATGTTATATCTTGAAGTTTTTTCATGTTTTTTAGAGCATCGCAATTATCTCAGAAGCTGCCAGCTCAGGCATTTCTCTACAGGCAGACAGGAGAGCCAAGGTATTTAAAATATCCGTCTATAAGTTGACATTTGAACAGTGTAATAGGGACCATTATGTACACTCTGTTGATACGTGTATTACTCGCATTTAAAACTTTCGTTTGGAAATATTAGCAATTTTGAATTCTCCTTTCTGCTTAATGGCTTATTGTCAACTTTCCTTCTGGCGATTGACGAGAGGGGAAAAAAGTCATTTGTGTCAGTTTAATTATTTCCGCTTGACAGAACGAGTTGCTGATTGAGGGAAACGATAGTATAAATGCATGTTAGCCGGAAAAAATTGATTTTGATTGACTTTCCATGTGTTCTATGTTTCAGAATCAACGAAGACGCGTTCACATCACTCTTGAACTACCGTGGAGTGCAGACAAAGCAATTCAGCAGTTCGGTAATTGATCGTTCAACTGTTGTTAAAGGCGGAAACTGAAATAATACTCGATCTGAATGAAATTATTGTTGTCATTAATAATGTTATAATAATGATAATAATATTAATAATGATCTGCAGGTCGATCTCATCGGTCCAATCAAGTGAGCGCCCCAGAGTACCTGTTTTTAATATCTGAACTGGCTGGAGAAAGACGTTTTGCTTCCATTGTAGCCAAGAGGCTAGAGAGTTTGGTAAGCTGTGCAACGTTAATTCGATAGCTTTCAGAATGATATTCATAGCCATGATTAAGTACTACCAGTTCAGCTCTACTGTAGACCTTCTTTTCTTTAAATTTTATTTAATTTTTAACTTGAGGCCATGTTTTTGCTAGCATGAGTGCCCTAAGAGTCGTTTTCCCTTTTTTGTGGTGGTGGGGGCGCTAACTTAACTGTTTCTCTCCTAGTATTTCTTACGATATACATGTAACTACCTTGACAGGCAGATAAGCGATTAGAGGAAAGAAAAACATCAATCAGCCCCAATTGTTTGATTGAATATGAAGTTTTCAGTGCAAGAATTTCTAAGAAATGTGTGGCAGATCGTGCAGAGAATTTAGATCTAGTTCTTGGGAATGAAAGGGTTGATATCATGCAAACAAAATTGCGTTTCAGGGAGCTCTTACTCACGGAGATCGACGAGCTACAGAATCACAAGATTTAAGCAGATACAATATTGACAACAAGGTAAATTTTAATGTTTTCTGTTAATGCCTCGCTGTACCTGCCTTTTTCAGTAGCCGCTCATCAATCCCTCACGATTTTTTTTTCTATTAGTAAACGTTGTTTTGGTCTTACTTCCCCACGGATTGTGATTGGTCCGGAAATCTCACGCCATCTTCTCAACCAATCACATGCTGGACTTAATCCAATCGCGCCTCCATCACTCTCATTTTCCCGCGCTTCAGACAGTTTGCAGGTCTTTACTCTTGTCTTACTGGCCCTAATGGTATCTACCTTTTCTTTGGTTAGCCATTGTTATCGCTTTGGTTCTGGTTTTACGGCCCTCAATTAAAAGAGGCGCTAATGCGTCACAAATTGGCTTGTTAAGTATTAGTTGACGTAAGCTTTTTGTATTTATATCTAGTATGGCAGGGCTGCTTTGGAAGCTGTTTTAAAAGCTGTCACTGGTCAGAGTGCGCCAACGATTCCACCACCACAAGACTACAAAGGAGAGTTTTTTCAAGGTATGTTTATATGTACCGATATTCAGTCGTGTTTCAAAAATCCTTTCATCCTTTTTTCAAGTCCTTGGAACACCTTCGAAAACTCACAAAGCCACTTACCTTTTACTTCGCTATAATTATGACGAAACACCGTTATATTTGATGAAGATCCTCATTCCCCACCCCCTCCCCCTAAGGAAATGTTAACAGCGAAGCTGATCACCCAGGGAGGTCAAAGTCAACAATTTAAGTTGAGTTGGGGTATTGGGGAAATGGGACCACAGAACATTAAGTATCCTTTATCTGCGCGAGTTTTTTTGTTTGATTTGTTTTTGTTTGTTTGTTCTGTTTTGTTTTGTTTTGCTTTGTTTTTTCAATTTAAGGCTCTTTTGCCAGGGATTGTAGTCTTTGTCCCTGTGCCAACGAGGTCACTGAAGCTCGGAACTGCCTGGGTTTTTAATAATCTTCAAGGGTGATGCAAGTGTTTTTCTTGTTTCTCGATCATGACAAATTTTAACATCTACGTTTACTTTGGTTCTTTTTACAACAGATGTACGTACAGCTCTGATCGGTGTAGGCCTTGTGGTCAAAGATGACAAGAATAACGTGACCATTTTGGATAAAGGTGAAACTTTCTTTCTCAGGCTTTGTTCGAAAACATTAGGTACAGAAATAGTTACGGATCAAGAAGTCTGGGTACGAGCCCTGGTCTGGTCAGTAATGTTATGGTTTAGGGCACTTAACCATTTCTGTACCTCTCTCCATTAAACCTTTACGCGGTAACATCAACATGCAAATTCTCCATTCAGTTGTTTTCACAAGGAAAAGAAGGAGAATTTGGCTAACAATCAAGGGCTTCTTGAGTTCGCATTCATGTCCTTCTTTGGATGACTCTGATGTTTGATTCAGAGGTGATATTTTTTTTAAGGAAAAATTAAATGGCAGTCACTTTCACGGGTTTAAGGGTTACTTGATTAATTTGTTTTTGTCTTCATTTCCGTTTTTTTTTTTCATCAGACTTCACGAACATCTCACGGTTTTTAAATCGAATCCTTGGTGTAGAAGTTGAACTTCAAAACCACCTGTTCGCATACTTCATGAAAACACTGTCTGTTGTGGTACAACAAGCCAAGAGAAGTGGACGGTGGGATGAAGGAATTCTTGGTAATCAAAAACGTTGGAATTTTTTAAAGCTGTCATAAAGTATCAACTTTTTTTTTCTTCTTGCTACACTTTGATGTCATCTGTGATCCATTGTTGAATGTACTCACAGCAACATGAAATGCAGTTTTGATAATTTTGGTCGTGTTTTTTTTCAGACCTTGGTGCTCATGGTGAAGCTGTGACTAACTTGAGTGTTCAAACATTTGCTGGTAATTCAACTATGGGCACAGCTACCACAGAATTACACACAGTAAGCTGCCTCTCTCTTCAATTATCTTTTATTTTAAACACGAATTGGAAAGATGTGACGGTGCAGTATGGGTATTCTATTGATGTACGGTTCTGTTTTTAGCTTTCCAAAAAAAAATCTCCTGAACACCGCAACTGACTGGCTTGTGTGGTTGTTTGTAACTCGTGTGAGATTTTTTCTGTCAACCTAAAAGCACGCCACCTGGTCATTCCAACGTTCGCACATGCGCAAACGTTTGACCGCGGTGTTTACATCTAGTCGCTTCATGTTACAGAATCCGGGATGAGCTCCTCTAGACAAGCTTTCTTTAGCCCAAGTTATGAGTCAATAACTTTTCTTCTCCTTTGCATATTTAGATAAGCGTAGAGCGGGGAATGTCGTGGGAAGAATCATTTGAATTACGGCGGTCTCAGTCGCACCCAGAGGATGGTTATTACCTTTCCAACCAGGTGAGTTCGTCGGTAACGTGTCAACGAAGAAGTTTTAACTTTAACAGTAAAGCGCTTTTGTATTGAGTGTCGTGAAACCAAGTCCTAATTGGCTTTAGTTTTGCATCTGATTGACCGAGAGAGTTGCGCGAGTCTTTGGACCAATGAGTGGGCGAAATAAAGCAAAACCAATGTAATCTCGTAATAGTTTCAAAATTCAATTGAAAATTGCTCTAAATGCTGCTGCAGCTATTTTTATGGGCATGAACAGCAAAAAGAACTATGCAAGAAACTTTGAGTTGAGAATGCAGTTGATATTTGCCCAGACGGATGCCATTTCGATGCGGGGAACGGCAACCTCGTCAAACTGGAAAAGGAAAATTATTGTAATAGAGCGTAATTCAGTTGAGCCTCGTAAAAACTAAGCCCGAATTTATTCCGGTGGACAATCAGAAGAGCAGTTAGAGTAAAAACTAGCAAACTGCCTGAAGCGCGGGAAAAGGCAAGTGACTAAGGCACCACTGGTTTAATTTTGTATCATTGGCTGTAAGGGTGGCGTGAGTTTTTTAGACCCATCACAGAGCGTTGTGAATTAAAACCGATGCATTTCTTTGGACACTCAGTAGAAAAAAATATTTATTCGAAGTTTTAATAAACTTAAGTAGACCCTGGCTCAAATTTAAGTGCACCATTAAGGCCATTACGAACACACCATGGTGGAATATAAAAGTGAAAGTAACCTAAGGTAACTAACTTTGCAAAATATATATAATTATTTTTAACCAGGTGCGGAATCACAAGAAAACTGCTATCTTGGTCATGTGTCAGTCTCGAAGCAAAAAGAAGGATGTGATCAATGTGTACAGACCTAATACTGGCCTGCAAACAAAACAGGACACACTGGAAGACGTCAAGAAAAAGTACAAAAAGGTAACCAGTCACGTGTTCTCTTCTGTCCAAATCTTGTTACGTCATCAGCATCAGCTAGCGGTGTGAAGCGCGGGAAAATGCGAGTGAATAAGCCGTGATTTGTTCAAGCTTTTCTGACCAGGTGTCCTCGGTCCCCTACTATGAGTTACGGAACCTCGTTTTTTCCGCGCGGATTTATGGCCTGTGCGCTTCGGTGGAAAAACTCGGTCCGTAACTTTCAGTGGGGACCTCAAACTCGCCTATTAAAAGGTATTGCTTATTGCTTGCCTCACGACAAAGTCGCTTTCAATGTGAATCGCAACATTTGACTGCCTTCTACCAGTCTTCATGCAATAGAAGGGAAGAACGGCAGTATGCAGTTGAAACCTTGCGATCCACATCAGAAGTGATTTCTGCTTGAAACTATCGATGATAATTCATCCACAAGTAAATAACCTTCCGTTTTTGTTTTTTAAGGTATTAGACCATGAGGCTCAGAGTAGTTGGGTAGATCAGTACGAATCAGCCCTCAGTCAGTGCAACCACGCTTACTGGTGAGTGTACAAAGTCTTGTAAGAATCCTTGCTAAGGGCCCATGTTCTAAATGGCCAAGCGCGAGCTAAACTAGAGTGGCTCTAGCGCTGCAAACTGAGGCTGAATAGTTATGATTACAGGGAGCAAAATGATTGATCCAGATACATTTTACAACCTTCGAAGTATAAATTAACACGCTTTTTTAATGCGATTGGCCCTTTATAACACATGCTTATTGCTTTATTTGGCCAAGACGTCACCAGAACTGTACGTTACAATAGCCATCCCATAATGTATTGACATTATAAAGGGAAATTCCATTGTGGAGAACGCTGGTAATGAAAATATTAAATCGAGTGGCTGTGTACTTGACTAAACACCTCAGGTCGATTCCTCTCAAAAGAGAAATTATTATAACTGTTATTTTCTTTTTTTTTTTGCAGGAAGGGTAACTGTAAACGAATGACTCTTGGTTTGAGCTGTGAGGTGGGCAGGCGACAGCGTACGTTCCACATCCTGAGCGGCTCGGTGCTAAGCGTTTGGAGTAAAGTGGAAAGTGTCTTAGCTGGTCAGTCTGGTGCAAACTCCAAAATACAGATTGTTCGTTGCAGAAAGAGCGATGGATCTCGAATAGTTGGTAAGTCTAAATGACTCTAATTTCACTTTCTTTTAGTGGTTTAGCCGACGAGAAAGCTGTTGATGAAATTCTGGTTTTGAGTGGAATTGACAACCCCCGCGGCTGTCCAATTTGACTCTTGAATTTTTTTAACCCTGGTGATCTGCAGGATGGAGAATGCAATCGGCTTCAGATTTCACGTTGACTAATTAAAATGTTCAAACAACCTTCTTTGTTCAATTTGAATGCTGTTATGTTAATGCCGAATTTATCGTCAGATAAATTAACGAGAGTTCTTTCCTTGAATTGAACAAATATTGTTACTGTCCCTGCTACTACCATGAACTGATCAATAGTGTTCCCTCGCCGCTGAACTAGTACCGAGTTCCGAAAAACCCAGATATCAATCCCAAGAAAGCTTATGTATCGAAAATTTAAGAAGTTGCCTGTCAGTCACAATCACTTCTTTCACCCTTTAACTCCCATGAGTGACCAAGACAGAATTTCTCCTTACAATATCAATACAATATCAACTAGATGAGTGATGAGAATAAAGAAAAATATCAATTTGGGGGTAATCAGTTAAACCAATACTAAATTCTCTGAGCTAACATTATTAGAACTGTATGGTTGACAACAAGGAAAGTTACAAATTTGATCTGGGAGTTAAAGGGTTAAGTTAAAAGGTTAACGCGATAGCTACTTTTGCAAATTTTGTTCGATAAAGTTTGGGGATTGAACTTGTTTTTTTTCTCTCGTAGGTTGCCTTATTCCAAGTAACTGTGTTCCTGCATTAACTAGAGCGCTTACTCCCGATACTCAGCAAGAACCAATTTTAATCATGTAAAGAAAAACATGACCTGTTCCCGGCGTTCAGTCAAGAAAACAACGATGCGCTTGAACTAATAGAGAGACGCAAAATGAAGCCAGCAAAAAGAGGAGGGACTGGGTACTATTTGGCACCGGTTTTCATTGCGGCGTTGTGTACCAACTGTACGCTTGGAACAGGCGAAGAAAAGCTTCTATTTTGGCATACGGAATCAAAATTTGTGGTGTAAAAAGTGTACAGATAAATATAAGATTAAATACGTTAAATTATTTAAGCGGTACTTTGAACCGCACGTGCGTACAAGCGAAATCGTTAAAAATCATGGTAAGCAAACGCCTATCTGTGGGCTCTTTAGGTAACAGTGTTTGTCATTTAAAACCTCTGGAGCAGTTTTCAATGAGTGTCGAACGCAATTCGAGGCTTCACTAATTTTACTTTCGCTGCGTAATTGGTACATCAAGAAAACTTGCGCTTTTCCCTCGATTAATCAGATGTAAGACTGAAACATGGCGACTCAGTTCACTCTCGTTTCCGACGCCTCAGCACCGGAAATGAATTCCCTTGAACTCTGAATTGGTCCCTCGTGGTATTTACCTTCGTTATAATTAATTTGATTTCGTTTAACGACACTCAGTCGAAAGGCGCTCTCTGAGAAACTGAATTAATTAGATAAGACTGTGTTTCTTGTTCAACTAGTACACTAAGCTTGCGAAGAAATCTTCTTGACAGAGGCAATTTAGGCGTTCCATATCCTGTCTCCTTTATTTGTAAATTATTTGGTAGGTTAGTTTCGTCGTGCAAATCGCACTGAAAGATTTTTGTTAAATTTACATATCCGCTTTCACGTAAAAGGGCGTTCATCAATATTTGTTGTTTGGTGGACAGATTTTAGTTTAATTTTTCGGCCTTGTTTTGCCTGGTACGTAATGCTGGCCTTTACTGTAGTAATGGTAAGAGTGACGAATGCAAGAGAAGCCACTCTTCCTCAGAATTTTGACCAAAGATACGTAATCGAAACTTTCAATACATGTCTACACTAATTCGTACTATTAGGGTCAGAATTTTGGGCGTCCTTCCTGTTTCTCCCCTCGTAATTTTTTTTGTTAGCCTGCAGAGCAGGCGTCATTTTATGGTTTTCAAGCGAGTGCGAGTCGGGCGCGTGGAAAGCGCAAGGGATTAGTCACGTGCAAATGTAGGAGCATCTTTTCGCGCTCGCCACCCACGCCATCCGCACGCTCGCGTCGCGCTCGCCTAAGCTCGCTTGAAAGACGGTAAAAAGTATGCCCCTGTCGGATGCTAGTAATTTTGTTTGTCTTTGTTCTGTTGATTTTTTTCGCACTTAGCTTTTTAATAGCATACGAACAGTGGAGTTGAAAGATTCATCTATGAAAATGTTTTTCGTGAAGACAATATCAAGTTCTCTTGTGGTGATTGGAGGGTCACCATCTATTTTGCTCGTCTCTGTTCGTCGATGCCCCTTACGCTGAATATTGGTTGCAACATGAACTCCAGTGTCCGCATGTTATTAAAAAGCGCGGTAACGCACTCTGTCAGTCGAAATTGCTACCATTTTTTTGGTTAGTGACGCCATAAGATGGCATAATTACAATTAGCTCGTTTCTTTAGAAGAGAGCGAGTCAAGGTGAATATATTCTTTACTTAACTGACGTTTATTTCCTTTTATTAGAAAATAAAATATTTGAAGTTAGGTAAGTAACACATGTCGCCGATTACGGTACTTGATTAAACACCGAGAAGCCAGCTCTGTTCCATGAACGTAGTTTCTAATGCCATGACACTTTCATTCTATTTGAAATGTGCTAAATCCATTCACTCTCGAGATTCAAATCTTAACTATTACTATTTAAGTTCTGAGAATTTGGTGCTAAATCAAACTGGATCCGCTTCCGATTATCTTCTCAACTCCTTTCTGCTCTTACTAGGGCAAACTCCGCTCCTAGCGATCTGAACATTGCGGTCAGCAGCTGTTACCCCTTTTGACACCATCTGCCTGGCCATGGTTCTTCACAATATAATTTTGTAAAGAGAGTCTGTATAAACAGAAATAAGTCGGAGAATATAAAACAGGAATTAAAACTTTATCACGAAGAAAATTAGATAAACTACGCTTAAAACTTGTCGTTAAAATTATGTGATTAGTTACTTTGTGCAATTCAAACATTAAGAGCCCATAGCGCATGCAAACTGAGAAACGGAACACCAAATAAGAACCAACAATCTCTCAGGGCAGTTTGGTATTATCAACTGAGTTGATAACGTAAATTGGCCACCATTAAGAGTTTCTAAGCTGACGTTTCGAGGGCTGACGAGGGGCTAGCGCCCAAAACATCAGCTTTGAAACTATTTACAGTGGCTAATTCACGTTATCAACTCAGTTCATAAAACCAACTACCTTGTTGTACTCTCCCACTGACGCGGCACCACAGTTTCTTTAGAAACTTACCTCCTTTTATTCAATATCTCTGGGACATTTTTAGAAAGCTCCCGTTGTATCATCAGAAAGGTACTGATCCTTGCCGAACATATCAGTTGAGGCTAGACTAAACCATATAGTTTAAGTCAAGAAATTAGTATCCTGTCCGAGGCGTTAATTTAGTAAACGCGATATTGGCTGAAATAGAACACAAAAGGGGGCTTGGGGGATTTTAGACAGGTCTCGAAGAAATTGTTCCTTTTTTATACTGAATTTGGCTTGAGATGTTGCAGGGAGTTCATTTTTAATGTCAGTGTTATTGATACCGTAGCGAGTAACATGACTCTGTAATTAATTCTTCCGGACTTTTCAAACCCAGATGTTCACCATTCGTTTCTTATCTAGGCCCGTTGTTCATTTTTTCAACTTTCAACCTCGAGGAAGTACTAACGTCCATTCCGTCTACTTTCAGATGTAACGTGTCTTTTGAGTCTCTCCTATAGTCTCTCTCTCTCGACGTGTCTAAAGCAACCTAATACCGTGTGTTGTCTTGGACACTATGTATTGGCTTACATGAATGAAAACTAGTTGCATGTCAGCCGGCGAGTTGACCTAGATTTCCAGTTGATTCCAGATTATTCCAGGTCTTTGGTTTGCAGTTGGTTTTGCGATGAGCTCAGCTAAGGCGGTTAACGCCGAAGGTTATTTGGATACCTCTACAAATGAATCATTCAGCGAAGATGAATTCAAGGGGATCAAAGATATGTAAGTAAAGATTGCTAATTCGTAACTAAACGACTAATGCCCCATTCACACCAAAGCTTAAACATGTTTAAAAGTTGTTTTGTTAAACACAGTTTAATTTTTTTTTCTTCATAGAAACTATTTAACCAAATATTTTTTGACTTGAATGTAGCATATTGGAAATGCAAGTTAGCAAGTACTTGAATCCTATGGAAATCAGTTCTCTGTTTATAATTTTCATTCAATAAAAACCAGTTTAACAAAACATGTTTTGCTGGTGTGAATGGGGTATAAGATTATAAGAAATTCGATCATTTATCGGTCAAAATGATACCTACTGAGTGATGGTTATGAGATCGATTGAGGGGATTACAGGCTGTTTTCCAAGCGGGTTGACCAAGGAGTGATTGATGCACAGGATTCCCATAGTAGTGGTGTGTCTGCACCACGGGCGTAAGAAAATTCTGCTGTTTCTGTTCTTGGAGTTATTCTTGTTATGTAACACACGCAGAATACCTTGCAAATTTTCACCCGACTATGCTCTTGAAGTTTGCATTTATCCATAAATAAAAGTCAAGGACCCCTGGCTCTTGTTGACAAAATATAATTGAGTCCCTTTCAATGGGATGTTGTAAAACTTGTACCACAGCAGCCAGTCACAATAACAGAAAATATCTTAGAAGAAAGAAGATCCTAGAATAAAATGGGGGGGGGGGACCAAAACATGAGCAAAACATGACTGGTTTTAGTTCTGCATGACAAATTGGTTTAGTGCGTGGTTTAATACGTGGTGTAGGTTTCCTTTACCAATCATGAAGGTTTATGAAGCAACACCACTACATTCCTTGGTTACCTTAATCCACAATAAAACTGAATCACAGAAGAAAAATGTCATACAAGTCCTTGTCAGGGTGAAATTCTGTTATCTCAGAATAGGGGCGTAAAGGAAGAATTTTGGGACGGCTCTTACCACCTAGCCTATTCATGATAACTTCAAGCCAAATACTTTTCCCCTCAGCCCCTCCCCCCCCTCCCCCCCTCCCCCATGCACTCAGTCAATGTGTACATAAACTGTGTTACATGGGAAAGGAAATATTATTCTTTAAAGAAATGTTTTTGAGTGATATAGTTGTGATAATATTTCATACTTTTTTGTAGCTTTGGTGGAATAACAATCAACACAGATGTGGAGAAGTGTGAAAGTAATGAAGACTTTGAAAGAAAACTTGCTTGTAAGTTCATTATTTCTGAAGGATTGTATCAACTTAGTTCAATGAATTGATTATTAATTTCAATTGGTTTCAACTTCATTTTAGTATCACTGGAAAAATTCAAGCAGTGTGGTATTAGGGGAGTTTGGCTTAGAATATCAATAGAGAATTCCACTTTTATTCCAATTGCTGTAAAAGTGAGTCATAATGTCTATAATTATATAGTATTAAATGTAAAGAATGAAGAACAGGAGTTTCCATAACATTTTCGTTAATTATCTGCTAATGATGTAATAATAATGGGCTATGCCTGAGAAGGGGCTGTAAGCCAAACCCAAACACTAGAACCTGTTTCCCAGCTAAACAGAGGATGGCGAGAGGTATTATAGGCAGGGATAGATCAACAGAGAGCACCTGTTATTGAGATACCAACATGACAACCAGCTCCCAGTTGGCTTGTTAGCTCAGTTGGTAGAGCACTGCACAGGTATCACAGAGGTCATGGGTTCAAATCCTGTACAGACCTGAATTTTTTCCAAGCCATATTTTCACTACTGCTTAAGTAGTGTTCATTGTGAAGATTGCTTTCATATTCATTTATTAGAACATAGTTCACATATTCAAAGTTATTGATTTATCACCCCACAGGTTTATTATGAACCTAAATAAAGACCCACTCCTAGTTGGCTTGTTATTTCAGTTGGTATAGCACTGCATGGGTATCTGAGAGGTTATGGGTTCAAATCCTGTACAGCCCTGAAGTATTTTCAGGCCTCATTCTCATATTCATGAGATCTCTGTGTTAAACATTTGTCATGCATGCAGAAAAATTCAGGCAATTGCACGTCAAGGGTATGAACTTGATTAAATCAGGGGGGAATGTAATCTGCAATGGACTAACACTGCATCTAGAAGCAGTAGCAGTACATCTTGTCTCTTCATGCCTCTGAAACTGTACTTGGCTGAGGAAGAATGAGTAGGTTGGCTTAGGTTTATAATTCACCTGTCACTTTACCTTTGAGCCACCAGTTCCAAATGCCTCTATTTGAGCTAGAGTGGACTCATTTCCAACCTGATCTACTGCAAACCAATTAACTAGCTTTTAGTGGTAGTTTGCAGCCTTTCCTTATCCCTGGACAGTTCAGAAAGCCACAAAATTCTAGAACAAACATTTGTCTTCCAATTTAAATTATCAATTCAGTTGATAATACAAAATTGACCGGTTAGTTTTAAGTGTGTTATTATTACAAACATAATAAATTGTTTGTGTTTGTTTTTTTTTTCCAAGCATGGTTTCCAATTTCACCATACTTATCCAACCTACATTGTTTTAACTCACTGGCTTCCCAAAGATGAACCAAACACTCTGCCAACCTTTGCCACAAGCTACCTTGGTATGTCTTGTGCTCTTTTTTGTTTGTTCATTGTACAAGTTTTGTAATTTGTCAGCCGTAGGGAATTTTGTTTGAAAAATGCTGAACTGGACCTTTTATGAGACTAGAGAAAGACTAAATTCAATCAGTGGAAATTGTGTGCCCTGCATTTTGCTGCAAAAAAGCATATGACTTGCTATAGTATGTATCTATATATTACTGTCAACACATTATTTTATATATCTGTTATTTATATTGTTATCTTTTACTACTTCTGAAGGAACCTAAGCTTACAAGCCTTTTTGGTTTTCATGAGGTTTCCTCACCATTAATCTTCTTTTCCTTTTCTTTATCAATTGTTGTAAATTGTAGTAATGTTATGCATAATGGCAATTAACATCTCAACTCTAGAGACAATGCTGGTGCCAGTCTGTAAGGTGTCTAGTTAATACTTTTACCTCCAGGAGTGATCAATGAATACATTCTCCATTAAGTTTTAATACATTTTTAGGCCGGTAGGTAACATGAATTAAGAAATTATCAATTGATCCAACACCAAATACTCAGCACTGCTAATGAAGAAATATGTGGTCATTTGTTGGGAAAATGAGTTCTCAAATCTTGGGACTAACAGGGTTGAAAGAGAGTTGACTTTATGTTCATAATGACATATTTGCTTTTGTTGAAATAGCTAACAGTCTTTTTTATTCTTGAAAGTTAAATTACTCTGTTGTCAAGCAGACACAGTGGATGAGTAGAAGATTAGACCAGTATCTTGTTGATTTTCAGGAGCTGGTGGGCTTGTAATCAATGAAAAGAACCAGGTATTAGCTGTCTGTGAGAGATACAGTAGAAAAAAGCATTGGAAACTTCCTGGAGGCATGGTAGACAGAAGTAAATATTAACCATACCTATTTTCTATAAATACACTTTAAAAGATTGTATCAGCCACTTACAATAAAATTTATTTTATAAATTCATGCACCAGAACTAAGAGGTTTTTAGGTATTTTGATCCTGCATTGATGGTAAAAATTATGTAATGTGGGAGTTAGGAATCAAATACTAAATTTTCCATCATTTTTAATTCTTCCATGGGGAAGCTTGTTATGTTATCAAATGTTGCTCTTTTAATTGGTTCCTACTGATGCCCAATTGGAGGACAGATGCATCAATGTCATCACCATTTGCAATGTTTTGCTCTGTTTTCATATTAATGAATAGATTCCATGTTGCTGTGGGTCTGAACAGTAATAGATCACAGACACCCACCAACATGGAATCTATCTGCTATGGTAAAGTGACAATCTGTAATACCAATGTAATGTAATTCCTTTCTCAGGTGAAGATATTGTTGAAGCTGTTACGAGGGAAGTGTTGGAGGAAACTGGTATTCAGACCACTTTCATTTCTCTTGTTTGTTTTCGTCACATGCTTAACTTCCGTTTTGGCTGTTCAGATATCTACTTCATATGTCTTCTGAAACCTTTAACTCATGAGATTACAAGGGATACAAAAGAGATTGCTGATGCCCAATGGATGGAGGTAATTACATCATGCAAAAACACTGTGGCTCATTTGAACATACTATTGTCAAGCTTGTTGTCATTGCTTTCAAACTACACCTGACTCTAGGTTAACCCTTGAACTCCCATGAGTGACTAAAAGAGATTTCTCATTACAATATGAAGACAATATCAAGCAGAAAAGTGATAAGAGTAAAAAATAAAATTTCAATCAGGAAATAATTAGTTGATCTTATACCAAATTCGCTTAACTAACATCATGAGAAGTGTAAGGCCAGATGGTAGGAAGAATTACTAAATTAAATGAGATCTAGAAGTGAAAGGGCTAAAGTATCAAGTTTAAATGAACAACTGCATGCCATGGAATACAAAATTCCAATGCTGGTAACATTTTACAAAGTATATGCAAAGTCACAAGTGTGTGAGGAAAAAGCTCTGTGAGAACAGTGAAGCTTGTAACCAAAACAGCTGCTGTTTGTCAGTTGCACTTATTTGGTCCCACCATTCAATTTGAATTCTAGGATGTTTTACTTGTATAGCCAGATTATTGATTTGAATTCAAAATGGCAGCAGCCTTTGTCAAATTTATACCAGATTTTAACAGGGTTTTGAGACTGTTCCAGGAGTTCAGTTTGTTAAACGAAGCACGATTGTAAACCGTGTGGGAGGGGTGGGGGAGAGAACAACCTAGGAAAGTTTGGGTCTGGTAATCAAAAAGACAGATTGAGCATGAAACTGAAAGTCTTGTTGATAACAAAGGATACTCCCACCATACACATCACTCAGACTAATTCACAGTTGTTTACTCTTTTCTTGTAGCTAGATGAATATATAGCAAGTCCTCTGGTGAATGATTCAAATCGCTTCATTGCATTGGCCTACAAGAATAATTTTCAGAACAATGACAGTGTAGTAAAGATTGAAACGGAGCAAATTCAAGTCCACAAAACAGTTGGAACATTCTTCACACTTAATTTTTATAATGATAAAGACCACAATAGAGATGACAGCACCTAGAATACATCTTTTCATCATATGAAGTTTGAGATATTATTCGAACATGTGTAGAATCTTTATTACAATAACATCCATTGATATATACAACACAAGTGAATAGTCCTTTGTGCAGGCTGATTGGCTTTTTCGAAGGTGAAGAGGACGCGCGTTTCTCTACCTGCAGGAAGATTTGAGACGAGTTGGGGAGAGGTTTGCAAGGGGTCTGGCACTGATAGTGCTAATATTACCTGATGATGAGCAATAAAACTACCCTCAGAAATTATGATACATACTTAGAAAAATACACTTTGGTCTTATTGGACAAAATTTGTTGTCTTCGATTGAATTAATTTTGCCTTCACTACACAACCGAACACACTCAAAGGTTGAGGCATGGGCGCGTTGGTCAGCTAGGCCCAAGATAGATTTTAATTGTGACAATGAAATTTACAACAAAGTGGATAAGAGATACATCAAGTAACGTCCTACATGCGCCAAAGCCGGACACGTAAACCCCAAAAACCTCTTGTTAGGAAAATAGGGACCGTGTACCCCCGACCAACTGCAGTGGCGCCACCTTTGGTGTTTTAAGGTTGATCTATAAACAATGAAGAGAATGAAGAAAACAAATCATATCAAGCCAATTACAGAATATAAATAAACCTTATGGGAAAGTGCTAGTGGCAAGGCTGACCGTAGAATGCCACAAGTTTCTCAACGATCTCCTCTTACAAACATACTACCCATGAGCCTTCGCGTACTACGCTCGCACCCAGTTTTCTGTTCCGTGTCGGCAAAATATTAATTTATGTCAATACCGATTATCACAAATTACATATTTTGCCTTCACTACACAACCGAACACACTCAAAGTGTTGAGGCATGGGCGCGTTGGTCAGCTAGGCCCAAGATAGAAAGCTAAAGGTAGGGCTTGAGCTCAGAGAAACAGAGCCTTGGAAACTTCTAGCCTACTGGAAAGAGAATCCTTAACATAAATGTTCTTTGCTGCGACTGAGGCCCAGCGACCATGGCGCTGAAGATTCCTCTCCGAAATGGCAGAGCTGGCAGCTAAAGTAGCTCCACCTGACCTAGCTGAATGAGTGCTATACTTAGAGATATCTGGTACAATATTCGCGAAAGACTTCTTAAAGGACTGCCTATAGGTAGAATAACAAATCGGCTTGTTTACAGAGATAAGGCGCTTGTGATTGCCCGAAGCTGAAATGGCCCTAAAAAGATACTCGTCCGAATTTTCAGGAATCTGGGCCTTATGCATATACAGCTTAAGTAAAGAACAGGGACACGTGATAGATGCGGACTCAGCAATAACGACCGACCTGCCCTCCCTCAGTTGGTCCGTCTTGCTTTTCTCTATGCTGATTGTAATGTAACCCTCGTTAAACTGAACATCTCTGCTACGCATAACGCATAACTCGGAACTTCTAAGAAAACCGGAAAATGCGAGAATGAACATAACTAAATTTCGTAAATTGTGAAAGGTCTTCTAGATTAGTCTCTGCAGCAAGGACCTTGAGGTGGTGGGCGTCCAGGGGCTCCTTTCTATTGACTATTGGCTGACTGGCAAGGCGAACAGCTCCTTCCTTTACGGCAATAACAGTAGGGTGTAATGTTGGAGAGTCGACGCCTGCAAGAAGATGTACCCACTTGAACGCGTAAAAGGCGCAGTTGATGGAAGCGACGGACTTGGACGACTCGAGGAGGTGTTGCAAGTAGAGGGCACAATCGATTGGACTGACTGGAAACTCCGAGGTACCCAAGACATCACTAGCAAAGGGTCTCCACTTGTTAAACGCCCTCAAGTAATTTGCGAATGTCCCAGACGCTCTGGAAGCAAGCACGGTAGATTTGAGATTCTCCATTAGCTGATCCACTCTCGGGGAATTTTGGGCCTCTGAAGACCAGAAAACGGAAGTGAAGATAACTTTATCCAAGGCTTGTTTGATCTTCTCGACGTCGTTCCTTTCGAGGGCAATCTGGGCGTCTTCAACAGCATCTTTAATAGCTTTGTTAGCTTTGTACTGCTCCTCGTTGCTCTTCTTGTTGAAGTGAGGAACGGAATCGCGTTTCAACCTTTTAATCTCTGACATCTGACGCCTGCTTCGTCCATAACTAGACAAGGAAAAGTGATGAAGACAAGAAATAAACCTTATGGGAAAGTGCTAGTGGCAAGGCTGACCGTAGAATGCCACAAGTTTCTCAACGATCTCCTCTTACAAACATACTACCCATGAGCCTTCGCGTACTACGCTCGCACCCAGTTCTCTGTTCCGTGTCGGCAAAATATTAATTTATGTCAATACCGATTATCACAAATTACATAATATGACAACATTTTTTAATGTTACTATACAACGTGAAGTACTGGTGTTAGATAGTTACTAGTCTTGCAACACTTCCGAGCTTATTTAGGCTTTAGTTCGGAAAATGATAATTCTGTCTTTTCTGAATCAAAGTTTACACCTTACTCCCCGCCCCCCCCCCCCAGACCATCAAAACCTCTCGGCCTCGGCCCCGCCCCCTCCCTGATAATACACCGCTCTCTGTACATATTTTTCTGACAACACTTCTCCGCTTCATTTCTTCCCCGACCTCACGTTTCCTTTTTTAAAAGCATTTCTTTTTTTCTCTAAAAAAATGTTTATTATAAAAATTACGATATCAAATGTTAAAAACCTGACGCCCCTTATCAGAGTTTTGGTCAAGTCTTACCCGAGAGACTGAATAAGCACGTGCGCTGCTTACAACTCATTTGCATTTTACGGTTGCTCGTGGTATGAACTGCATCACTTCACTGGAGGAACTAGGAAAAATCTTCAACTAATCAAGGCTGTCGTGCAAATATGTCCGAAAACAGCGAGGAGTTGTTCGCTAACTGAACCTCTTATAGGACAAGTCAGGATACGGTAAGATGTAGAAAGAGTTGAAATTATTAGACAGACTACAACGGTGCTCTTCAAAGTTGGGAACATTAAAGTTCACTTCAGAGAAACAAGACAGAACTGCCCTTGAACCGAATCAAGGACAAGCTGTTTTTGAGGAATTTTCATTATCAGTCCGCTCAATTCAAAAAGAGGTTCAGAGAGGAAGGGTATTCTTTTCCTCTAGGTGAATTCAAACCGAGTTAAAATATGGCAGATTGAGAGGCATAATCGCTGGACAGGTGTTAAAGACATTCAGAATAAATTTTGGCTGCCACTGGCAGGAAACATCAAAACTCTTTCATTGGGTGGAAATTTTTGCACTTGGTGTTAAATGAGCCACGAAAAGTAATTGCTAAAGTTTTACCCTTACAGACGAGCCGCGATGAAGAAAGATTTAAATGTAGCATAGGAGTTGACAGAAATGAAACTATTAAAGAAGAAACTTGTCAAGGTAAGCTTTAAAAATCATTTTGTTTAAAATAGGTTCATGTTGTACACATGTGGCTGCTACTTCAATTAAGGAGAAATTTGTGTTTATTATTCAAACCGGAATATCCAGCGTAAGAACGTGTACGCTTTCATAAGGCGATTGAAATTTTTTCAGTGAAATTTTATCTAACAAACTTTAAGCAACGAGGTGTTTTGGCAAGATTTCCTTTTAATCCATGCTCAATATCTATACTGCTCTTTCCTCAAATGGCGATGCAATATGTTATCTTCGGGACTCGGGGTTTTTTTTTACAATAGTATGGGGTTGAAAATCTTTCCCTCGAGAAATTGGTTTGTAAGAGGTGTTGTAAAATTCGTTCAGTATTCCCAACATGCAACATACTTCCCAAGTGTGGAGGATAACAAAAGCTATCTGACAAAAAAAATTTCGTGTGTAAACTAAGCCTAGTTTAGGTTCATAAATCGACTTTCGAGGAGGTAGGGTTGACCTATAAAAAAATTTCGAGTAGTTAAAAGTATGGATGCGAACCTCAAAAAATATGCTCTAGTTAAGGGTAATTTATATTATACCTATGGAAAGACATAGCTTACAATGTTTTTTCGATTGCATTTTAAGACTTTTTTCTATTTATGTGGAGTCTTACCGCCAACAAAGAATGATCGGAATTCGAACAAAAAGCTGACAGAGAATTTGAAATAGTGTAGCTTACATAGCAGCGTGTAATTTATCCGCCTTTGTTCCCGAACAATATTTTCTTTTTTTCAGTTGACAATTCTGGAGGCGTGTTTGAATTTGGTGGCGTAATTAAGCACCTTTTGATTTTGAAAATGCGAAAGTTTTGTTGAAAGAGTATTTTCAGTGCCTTTTTATGAGACTTTTCATCGGCGAGAAACACTCAAATGCAGTAGGATTGACACACTGAACATTTTTTTTTTTTCAATTTTTACAGTCGAACAATGTGCAATATGATCAGTGATAATTTTTTTATGTGTAGGTAATACATGTCATTACTGAAAAAAAAACAGTCTCACCCTACTTTGGGGTCTATCTTGATCAGTGCGTCGTCAACATAAAATATTTTAATCAATATATTTGAAGGAGGAAAAAATCCTTGATCTCAAATTGAAGCCGAAATTTTAATGTACTATGATCAGCTGATGATATCTTCTTTGAATAGCAGAGGAGTAACACGCAGAGAGTCAACATGTTAAAATATTTTTCGCCCACGCATGGGACAGTTTTATCAAAGTGATCAACAAATTCTTAATAATAAAACAAGAGGGTCAAAGCGAAATGCGCTTTTTCGTATAATTATTCTTTAGGCAAGAGAATCTTTCGATACTTTTTAACATTCTTGTTTGTTTTCTATTGCAGCTGGCTCATTCGCCTTGGTTGAAGTGGACCACAAGCATTGTGAGAGAAGACGAGACTGAAATCGTCCGTGATGAAAATTCATATGTGGAAAAAAGAAAGTTCTAAATTGATCTAAGAGGTAAAAAAACTGTAACACTGTAACATAAGACACCAACATAACTGTAACACAAGACACCAACTCCTTTTACATCCGTTCAGAGCTAAAATTTTGCTAAGAAACTGGTTCATGATTTCGGTGTCTAAATTAAAAAAAAGGAAAACAGCTTTCAAATCACGCTTGGTAGTATGAGATTGTCTAACGCTGAAAAAAATTTCTCGTCTCATCGTAAGGTGCAAACGTTAAGGATATCACAAGCAGATTTAGTTAACGATTTAGATATCTTTTGTTAAAAGGAGTAGCTTCAATTTAAGTTGATATTACAACTGGTACGCTGAAGAACTTGAAATGGATGATGCTATAAAAGCACTTTTGAACTTTTTAGCGAGAATTTTTTTTTCAAATTATTCCATACTTTATTCTACTAATTGCGAGTAGTTTGTAGTGTTTAGATTAAGTCAATTTTTGTTCGTATTTCTTTTTTTTTCTGAGAATGCTTCTCTTTCAAGAATACCATAGTTCATACTAACTTTCACGATCAAACTTATTTGGCAACTAATTTTGTCTTACTTTTAAAATCAATATTCTCTTGTTAGCTAGACTACTTAATCATTCATTGCGTTTGTACCATGTTTTATCATGCTTGTCAAATGTTGTAAACGCTTTTCGACTTGTTGTGGAAATAAAATTTTAAATAAAACAAATAAAAATATCAATTATATATATTGTTTCTTCCTTTCCTTTATTGTGTTTCAGTTAGGAGTACAAATAAACAAACAATTCGCGCTTTTAAAAGGGTCTGGTAACAAGTCAAAACATAGGCTCTCTTTTTAATTTTTTTTGCAAATGGAGGGTTACCGAAAGGAAAAAAATTCTGTAGATTTTAACAACGTTCAATGTTAAAAAAATAAAACATATCTTTGACTCTTAATGGAATAAAACTGTTGGCGCGGTGCAAAATTTTTCCCACCAAAAGACTTAGTATATTTTTTAATCAACATTAAATACAGATCGAAAGCGCAGACTTTTTCCTATGAGTAGCGTTTTCCGGAAGACTAATTTTTTTTGCCCCAGTTATCCGGAGAAAACATTTTTTTCTTTCATAATTATAGGCTGCCCTTTTAAAAGCACAAACTCTCTATCTAATTTCTCGCTCAATAGATTTCTTGGATGATGATGAACGGAGGTATCTAAGTGGGACGTTTTAGAAACTTTATTTAACTCAATAACATTCTTCGACATCTTTTCTTGAATCTTCTGGGATCAGTGTTAGAACCTGTAAGGAAAAAAGAAATAATTCTTTAAAAGGTGGTGGAGCATCCAGCATCCAGCATCCAGCATCCAGCATCCATCGTGCATCTACCTAACAAAATTTTAAGTTCCTCTCCAAAAATATCTCCAAAAATCAAAGAAATCCTAACTAATGCCCCATTCACATCAAAGCTCAAACGTGCTTTACAGCTATTTTGTTGGACATGGTTTTTTTTTTTCATAAAACATGTTAAATGGATGTTTGTCGAATTCAAATGCAGCACATTAAAATTTCAAGTTGACAATTCAATTACTTGATCCCTATGGAAAATTAAGTCTTTCAGTTCTGTTTCTGGTTTTCATTCAGTTACATTCGGTTTAACTAAACGTGTTTTGCTCCTGAAAGCTTTGTACCCACAATTATGATATATATCTGCGCTAGTTAGATCAAGCCGAGTTAAATTTCTGGAATGCGCAAATTTCGCATTTTAACCTTAAACTCCTAAGATCTGATTGTTAATTCTCCCCACTAGCTGC